TGACAAGGAACACGTTGCGATGAAATATGCACTGGCTAAGTCTCGTGTCTATCCCTTGGAAGATAGACCGTTCATCGTCTATACGGACCATGCGTCACTATACACGGCCGTAAACAGTCCACATCTCTCGCAAAAAATGGCGAGGTGGCTGTCTTTCTTCGCGGAGTACGACTTCTCCGTGGAGTATAAACCAGGACGACTTAACGTCGTCGCTGATGCGCTTTCGCGTCGGCTAGATCTCGAGCCGACTGCGCGCGTTTACAGTGAGACTCAGCCCACTGTTGCGGCGCTATCAGTCAGTGTACCGTCGTCGCCGTAACTCGACAACGTGCAGAAGGCCTACGTAGGCGATAATAATCTTCTTCGTTTGATGGTTCATTTTGCGAATCCATCCCGGAAACCCTTGTCGGATTTGCCGGCCCTATATCGCTCCTCTTTGGATCGATATACGATTCGCAACGGGTTGCTGTACTACACAGCAGTTGCAGACGACATACCTCGTGTCTTCGTTCCCGATCATGATGATTTTCGTTTACGCATCATGTTCGAATGTCACGATGCCCCAACAGGCGGCCATCGTGGTAGAGAAAAGACTTACCTTACGGTAAGAGGTGACTTTTACTGGCCACGCCAGTATCCGTTTGTGCGCAAGTACATACGTGCTTGCGGGGTCTGTCAACGGGTGAAGCCCTGTCCTCCATCCCGTGCCCCATAACAGCCTCTGCCTGTCCCGGCAGAGTGCTGGCAGTCCATTCTAATGGACTTCGTCTTCGATAATCCCGAAGACGCTCACAAGAATAATGGTATTCTTGTGTTTGTTGACCGATTCAGCAACATGATGCATCTTGCTGCTGTCCCCGAGTCGATCACGGCACAAGTCTGGGCTCGTGTCTTTATCGACACAGTGTTTCGGCCTCACGGGTTACCCCGTGAACTCGTGTCCGACCGTGACCCTCGGCTCACGGCGGATTTTGGCAATCCGTGTTCCGCACTTTGAGAACACAATTAAAGATGTTACCTCCTGATTATCCCGAAACGGATGGTCATACAGAGCGTGCAAACCATGTCTTCGGACGATTACTTCGAGGATACGTCCACTTCTTTTCACATTGGATTGAGTTCTTGACGATGGTCGAATTCGCGACCAACAACTTCGTGCATGCTACCAACGCCGCATACACCGTTCCATGTGAATGGATTACGCCACCCACATATTTCCGCCCTGATACAGAGTGACTCTGGGTTAAACGGGGGAGGGACTCGCTCGATCAATAACCGTTTTGGCTCTTGCTCATCACGAATCACCGCTCACGCCGATGCGATTGACGCCGATGTCGATATTATCGACATCGACGAAGTTGATATTAGCAGTAGCGATGAGGCCTCTGCTACCTCAGAAAATGATGACGATGCTGGAATATTCAGCATCGTCAATGATCATACCAGCGAGGAAATCGACATCCTCGCTAAATAATAGATCCATCTCTTAGCAGTGCGCACGAAGCGCACTGAAAGACACAACAACGAGTCAGCAGAGAACTATCTGTTAATTCGAAGAGCGGTTGGCCGTTTGTTTAGGACTTCATCGATAACGCGATGGACCGCCAGAAAAGGAACGCATACAAGAATGGAAGAACAAATGTTCTTTCATCTAAAGTTAACGACCTAGTACTACTGTCTACGGTAAACCTACCTAGACATTCAGTCACTAATGTCGGCATTAATAAACCACTGCCAAAATACCTCGGTCCCTTTCATCTTTTGAGCCTCAAAGGCAATGCATAAACACGATTAAGTTGCCCCGTAGGATGAGCCCGCATCCTATGTTTAACGTCTGTCGTCTCCTCCCGTACTATCAGTAGGGGGCCTCTTCCGAGAATTAAGATGACCGGAACACTCAAGAATCCCCAACATATTATCGCGATCACGAACCAAACTCTCATTTTCTCCTTCAGTAATGCAGTCTTGCGACGAGCCGCCAACAGCTCGTTGCGCAGGAGACGAAATTCGCGTTCGTACTCAAGCAGAGCTAGCGCGAAAACCGACCATTCTTTCTCCCGATCGGTACGGAGATTGCACACTGTCGTCTGCAAGTCATGCCGAAGATCGTGTTCGTGATAGACGTCCTACCTCAACTCGGTCAGGTAACGTTCATAATTACCTAAAGTCTTATGCAGGCCCGGCAGCTGAGCTGGACCTTTTCTACCCACCGCCACCAAATCCACTATTGGATTCTCACGTATTCGACGCTTTTACGATGGGGGGTATCTTGACCCACCGCGTGAAGAACGGGGAGCGGAAAAGTTACCTTGGCCGCTGGTATGGGAATTCACCTTCTTGTGACAGCTGTGAGCCTCGATCACAGCTGATGAGTGATGTTAAGGGTCTCGTCCACCAGTACGACAAGACTCATCTGACTGGTCCTCGGGCCCATCGGTAAACACGCACTTTTGGCGCTTCCAGACGGATTGCAAGTTTGCGATCCCGTCCCGCATCTCAGCCGAGAAGCGTGCCCTTCCCCAGGGCGAACTTGTGGAATGCACTTGCCTTTTAGCGTTTTGCGAGTAGTCGACACAACTCGCACAAGGATCACCCCAAGTGAGGCAAGAAATGCCTGCATCACGTGACAATCGACGCAGCCGGTATTTTGCACCGGTTGGCGTTCGCTTTTCAAACTTGATGCGTACCACTTCAAGTTTTTGGATCCATCCTTCTCGTCCAAAATTATTGATGAATTGGACGAACGCGTTCCACGCAGCCAAAAGCGAAGCCTTGTCACGCTTTTGGTTACCATTGTACCATCGTGCTATAGGATGCGCCGAGAAAAAGTCTTCTTCAGCGCGAAAGTTGCTCGCGCTGGAGGACCAGCCATTGAGCTCGCTCGCATCGAAGAACAGAATTCGATGGTGTTGGCTTGTCTCGTGAGACAAGCTATTGATGAGCTGTTCAGGCAAATGCCACGGCTTCAGCTCATCACGCTTTGACGTGGTATCCTTGCCGGTACCACGGCTTTCAATATGACGACGGCTCGCGCCATCGTCAACGCGCTCGTGCGAGGGCGCACGAGTTGATCGCGGTAATGAGAAATTATACGCATCACCATACTCATCATCACTACCGAACAGACTGTGACGCATGTCGCGAGTCCGTTCGTTCGGCAGGTCTTTTGGTAAGCGAGTCACCGCGGGTGAACGCAATACCTCAAGCGGCTTTTCCGAGTCAGACACATCTGACTCGCCAGAGTAGCTGACCCCTAGCTCGAGGTCACTGTGTGCATGTGGTGCGATACCACATGCGCCTGCAGCAACACTTGCTGACGGCAGAGAGCGAGCAGCAGACGACGAATCGTCTGCCGCAGATGCGGGCACGGTAGCAGACCGTGTCGTCTTTAAATCTCCCCGCATAGACATGTTAAATATGCGAGACAAAGTCTAAATGAATGGATCCGACCAACAAGTACTCCCCGTCCCGTTGTCATCCAACGGGTGGCCACAAAAGTTTCGATAGTCACACGGTGACTATCAGTCAAGGGGGCTGATGTAAAGGGGTAGCCCGTTACATGACATTGTCACTAAGGATATAGTGACAATAAAGAATATTACGTTGCATATTCTTTCAACAATATCACAGAGCATGATGAAATTGTTGAAGATGACCGAAGGGTCTACTCATTGGTTGATATCGTGATGATATCAACCCACCGATCGCTGCTAGACGCGTGCAATGGGTGGTGAGTGGACATCATCATACATTTAGTTATATGAATACAATTAAGTCAAGGTAAACAGAGACATAAGATTGATAGGACTTAATTATATTAAATAACAGTTTTACTTTTACCAGAGACTAGCGTGTTCACTAGTCTCCTTTCCTTCCTCTGTGTTGGTGCAACACTTAGCAGGGCACTGACTATCACTTTTGTCAGTGAAAGTGAACTCCGTACTGGCAAGCCAGTACGTAGTCACCAGTGCCCTGTTACACTGTAAACCGAATTAGTCATGGTTAAGTCATGTATGGACCTTCTGTACACCCTTTCTACGACGTAGGTGTGTTGTCTGAACTAGTATCAAACGTCGATGCTGGAAAGCCACCACGAGAGCGCGGGGGGATGCATTCGATGGAAAAGGCAAAAGTACAGCGACAACGAAAAAAAGGCAAATAGGCCGGCACGAGATTTCAATTTGGTCGTAACGGCTCTGCTAGCAGTGGCCACGACACCAAATCTAGGATATCGAAGACATTCTCAAGCTCGACCAATTGCGCGAAGCGAGACATTAGCAGCACGATATAATAAGCGGCGGACACTGTACAGTTGATGCATCTGATGCATATGAACAACGGGCAAATGTCGCCAGGGTAGGTTCGAACGGACTGCGAACCAATGCGACCTCATATTGACGACATCGCGTCATCAAAAGGTCGTAGACACGCGCTGTCCACCTTGTGATGCACAAAAATCGTCTTGCCTCAACTTGCATGTCGAATCCTTAATGTGGTTGTGTAGTATTGCACTACCTCATATCAGTGAAGCCTACCAAACGTTGACAACGTCCGAACTATAGAGCAAGAACGCTCGATCTTTTGCGGACCTGCAAGACACCGTGTTAAAATAGAACCAGCCAAGAAGAAGCACATACAATCATACAAAGCCACGCGTGTCGGAGCGGAAGTAGCTCATTCGAGTGTCGTTAAGTTCGAGCATCTTTTGCATAGACTAGAAGGATCCGACGCTGATTCACGACCTGCACTAGTACGATTGTGGGGTCAGGTCATACGTCACATTGTCAGGAGAAACACACGCCGCTACGTGTCGCCTGGACTTCTGGATGACAGACTCTGTAGCTTTCATTGGGAGAAATTCCATCCGGGCCATTCGCAGGATAGCCCGACTACCCGTGAAAAAGGCTTCCGCCAGCATCCCTTCTCCACGTGTCGGGCCATCACGTGGCCGGGGTAAAAGAGCATTCGTACGTCGCGAATCCTGTCCCCTTTATATTGTCATGGACGCGTTCCGCTGTCTTTGCTTTGTCGATGTCTCTGCGTGGGTTCCGACCTCTCCAGACTGGCAACGCCTGATGCAACAACTCCCTGCGCATGAACAGGAGCAAGTGAGGCGATTCGTGTTTGCCAAGGACCAGACGTTGGCGCTCGCCAGTCGCTTGCTCCAGCGGCACCTCATTCGCAAACTCTTTCACGTACCTTACGGTGCCATTGGCATCCAACGCACTCCTGAGGTACAGACCGTTCAGGCACTTGCTCTTTAGAAGTCGAGTAAAGTTGTAATCGTGCTGTCATTTTGCAGAAGAAACCGTACTGGAGACGACCAAGTGGAAGTTCCGCTCCTCCAGCGTGGAACTATAATGTCTCGCATCATGGTACCGTCGTGGCGATTGCTAGTGACGCTCATACGTTAGTTGGCGTGGATGTCGTCCGATTCACCGATCGACCACATCGCAAGACGTCGATTGAAGACTTCTTCCGAGCTTTTGCAGACCATTTCAATCCGAGTGAGTGGGGATTCATTCGCGGAGAAGAAGACGAAGCGATTCAGTACCATCGGTTCTACCAACTGTGGTCGCTCAAGGAGGCGTACATAAAGGCAGTGGGTGTTGGCTTGGGCTTCTCGTTGTTACGAGCTGAGTTCGTCCAAGGGACCCCAGCTCGATGGGAGCTCTATCTAGATGGTCAGCGTGCGATCGGCTGGCATTTCACGTGCACGCAACTTGACTCAACGCACGTCGTGAGTGTCGCATACGGACCGTTTTCGGCAATGTGGAAGCCAGAGACCAGCTCTCTGTTCTCGACCGCAGATTCGCTTTCGGACGCCGTGTCTACCGATGGCATCGAAGAAACCAAAGCAACGGCAGAATGGCAGCAATGGAGTCTGCGAGATTTGTTACATTCATCATAGCGCATTCGCAAGCGCTGTTTGTACGGCATTGCGACTGCAGACACAACTTTGGGCTGATCCTTGATCTCGTCTCGAATCCACCACTTTGCTTTGCCTTGTTGGCGTCATTTCGATACGCCACCTCCATGTTATGCTAGTCACGTGAAGGGAGTACCAGCGTGCGCCATCGTAGACTCGAGGTCGTAGTAACTCGGGCTCTAGCACTTGTTCGATGTGTTGCCGCACTGAATCTTGCCCTACTTGGTATACAGCATGTAATCGTCTGCTTGGCGTCCGACATCAGGCCATCAGCTTTCCTTCAGTGCCCCCTTGACCCCGCCTGGCCTCTTTCTCGACATCGATGTACGTGTTCGAGGCCTCCTCCGACACCATCTCAGCGAGACGTACGGTTCATGGCGGTGCACACAGTTACCGCCACGTCTGTCTCAAACTGCCTGAGCAGGTCTTGCACGATGGGTTCCAAAACGTCACTCTTCACGACGTCTGAGATCCATTCCCAAATTTTCAGGTTCAGCTCAGCCAGGCTTTTTCCCTTCGGGGCAGTCAGTCGGAGGGAATCCTCCCCTAGGGGAGCCGAGGGGTCGAAGATCTGACGCGGGCTGCACTCAGTCCGGGTGTGGGGTAGGGGAACGGGTCGCTAAGCGGCCAAGCAGGGGTGTTTTATGGACTGGAGGCTACCCCCGCCACGTTCCTGCGGCAGGCACACTCCATCCGGGGCCTAAGGCTGAAGGGGGCCACCATCGCAATGGGTGAGCTCCTCGGGGAGAGATAGCGGGTTGGCTTCTCCAGCCAGCAGTCACTTCGTGATCACTCCACTCGGGGGCCAAGGCTGAAGGGGGCACATGCAATGGGTGGCTCCTCGGAGAGAATAGCGGTTGGCTTCTCAGCCACCATCACTTGTATCCACTCCACGTGGGGGCCAAGCGCTGAAGGGGGCCCATCGCAATGGGGGCTCGGAGAGAATAGGCGGTTGCTTCTCACCCCCATCACTTCGTATCACTCACGTCGGGGCAAGGGGAAGGGGCACCATCGCAGATGGGTGAGCTCCTCGGAGAGAATAGCGGTTGGCGTTCTCCGCACGCAGTCACTTCTGATCACTCCCTCGGGGGCCAACGCTGAAGGGGCACATCCAATGGGTGAGCTCGGAGAGAATAGGCGTGGGTTTAGCCGGACTTGATCCACCCACGTCGGGCAGGCTGAAGGGGGCCACCATCGCAATGGGTGAGCCCTCGGAGAGAATCGCGGGTTGGCTTCTCCACCCACCATCACTTCTACCTCCACGTCGGGGCACGCTGAAGGGGGCCACCATCCAATGGTGAGTCGGAAGAATATTGCTTCTCCACCACCATCACTTCTGATCACCCACGTCGGGGCAAGGCGAGGGGCCACCATCGCAATGGGTGAGCCCTCGAGATATCGGGTTGGCGTTCTCCAGCCACGCAGTCACTTCGGTGATCGCACTCCACGTCGGGGGCCGCGCAAGCGGCTGAAGGGGGCACCATCGCAGATGGGTGAGCTCCTCGGAGAGAATACGGCGGGTTGGCGTTCTCCACGCCCGCAGTCACTTCGGTGATCGCACTCCACGTCGGGGGCCGCAAGCGCTGAAGGGGGCCACCATCGCAGATGGGTGAGCTCCTCGGAGAGAGATACGGCGGGTTGGCTTCTCCACCCACCAGTCACTTCGGTGATCCACTCCACGTCGGGGGCCCAAGCGGCTGAAGGGGGCCACCATCCAGATGGGTGAGCTCTCGGGGCTCTCTTATAGGGACCACCACGATTACCTCCGGGTCTCCCGCCTCACTTCTGGCTTAGCAAACTGCAGAGGTTAAGGCGTAGTTAACACCGTGCAAATAGACCATCTGAACAACAACAACCGACGTCTGAGATCGCACGATTCTTCAGCTGGTTCCGTCCTTCCCCAATGAGTCTCTTCAGTTGCTCGTCACGCGCACGTATCTTCTGCCGTCGCAATGCACCGATCTCGGTCGAGCGAGCACTGCAACAACGTTTCGAGCGTCTATGGATGTTTGAATCACCGTTCTCCACATAAGCAGCACGAGCTTCGCGTAGACATTGCTCGATTCGCGCACCTTTGCTTGCACTCGAAGTGCTTCTAGGTCTTGATAATCGCTTTACACTCGAGCCAGTGAGGTGCGTCAAAACATAGTCGTGCTTTTTGTCATACGTAGGCCACAGTCATGAGCAGCAGAACACCACTTGCCAGCACCATCTCGTGTTTTCTCTTCTCTTCTCCCCTCCCGTCCCCTCCCGCTGTCTCTGCAACAGCTCTGGGTCCCCAACTGTAGCGACCATTGCGTCGACAGATGCTCGAGACGGAATTGCACAGGAGGCACTCGACTGCATCATTCTTTTCACCACCTTGCAATAAATGTCCATGTCGTGCACTTGGCGCTGCTCGTCTAGATACTCGTCACTCTCTCCACACACCAATACAACGGTCAGAGAAAGCTTCCGAGCAGACTTGCTTTTCGTTCTTAGTCGATTGCCATCGACAAGCGCCATGGCAGCCAAACCCACGACACTCGTTCATTTCGGTTGCACGGTTGCCCCATTACGAACGTCGCTTTACTGAAGCAGTTGCTGCAGCGCGTCGTGGATGTATCGTTCAGACACAATGTTCTCGTCTAGAACGTGTAGCGTTTCACAAGGGGAGAACAAGGTGCCAGAACACGCAGTGCATCTATTTTCATTGACCACTTTGCCGTCATTAATCTCTTTACCGTCAAGGACAACTTCGGTCGTCCAGTTAGGGGCAAGCCTTAGCTCGACGTGACAGCGCGATTCACTAGTAAATCACCTATCGGCGGCAAACAGCGCGATGAGCTCGAGGAGGGTCTACTGCTCGGCCCTTGTGCCATGCGATCCGAACGTCCTTCAGAGCTGCGATAGTTCGAGGATTTGCCATCTGGTGGGTATGACACCGGAGCACAGAGACTTCCGTGACATTGCGTAAACTTTCAAAGGAGACGTTGTGCTTTGCGTCGAGCTGAAGTCACTGACATGAATGGACAAAGGCGAGACACGCACCGTATGATTGTGGAGCGGACAACGCTGCGCAGGGGCCGCTCGTATGACTGACATGGCGACCAACGAGAAAATGAACGCGTGCTTGTAAATGGCAACATCCCGTAGCGTTGGCGCCAAACTAGGCTTCATGACGCGTCAAGAGCGAGGAAGACAATTGCTACGACAACACAAGTTTGCGCGTTTCGATACCGAGGGCAAGCACTGGCGATAGTTAGACCAGCGAAAACGTGCAAGGGCAGCCAGCCAAGACCGAAAGAGGGCAAGTACGATACAAATTGATCTCGAAACTCGATGTTGCGGGAGGACCTCCTCCACTGCTTTTTCTCGTACAGCCTCGACGTCTACCGCCCTAAACGTCGACCCGCTTGCAAGTCATTGCACGTTCGCCGTCTTACCGTATCGTCGAGATAGAAGAACGCAGTTTATGACACAAAAGACACGCGCATGTTGCGTGCGAGGCCAGAAATAGGGGCGTCGGGTGCGAAAGTTGCATTTCGGTGTGCAGTGGCCCGACAAATGCATGGGAAGACGACGAAAAATCGGCGCTTGATTACCACATTGTGACCGCATTGCGCCCACAGCGTGTAGTGTATACTTCAGGACCGTCCGAAGCCGTCGGATCAAACATCTGCTCTCTATGCAGCTGTATGTATCTGCGACGCCTGAGGGGCAAGAGCTGTCAATAGCCACATAGTACCCCCAAGGTACCACCGTCGCCGTCACTTTACACTCGATGAGAAAAAGGCATACAAAAGCGGAGACACACAGTGCTGCTACTTTTCAGCCGAATCTCGGCTACCACCTCTGACAACCACTACACATAGGCGAGTGGTTCACAATCCGCCAAGAGAAGAGGAGTATGGCTGAATGCCACTAATTGAGCCGTTTCAAGCCGCAAGAAGAGGACCACGTGACGTCTTGATGACTGCAGCAGACGCTCTTGTTTTCCACCGACCGAAGACAGTAGCAGGAGCAGCAGGAGCCACACCAGCAGCAGTACCACAAGGAGACGGTGACGAGGGAGCCGCTGCGAATAGGCAGACACAGAAGCGCACGTGGAAATCTGCGCGTGAAGAGCGAGAAGAGTCGCGAGAGGTCCACGAAGTCACGGAGAGCTCCTCGGATGAGAGCGTTGACGAGACAGTGTCAAGACCTCACAACAGGACGATGGTTCGGACGAGGGAGCAGTACGCGGACGGTGCTGAAGTAACTGCAAGGATCGTAGACAACAACGACGAAGACGAGATGCCGACGCCTGAAGTGGTCGAAAGGATGCGCCAGGGCGTGTACATGCCCGATCCAGAAGAGGTTTGCAAGGCAAAGAGCGTGGCTGACATGAGCTATTTGTTTACAAACGACAAGCTGAAAGAGGAGTCACCAGCGATCGTGCTGCGGTCCGACCCGTTCTGTATCCCGAGAGTGACAGACAATGTGCCGAACTATCGACCTATGCTGAATCCGCTGAGCATTTTTCTGGGCGAAGATCAGCTGCTGCCTGGAAACTATCGATTGGATCCGTCAGAGAGACCGCCAAAGGCCAATGAAGAGGTGGCAATGGCGACGTCGATGACGGAGGGTGAAAGTGATGGACTTCGTGGACGACTGCTGCCTCTCCCGAGTAACCCGTCTTTGACGTCGAGTGCTTTGAGACAGTTTCGAGGAAAAACTAGCACGTTTATGGGAACGATGCCTCGTCAACTAGAGTTTACCGAGATTTCCGTGTCGGAGACCCTATTCCAGAACCATGAAGTGTTTCGCCTTCCGCCGCCAATGTTGAGGATCCCGACATCGTCTGCAAGAGACATACACTCACTCTTGTCCATGGACAGGAATCCGAGCAACACGTCGTTCTCTTCAACAGGACCAGAGAGTGACCAGACGTCAGCATTGTTTGTTGGAGATCGAGCGGCTTCGCTTTCGGACGCGATGTTGTTGTCATCGATACAGCGCACTCTTGACGTCACGACAGTGGCCCTGGCATCGAACGATAGCTCATTGTCTTCACCCGACATTGTTGCTGAATCTGTGCCGTCGGTGTCGGAAGAAACACCCATGTGCCAGATCCAACCGCTTCAGCCGCTGGATTTTGGTGTCGACACGCTCACGAATCACTTACCCAGCCGAAGCATGTCGATGCCAAACACGAGCAGTCCGGTCTACGAAGCGCAGTATAGTTCAGCTGAAGGATGCAAGCCTACCAACAGCTCGATGGGCTATAGTGCCGGTGCTTCCTGCACACTCGGTGCTTTACTCTCGCCGATCGAGAACCAAGCCAGCACTTCTTACGGTGGTCTATTCACTGACAGTAGCGAGTCTCAGCTTTCTAGCCAGACGATGCAGTCGTTTTCCAGTGCTCTCGGATTGTTTTCGATCACAACACCACCGAACGGGGTGAGTGAAACAACCACGGATCTCACGACACCGCAAGAACGATCCAGTGGAGGAAGTTTACGTCGTTCGGGCGCGAAGCGATCTCGCGCAAAAAACGTGTTTCGACCCTGTACATTTTCGGGATGTACAAAGGGTGCCCGAGGCAAATCCGGACGGTGTCAAAAGCATGGCGGTGGTAAACGCTGTGCTGCTCCGGACTGTCCGAAAGGTGCACAAGGCAGTAGCACCATGTGCCTATTCCATGGCGGCGGGTACCGTTGTACAGTAGAAGGCTGTTCCACCGGTGCGCGTGGTACGTCAGGTCTTTGTGCGAAGCACGGTGGCTACAGAAAGGGCAAGTCTGGAATTGCTGCTGGTGAGCGTGAGTTGATCACGGATGGCGCTCCGATGAAACGGTTACGCACCAACGATTCGCTACGATCCGCTGCCGCAGTCACTGCAGAATGACGACCACCGTATTTAAAACGCGCGCAATGATATTCCTTACACGGTTCGTATTCGACGACTCATTCGCGTCCAGGTGCATCCATGAATCCAGTCACATTAGCATCGTGTCGAAGGGTCGGACATGCCGGGTCTCAGCACACTACAACAGTGCGATCTCGTACAGCTTTCGGCGAGCCTACAAGTTCTTGAATTTGTCGGTGGCGTCGACGAGCTCCTTGGCAATGCCAGGCTCCATAGCAGAATGACCGGCGGTCTGGACCACGCGGAAGTCAGCCTCTGGAAAAGCCTTGTGGAAGTCCCAGGCTGTCTTCATCGGGCAAACAACGTCGTACCTGTCAGAAGTAAGCATGGCCTGGGCGTGAGGTCTAAGGGATGACGAGATGGTGGCTTCGGTTTATACAACACACGCACCGTCCCTGGACAATGACAGTAGGTATGTGGCGAATCTTGTGAGCATTCTCGTTCAGGAACTCGTCGTTGGGGAAGAAGCCCCTGTTCACGAAGTAGTGGTTTTCAATGCGAGCAAATGCTTCGGCAAACTTTTCTTCGTCCATTGACTTGTCAGCAGCATCCGCCTAAACTCATCAACAGTTGTAAGCACGAACGCAGCAAGCAACTAAACCCCACAACAAACAAACTCGCCAACAACAAGAACAACAACAGCAGCACGTACCGGAGGAATGAGGTTACTCGTCGTTTTCTCCCACGTTGTCCAGGCCAGAGCTGCTGGAATCCGGACATTTGGGTCGTCACTTGTCAGGCGTTTGTGGTACGCCGTGACAAAGTCCCCGCGCTCTGCTTCGGGAATCGCATCACGGTAAGCCTCCCAGCGATCGGGATAGATAAAGCTGGCGCCACTTTGATAGTAAAAGTCAATCTCCTGCTTGCGCAGATGGAAGATCCCGCGCAGCACCAATTCCGTCACTTGAGTGGGATGCGTGATAGCATACGCGATCGACAGGGTACTGCCCCACGAACCTCCAAAGACTTGCCACTTGTCAATGTTCAAGTGACTCCGCAGCTTCTCCATATCGTCGACCAAGTGCCACGTCGTGTTCTCGTCCAGTGACGCATGGGGTGTGCTCCGTCCAGCACCGCGTTGGTCCAGCAAAATGATGCGGTAAACCCGCGGATCGTGGAATCGTCGCATGCTGTTCGAGCAGCCCGCACCGGGTCCACCGTGTACCATGATCACGGGTTTCCCGCACGGGTTCCCACACTCTTCATAGTACAGCTCGTGGACGGGCGAGACGCGAATGGTACCGGTGTTGAAGGGCTCAACTGCTGGATAGAGAACCTCTTCGGGACTTGCGACGAGGTCACGAAGCTCAGCGCTTGGCTTTGCTGCCTCGCACAATGTTGAGGCAGCACTTGACGCGCTCACTGCGAGCGAAGAAGCAAAGGCGGCAGCGGATACCGCGAGCACTGCATGACGCGCAAGGCGTTGAGACGTTTGTGCAATGGATACGTCTACCGAACGCGTTAGAGTGCGGTGACTGCGAGGCAACAGCAGCATTGATGGACGTGGGGTAGTCCCAGCACGTTGCTGCAACAAGACGGCTGATCTTCGTAGCATGAGCATCAGGGGCTCGGCTTGTCACTGAGACTTCTAGCGGACAAGTTGATCGCGTCGATCGATGATGAAGGAAAAAGATATGCCGACATATGTAGATACATATATGTGTCTCTGAGGGGATCGCTACTGCTTGGTTTGATGTGGCTTCGGAACACCTCAGCCTGACGTTATTGTCGAAAGCTCAATCGATGATTCTGTGTCGGTTTCGCTTTGCCTGCACGTGTAACGTCCGTCGTGTGCTGTCCTACTCTGCTCTCAATGAACGTATGTACCTAATCTAAACTAATGCTCCATTTCTCACGTAGCGTTCTGATCCATTGGAGTTCGCTGCTGCTTCGGACGGCTCACTTTTTCTTCTTCAGCAGCTTCTTATTGCGCATGTCTTCTCGATAGTCCTCGTATTCGCCATACAGAGCACTGCAACCCACAACAAACACAGCGTCAACATGTCAGCAAGCGATACAGCTCCACAGCTCAATCTGCAAACGGACGTACCTGCGCTTCTCTTCCTTCTGGATCTCGTCAAACGAGGCTTCCATGTTGATTGAATCGTCCGAGTCGATCGAGTACTGCCGCTTTCGGTTCTTGCGGAACATTGCTGCAATGTGCCCAGGACGGTACTCACCGTCGTCGCTTACCACGAAACTATCGTCCGAATCTTCTTCCTCAAACGGATCACGACGACGCGTTCGCGACTCTTTCTGGAAACGATCGCGTCGCTGCGAAGCGGCAGACGTAGAATGCTTGCGGCGCAACTCATCCAACGCCTGCTGGATCAAGCGGTGGTGACCCTTCTTCGGCACCAGTGATGGCAAGTCCGACTTTTCAATCGTGCTGAGCAGCTTCACCGAATCAAAGCCGTTCTCGAAAAATGCTGGAGCATACTCGCTCATGTCCACGCTCAGGCCCTTCAGCCATGACAGCACGTCGCGCTGTCCCTCAGTGTAGCTCACCTCCTTCCTCTTAGCTGCTGTACTGGGCCGACTCTTCTTAGCGCCGCCCGCCGAGTTGTTGCTGCTGGAAGCGCCTACTCCGCATACACGCGGATACATCGTGTCCAACATTGCCTTGCGGGCATCCACAGCATGCGGAGCGCTCTTCGAAGCCAATCCGCCTATCGATGATGAAGCACTGGGCAATCGTGACCCAGGTTTTGATCTTTCACCAACCACTGTGCCACTGCTTCTGCTCCGAGTGCGATCAGGTTCTCGGTAGTCGCGATCGGACGCTCCTTGTCCAGACAGCGCTCTGTACTTGAGCTGGCGCTGGCGGTGCCTCTCGTCTGCGGACCTGAGAAAGCGACAATGGACAGCACATTAGACCGATTGACGCACCCATCACACACAGCCACACCAGGAAAGAAGCAGCAGTATGTAGAATAAACGACGTACATGTTGTTGAGAGAAGGAGCAGGGCGTCTCGCCGGTAGCTGATTTCTCGACGTCGGCAACATTCTACGAGCATCCGGTGGTGCCGATCGACGAGCAACCGATGGTGTTGACACCGATCGATGGCTTGCAATCGAGTGCATTCGACGTTGAGCGAGCTGCGCTCTCCCAACAGTGCTTTGACTTGCGGCTGTGGACACCGTCGTGCCTCTCCGGCCTTTTGCCACCGGTCCACTCAGCACGCGCACTGTCCTCGAGTCTCGCTTGGCTTTCTCACTTGCATAGCCTTCTTGCAACCGTTTCCTCGCACTCTCAAACCTGTCTTGCTGCCCAGCGACATCTGCCCAACCAAGCCCCACAACAAAACAAAGCACACACCATCGCCCACACCCACAACAGCCACCAGAAGAAGTCAGTCTCCGCAAACCCACTTGTACCTCCAAAATCTAATATCAACATTTCTACCTCGTTGTTGCGGCGGCGAGGAACTCGGCACGCGCGGGCGCTCTTGTGGTCGAGACGGCGAGACGATCCCCACCACGTGCTTCCACTTCTTCGTGAGGCTCGTGCTGTACCCGCGCACGACTTCGTCGTCGTGTTTCTTGAGCTTGTTCACGGCCGCACCGATCTTCGTGCGCTGCAGCAGATCTTTGTCCACTTTCACGGTCGTGAGCTTCCCCAGCAGTCGCTGCATGTCCGGCACGACGCTCTTGTCCGACTTCCAGCCGTCGCGCTGCGTCACCTGCGCGATCTCACGGGCCATCTTGGCCACGTCTTGCTCCCCCGTTACGGCCATGTCGCGTGTGCCACGCAGCGCTGGCTCGTTCACGGCGGCGGCGGCGTCTCGACTTGTTCGTGCTGACTACGCGGCGAGAGCAGATCGAGGCAGACAAACAAACAAACAGACCCTTTAGCAGTCGAAACCTCTTTCTGCACCGAGAGGTATGTCGAGAGGCTGATCATAATTAACTTTGACAGGAAAACCGGTGCCTGGGGCAAAACCGCTGTCGACTAAATGTGTGTTGGGTGTGGAATCAGTCGGATGCCTCACTTTTGTAAACGTGGTCTTGATATGAGTGCCGCCCGTCGTTTATGCGACAAGCTGCTACTTTGGTCACATGCAGCAAGCAAAATTGTGTTTTGTTTCCTTGCGTCTTGTCTTTTTTTCTCTCGGACTTGTGAGGTATATAAAAATTCTTCTTTGGTCACAAATATTCGAGCGATGCGATCGTTCTCCTGATATATGCGTTGATTACTCACTCTGGTAAGAATTCGACTGATGCGCTGCTAAAAGTAAGACAGCTAGCTGCCTGCTGCCCACAATTGATTATCCTGGTCAGTTTTTGAGCAACAAGTGCGCTGTGTTTTCCGCCGGAACAGGACGCTGAGGGAAACCAACCTGAGCAGCACGTATGATCAAGTTGCTGTGAGGGTCGCGAGACAACAGCTTTGCGACACGCGACTTTGATCGAGACATTGCTCGCATGCGTGAAAGCAATTGCGGACTGCAGAACGCCCTATAACTAGTCCGGTCAATATCGAGCGTGTCACTGACGCAGCAGCAGCAAGAGTCGCGATACACTCTTGTCCAGCACGCAGTTTGGAAAGGCAAAGCTGCATCGGTTGTCGAGAACACACTGCAACAAGATAAGTAGTTGGGACGATCAAGCCTGCTATCTGACTGAGCGCATGACATGGCGTCGTCTCCGTTGTCCCGTAATTTGTGTCGAAGGCCAGTACAAGTTCTAACGTGTTGGTATGAGCCTCTGCTTGAGATCGGACCGTCACTTCCACGCACGCTTGTCGGTTGTCTACCATATACACCCTTCGATGCGGTCAATATTCTTGTCTTAGTGACCACTAGGATGTGGCTGTTCGTGCCCGGTGTCAGCATCTCACTGTAGCACCATTCCATACGAAACGTCGATCTATTTTTTTGCGCAGCTACAAGCTTCTTACTACGATATCAAAAGTCTCGACCTCCTCGTCGCCTGACGAGCAGTACGCCCGTGTAGTCAGTTGTCTGTCTAAAGTACGCCGATGGAGCAAGAGTCAGGAAAGCTGTGCTCCGTTGATGTACGTCAGTTTCAACAGGCGTTTGGCTACACGACTCTTTTGCTTTCCAAGCACCGTGTTTGACCTGCCATAACATGGGACTTCACATCCGTGTACCTCGATCTGCACGCACGTCGCCCAGCATCTCATTCATACGCGTTTAAAGTGCTTCGATATGATCATTATCTGGGTCGCTGTTTAATCGGGTGATACAGTTGTAGGTGACAGTAAACGAGCAAGTTCAACACCTCGAAAGCGCAAGTCATTGGTCACATCCACAGCGATAAGAAAGGTGCATGCACCGATGTGGACCTCTGCCTACAGGCAGAGATCCAGGTCTGTAGGCAGTATGCTCAGCATCCACAACAGTTTGCTATATATAATCGGAGATAGCGGCCGGCCACCTGCGCGATTTGGTTTGCCGTGTTAGGAGCTTCGTAGGCGAACCGAAGCAGCTGCGCGCTACAAGATGTCATCGCAAAGCGCTTTTGATCCATGCCGATCGTCATAGAAACGGTCACGGATCGGAAACGTTAAGCTGTGCTCGACATATGCGCGGTAGGTGTTAGCCTGTCTTCGCGTTGACATGTTGAGTGCAGCGGGGTAGCCTGTTACAAGAAATTATCATTAAGAAGAAAATGACAATAACGAATATTACGTTGAATATTCTTTGAAAAATGTCACGAAGCACAGTGATATTGTTGGGATGACCAAAGGGTCTACCCATTGGATGATATTGTAACTATATCAACCCACCAATCGATGCTAGACGCGCGCAATGAGAGGTGAGTAGACGTCACCATACATTTCGTTATATTAATACAATAAGTCAGGACAAACAAAGAACAAGAGTTATAGGACTTGATTGTATTAAAAAACAGATTTACTTTTACCACGACTAGAGTCTATAACTTAGTCGTTTACCATTCCTCTGTATTAAGCATATACATAGCAGGGCACTGAACTTCACTGTTGTCAGTGAAAGTTGACTACGTACTGGCAAGCCAGTACGTAATTGTCCGTGTCCAGTTACATAGAGCTTTATCCATCAGCACCATCATTTTGTGCTAACTTCAGATAAGGCTCTCGAGGACATTGCCGTTCATGACGTCTTCAGTAAGATAAAGCTGCACATACAGTTGTTTGCAGTCATTTCTTAAATTGTGAAGCAAGTCGGGGAACTTGTACTCACCGACAACTTCATCGGGCCCGTCATTTAGGTGCGCGTTAGCCTGTCGTTCGTAAGTAATTAGGATTTTGTTCAGTGGATAGCATTAGGCGCTATATTGACCCCGAGAGCAGTATGTCGCGCTGCATTGTCAGTATCTCGCAGGATGCGATGAGGAGAGCATCATTCAGATGGTAAGTGACAGGAGCAACACGATCCTGCTTGTTAGAATCTAAGTGTATATATCACTGTCTCAAGCAGGCTTTCAGTCGTCGTGGTCTCACCTGAGTCCAGCCATGCTGACAAGAACACGTGCTAACTGCGACAACGGCACGGGCATTCATCAAATGGTCGACGGGTGTTAGAGCGTTGCAACTTTTGGATTTTACCACCACGGCTCCTGTCTCACGAGAATAGTTGCTGGCCACCAAGTACAGTGCACTACAGCTTAACCGAAACCTACAGCTAAGATGCGAAATGTTGCATTTAGAGAACGACTGTAGGGAGCTGCCACATCTCGTGTGCCAGAGGAAGGCTGAGGTCAAACATCCGATTACTTCTTACATGTAGCGACTGTAGGGAGCTACCGCATCTCCAATTCCAGAGGAAGGAAATACTTAAAAATCAACGAGTTTAATATATTACCACGACTCAGAGTCAACGAGGTCGAAGAACTGAAGGTTTTGGACTCAGATAGTCGACTAGCTCACAGAGCTTTAAGTCCTGGTTCAGGAGACGAGCGATATATAGGATTGAGGGCAAAAAGTGCCCATAATACATCTTGCCTTCTAGACTTTTATGATATAAAGACGCCTTAGCAAGGCACATGTCACTCGTAGATCATATTGCGAATCGATGTTACTTTGTTGCTAACACATTGACAAAATCCTGTCTGGGTACTTAGTTGTAACATTTCTTTAGTTCTAGAGTAAAACCTAAAGCGTACTTTTAGGTGGCTGAAACGCCTCCACAACCGTACTTAGTGCCTCCTAATTAAAATGAGTTGACTACCGAAGGTAAGGAGTTCGGAAATAAAAATGCGAGTATATATTAGCGTTTTTTGTGGTAGATATATAGAAGAAACGAAGTTCGGAAATAGAAATGCGAATATATATTAGCGTTGCTTGTGGTAGATACCTACTTTGACGATATTTCTAAGGTTTCGGAAGAGTCGTCCTTGTCTTTCGTAGATCTTTGCATGAACCCCAGCAGTCATTCGTGTCCCTTGGACAGTTCATTGTAGATGCCTCTTCCGCTAAGGCGCACTACACAACTTCAACAAAGGAGTCATGTGACTTCTTAAAGTTTGTATCACCAAAGTGTACAACTGATACACTTCGGATGTGATAAGTATCGGTTGATTGCGGGACCTTTGACAAGAAATGTGGTCGCTTATGGTTGACGAGAAACGTGTTTTATGTCTTTTCCTGTGCGTACTTCAAAGAGGTCGATTCACGAATACGAAATTCAGCATAGTGGTCACAATTAACTCGTACTATCGGCGGTACATTGTCCTCAAATGCGCAGATTTTTAAGACTGCCGACATCGATAAAAAATCAAGAGATGGTCCATTTTCTTACATGTTTTGATTTGTGTCCATGACGACGAGGAGTCACGACTCGTATGATCTTTACCATGATTGATAATCACTAAATGAAGAATTTTGTTCGAAATCTAACGGTGATAGTCCTATATTGTTTTGTCAGGTCGGAAAATTGTCAAGATAAGACAATTCCAACTGCGATCGGACGCATCGGGATGTAAAGACGATTACAGGTGGATAAAATATCTTCATTCTGTTCAACGAGAGACTTGAGATATATTGGTCATGGGTAACTGCGATCATGTAGAAATTTTCACGTAATCTAAGCCTCCACTGATTTGCAGTATAACCAAGATCAACATCGACTCCATTCCGTAAAACGAAGTACAGCTTACTCTATTGACGGGTACACAAGGTGAGGAAAATACTTCAGTACGTGATATTGATGTATCCTATCCATCTGTAGATCTTCTGGGCACCAGTGGCGAGTAGGAATCGTATTATTATTTTTCGCGATCGCCACTCCAATACAATTCTTTTGTTTCGCATCATGGAAGAGTTAGGAGCCATCAATGTATGAAAAATAAAGCGAACTTGTCTGCATAGTCTTCCCCATAAAAATCTAGCTCCTTTTCAGACGACCAATATGACATGTATCTCGAACTAGCTGGACCTCTCTTCTCGATCATAGGGCTCACAGTAATGTCTTTTTATCCAGGCTTTGTGGCGAATGATCTTGACATTGTGAATGTACGTGTTTCCAGACTAGATGAGTACTTTGCCATCCCTGTTTTATTAACCACTATACCATCGTTGTTGAAAGCATATATGAGATGTATGTTGGAAGAGATTTGCATTTTGGACAAGAAAGGGGCGAAATGCGGTTGACGACACTTTGTGTCCTTTCTATCTGTCAGACAAGGTGTTGGCACTTCAACCAACCGATCGATTGGTGGGGAACCTCACAAGGTTGAACAATTTGAAGGTAGGCTTAAACGTAATAACATAATTCTTTTTACCACCAAGCATTTACATTGAACAGAATGAATATCCCTAGGTGCAAAAGTTACTTGTTTTTGTGTCAAAATCAGGAAATCTTTACGCATAGAAGTATAAAAACTGTTGCCATCTTTTGACATTTCTGGCAAGAAAATCAATCACTAGCCTTAGTGGTAATCATGGCTGCCTTTTCGGAGCAAAATGCAATACGTTGATGTCCTATTGCACCTAAGTGGTGTATAAGAAGAACTGACACCACGTTCGTCGCGAATTGTGGTATGGATTCAACAATTGTGACGCAGCTTAACATCACCATACCTCACACGATGTCCTGAACCATCTTGCGTCTCATCGTCGTGGCGATCTCGCAAACCCGAACGACCTTGAATATGAGGCGCTTCATCTAACTCATCAGTTGGCTTCGGTGTTCAATCGCTCTCCGTATCGAGACAATCTACCACGGCTCGTCTTGGGATACGCAGTTTTGCGTTCAATTCCGAGTCAGATGCATCTGACCCGCCTGAAAAGATGACCTTTGCCTCCTAATCAACCTTTTCATGTAAGTCTGCTGAGATAGAAGCTGCAGGTCGATTCATGTCTGTTGTAGATACAAGAGGTGGTCACTGATAAAAGAATCATGTTATTTCGTTTTGGCTACCCTCAGTCGCACGGCATCACTCGTCTGTGTGCTTTGAACTGTCCTCACCCTGCTAGCTCCCCCACTGACTGATCGGTTGGTGGCCGTCGCAGCATTTTCTCTAGCCGAATATTACGAGGAGCAGTGTCACCAGCCTTATTTAGCCTCTTTTCTCTTCCAAGTGCAAACCCCCTTCTAACAACATCTGCACCACAGATGAATGTCTGCCGCATGCGCCTTAGGTTTAGACTAGGAAGGTGCCAATTGAAATATAGAAGAGCTATTGTTTTTACCAAGTTTCTACCGCGCTTGCATCCCTTCGACGCCAATTATTTCCGCCCTGACTTTACTACACCATCCCAGAATAGAAAGTGCCGTTCGACTGAAGCGGTCGGCCGACTGCCACGTTTTTGCAGCGACTACTGCTATTTCAAAATTAGGTAACTTGCAGGCGCCCACAAAGAGTCTTGTAGCCGAGCCTTATACAGGTTTCGCCGCGCATCGCATGGAGTTTATAACAATGTAATCAAACATGTTGATGTGAGTGGATCAACCAACAAGTGCCCCTCATTTCGCCGAGTGACGCAACAGGGATCACCGAATCAATTGTAGCTGATCAGTGACTATTGGTAAACGAAGAGGGCGATATACCCTGTAACATGATATTGACATGGTTAAAGGTCAGTAGGAATGTTGCCCTTACACTTGTGTTCTTAGATATCACAAAAGAGGGTAATATTTAGCGACTGCAGCCTATCGGTTGATACGGGCCACTAAATAGATAAGACAGCGTCCAATTGGACGCGCGCAACGGGTGGCTTGCCGATAGTTACCATTCGTGTTTGTATTGTAATAAATTTTAGGAAGGCTTAGTGAGATATATTACAAGAATTTCTACCACACGGCATTCAGCTCTCTCTATGTACCCCATCTTACGTCTTGACAGAAGTCTACTCGCTTCCTCTGTACGTACGTGTGCGCGGGGTTACGCGAGATGTACCGACAATGTTATTAGTGAAGGCCTTCTCGAACTGGTATCAGTACAAGCGAGTTGCTCCATTACCGCGCCGTCGATTATGATAATTTTTTAGGAAAGAGTCGCCAGCTTGTTGTAAAAATGACCATTGAGTACTAACGACTGACTCCGATATCCTGCAATCGAAGTGTAGTCTCTGGTTCTCTATCAATGTACTAGGATACATGCACGAATGAATCTCGACACCACAACTAACATGTTTCTATGTGATTTTTAGCCAAGTATCGGATTGTCAAGAACCGTAGACATCATCAGTGCACTTTTTTACGATCTCGTGCGCCAACTTTATCCTACACATCTTGTGAGGCATTTTCTTTTCATTATTCGATCCGTTTCTTTTTCTCATTTCTTCTTCTTTCATCATAAATACATTTTCCCAAAATCGTTTGGTGCATCTTTGCATCGCCTAAAATACATGACAATTTGCTGAACGAAAGTCACTTCGCTCCGCGCAGCTGCAGCGCTTCCTGCCGTTAGATCGAAGAACTCGACCTCATCTGCACCTGACAAGCAATTGCGTACTCTCACTAAGCTTCGACCTGTACGCTCTAACGCATTCGTGCCACCATGACGCTCTCATACATAACGACATAATGTAGACAGACGTCGAACAGCAGAGGACGCAGCTCTGCCATTCATTTTGGCGCCACGTTTAGTCGCCAAGCGATCGGTAGCCATGTGTTCGATACTGCTGCGACCGCTTGTCCGATGCTCGCTGCCTCGCGCGGTATTGACGACGCGGTATGCTTCATACGTGCTCGGAATTGAGACCAGGTACGATACCCGCAGTGGTCATACAACGCACGCAGAGCTGCAGATGCTGTTGGCATAAAATTGGACAACTACGAGCTGGAGCTGCTCACGTACTTACTGACTTTTGATGTGAGCTGCTGCAGTTGCGACGACACGGCTGCAGCTGTGCTGACTCAAGACGGCCGAGTACTGAGCAGCGTCGTGTCGTCCCAATGGGAGCTCAATGCGACGTGGAAAGGTGCGGTCTCTGTGTGTGCGGTGCTCGAGTCAATGTGCGACGCACGGATCGCATGACTTTGTTCGGTCGGATATCAAACGTATTGGATGCGGTGTTGGTAGGGATTGTGCCAGCACTGGCAGCTCGAGCGCACGCTGACAATCTATCGCACGTGATCAACGCGGCTATGGAGCAGAGGTATCGACTGCGTCGTAGCAACAAGAAGGAGGGGTAGCAAGACTGCGGTGTGTGGTTGCACGACTGAGTTTGCCTCCGGTCGTCATGTGAATGGTAGCGGACTGACCAGCGTGCAGCAACTGTCGGCTGTGGCAGTGACATCAGGCCCAGGACTTGCACCATGTCTTGACGTGGGCTTGCAGACAGCACGGCAAATGTGTCTCGAGAATCCGGACATTGCGTTCTTACAGATCAACCACTTGGAGGTGCGGTATCTTGTGTCGCGATGTATTCGTTAAGCAGACTTTCAAGTTGCATGATGATGTTTCTTGTGCTGATATTGTAGGCTCATGTCCTCGTGTCAAGACTACCTCGAGTGTGTAACGCATATGCAGCTTTGACGACTGTAACTATCGTGCATGGATGATATCATTGCGTACTGACCAGGCGGGGCCATTCAGCTCGAGACACCTCGTCCGGAATTCCCCTTTGTCGCTCTGCTTGTGTCTGGAGGTCACTGCTGCCTTGTCTTGGCAAAGGGTCTCGGCGACTATGAGCTACTGGGCAAGACAGTTGATGATTCGATTGGCGAAGCGTATGACAAAGTCGCTCGCATGCTGGAGATCACTTCGTCAACCGGCCAAGGCGTACACGGGGGCAAGTTGATTGAGGAAATGGCTCGGCGTGGCAATGACTGCGCTTTTCCATTCACTGAGCCAATGAAGCATCGAAAGGTGCGTGCTTTGTTGTACGCCATCACCCTCACCATCATGTCGTGGCGAGGCACTGAACCCATGGTGGTCATGTCATGCTCAGGATTGCGACTTTTCCTACTCTGGAATCAAGACTGCAATGCTTCGGGAAGTGAAGAAGGTATGCAGCTGCCCTTGCAACACTCTGGATTGACAGGTCTTACATAATGCTGGTCGTGTAATCTACATCCTGACAGCTAGATGCAATCGACGAAAAGACCAAAGAAGACCTCTGCGCTTCTTTTCAGGTACGTGTGAGCTCATCTCGGCTGAGGCTTTCAGCGACTCAGGTCATTGCGTATGTGTGCGCGACGCGGTTGTTAGCGTACAGCAGTCGACCACTTGGTCACACGGACGCTTCGGGCGTGTCGATGGAGCAAAGAACGCGTGGGAGACAGTCTATCCACTCTTGTACGTGGACTTGACTCTCGAATCATGCACGGTTTCAGCTGAGCACTGACTCTGTCCTCTAGGTCGTATGTGGTGGTGTGGCATCGAACCAGTACCTCCGTCGCCGCATGCAGACCGCAGCAGAGACCGAAGAGGTCGTGGCAGTCTTTCCTCCAGCCAAGTATTGCACGGACAATGGTGTTATGGTTGCATGGGCAGGGCTCGAGCGATACGCCAAGGGCATGCGCAGTGAGCCAGAGACTGCACGCTACCAGCCACGATGGCCGCTCGAGACATTGCACCCGATGTAGCTGCACGTCCACTTATACGACGTCGGCCATCTCGCGCACATATCGACAGCAGAGTATCCATCCGTTGTACGTTGTATGGTCAACGAATGAGGTCAAGTTCACTGGATCGTATCCCTCCAGCCGACTCCCCAACCAAAAGCTTCTGTCGCAGCAGCTGTTTGCTCGCATTTTCCAGGAACGCGCTTGTCGGGCGTGACCAACGTCGACGACGCGACATGGTGTCCATTTCTGTGCATTTCTATCCATTTCTATGCATGCGGACGCGTCGTGGCAAACAACGACGCAAACGCTGTTCGTCGCGTGTCACCTCTCTCTCGCTTTATTGACACGTGCACGTTTCTATCCAAGCCCATCCATACCCAGTCTCTGCTACATGTCACAGTACCCCGAAGAGCCACGATCAATACGGACCCACTTGACCGCCGGACACTCGCAATGCCGGCGACGCAGCTACAAGTGCTGCGCCTGCAGCTCGTTGCAGCGACGCTCGCGCTCTCGTCCGCCCCGTACGGGGCCACCACAGCTGCAGCTCCGGTCGAACGCACGCGTCCCGTGCTGCTCGTCCCGGGCTTTGCGTCGTCCCAGCTGCAGTCGTGGAGCCAGTACCGATGCAACAGCGGCTTCAGCTCGAGTTTGTACCGCGATGTCAGCTTTGGCGATCGCTTGTGGGTCGACGTCGCGCGCGTGTTGGCCCAGACCGAGTGCTGGATCCGCTGCCTGAAACTCGACCTCCCGACGCAGGACGAAGTCGAGTGCAAACTCCGGTACGCTGTGTGTGAGCTGTGAGTTGTGTAGCCCCACTTGGCGCCGTGTCGCGGGCTCATTGATGGACTTGACGTTCGTTGTGCGGACATGTGCTTCTGTTCTAGAGCTGTGCAAGGTCTGGAAGCCGTGTCCGAGCTCGATCCCGGCATTGTCACGGGGCCGCTGTCTACGGTGTGGCGCAGCATGATCCACGACTTGGTCGACCACTTTGGGCTGGACCCGGATCAATTGATTGTTGCCACGTACGACTGGCGCCTGCCCCCGAGCAAGTTGCAAGACCGTGACAAGTACTTTTACGCACTCAAGAAGAAGAGTACGTTGAGTGGGCGGCGAGTGGGTGGGAGATACTGCGGCTCATGGCTGTTGTTGTTGCTGTTGTTGCTGCTGTTGTTGCTGCTGTTGTTGCTGTCTTCCCTTGTGCGTTTCAGTCGAGTATACGGTCGAGCTCGACGGCAACAATGGCGGACTTGTTGTGATTGCTCATTCGATGGGCAATGGCGTGTTCCGCTACTTCCTCGAGTGGCTGAATGACGAAGTGGGTCGCAACAACCGGCAGAGCTGGATCGACCGCCACATCTCGGCCTACTTTGCTGTCGGCTCGCCGCTCCTTGGAAGTGCCGAGTCGCTCGAGCTGATATCGTCGGGACTTACAGAAGGACTGCCAATCACGCAAAGCGAGATACGCAAACTCGTGGTATCATTCGGTACCTTTTCCATCATGTTTGTTGCAGCGCCATGTCTGTAAAATGATGTAACTAATCTGACCGCTTGTGGGATGCACCGCAGGCTCGATCTTGAGCTTCATGCCGATATCGTCTGGCTTGGACTCGGCCAAGGACAACGAAGTGCTCATTGCCGTGCGCTCTCAACTTCCTGGTAACAACCAGACGCAGTGCCGCAACTATACGAGTGCCGATATCGCTTCAGGTCAGCTTTTCCGCGATATGTCGGCACACGATCCGATCTTCGGCAAACTTGAGACGATGCGGCAAAGGTTTTACGCAGACGATCCTGTTCTCGATTACTTCAGACCCTGGGAACGTCCGCCCATCGCGTCGGTGTACAGTGTCTACGGTGTAAACGTTCCAGTACGTGTCGCCCAGGGATGTTTTTGTCATCAATGGTCGTCATTGACTGGTATGGCTTTCACTTCTGCAGACCAAAAACTTCTACGAGTACGAAAATGCAAACACACCAGGCCATTGGTACCAAGTGCAGTACGTGAACGAAGAAGGCGATGATCGAACCTGTACCAAAACAGGCGACGGCACTGTGACGTATCATTCGCTCTCCTGGGCGCACACGTGGCTCGGCTCGAAAGGGTCATCCGTGCGAGTCACGCAGACTCCACAGTCAGTGTATTTCTCAGCTGCTAATATCACGCGTGCGCGAGCTGTACGGCACGCGAATACCCATCACGCGGAGTATTCGCTGCTGAACGGTAACTCGCCAATTTGTGAGGACAACACTGCGTCGTCTTCCTCGTTTAGTGGCGGCGGCGCAACAAGTTTTTTTGCAGGGCTCTTTGGACCGCTCAACCGCGACCGAGTCACTTTTTTCGAGAGTTCTGGACAAGTGGGCGGAGCTGCTACATCCGTGAGTACGTTCGGTACTGCCATGACTTTGTTCGTACTCACGGTCGTGTCTTGTGGACTTGCAGACCGGTGTGTGGGAAATCGACGGCGTCAAGCACCGCGACATTCTTTCCAGTCCAGTGTTTCTCCGCGAGTTACGCGCCGAGCTGCGCCACATCTTCAATGGCAAAACAAACTCGGACAAGGTCAGCCGCTGCTTGGTGACCGGAGGCTGAAGAGACTGCTGACTAACGTGCGTGTATGTGTGACTGCGTGCCATGATGCTGTAGTCGTCTCGCCCGCCAGTGGTCGATGGCGACTGCTACTGGAATTATCGCTACGCTCGCTGTGAGTTCCCGGTGTTCTGCGAGTACCGATATGTTTTTGGCGACGTGACCTTCGACCAGTCCTGCCGCGTCCGCGTCAACAACAGACCTCCTTGCTCCAGCACATACGACTCCTTTCTTCGGCGTCTCAGCATCAACCTCGAGTCCAGAGCCAGTCGAGCTTTCGTTTCCTGGACCGTACTGTTCCGCACCGTGCTTGCTTCAGCCGTCTTCATCATCAAGCATTACACTGCCCCTGCTGTCGAAGTTCAGTTGCCTCGGTTCTCTTCAACACGAGCCGTTGCCGACACAAACATGCGACAAAGCCTCATCAACATGAACAAGCATACCCTTTCATCCAACGCACAAGTAGAACATGGTCGCCGACAAAGCAGGCAAACTTGTTTTCAGGTGCTCTCAACGGCGTTACAAGCAAACCTCGATGCGCAACTCGGCTCGTTACTGAAGCAAAGCGTCCGCGTGATAGTTGACGTGGTCTTCCACGAACGAAGCGATGAAGTAGTAGCTGTGGTCGTATCCGTCCTGTAAGTCATAGTCAGTAAACAAGACCACTAGCATTCCAACGCAACAGCGCATGGAGCGTCTTCTACCTGCATGCGAAGCGTCACCTTCTGGTCCACCAAATTGCACGCCGCCTCAAAAGCCTCAGGCAGTAGCTGCCGATCTTGCAGAAAGTTGTCCTCCCGTCCCTGGTCAATGAGAATGGGCTGGGCAATGGGCCCCTGCTTCAGAATGAGCTGTGTGGCATCGTATGTCTGCAGACACAAGCCACGGACGGCATCAGAAACACCTACGGTCAAGACCACCACTCCATTAGGGTCAACGACGAGCCGTCGACACCTCACCTTCCACGTTTCCTGGTCAACGCCCAAGTAGCCCGTGAACGCCTTGATCCCCCATGGACACTGACTCGGGTGCGAAATCGGGGCAAATGCCGAGATCGACTTGTACTGGTCCTGGATCATGTCAACACACAAGTTACAGCTTCGCTTCAGCCTCCAGCCTCACCACGAGCCAACAGATAACACAATTGGCCGTACGGGATTGCGAATGCCGAGCACGAGGGCACCGTGGCCACCCATGGAGTGTCCCATGATCGAGTGCTTGTCTTCCAGCACAGGAAAACTCGCAGTGACGAGCGCCGGTAGTTCTTTGCTCACGTACGAGTACATGCGGTAGTGCTCTTCCCACGCTGGCTCGGTCGCATCGACGTAAAAGCCCGCGCCCGTGCCAAAGTCCCAATGGTCTTGCTCCCCCGGGACGTTCACATTGCGTGGACTCGTGTCCACGGTCACGATCGCAATGCCGCGACTCGCAGCTGCCTTCTGGGCTTCAGGTGCCTTGACAAACAACAGCTCGTCGTCGCACGTGAGCCCCGCCAGGTAAAAGAGCACCGGCACTTTGTGACTGTCGCTCGCAGCAGGTGGCAGGAAGATGCTAAAGTGCATGGTGCATTTCGTACTGCTGCTCTCGTGCGCGTACCGCTTGACCACTCCTCCAAACGACTTGACTTGCTTCACGAGCTGCATGAGCGACAGACGACGACCAGAAGAGCTGCTACGAGGCCCCCAAGAAAACAAAGCACGAGATACCAACGAGGCACACACAAAAAAAAGGAGCACGTACTTATGGGAAGAGAGACCGCTGGAGAGAGCTGCACGTGAGCCTCTTACTCCCTCACGACGGACGGTCAAGCGTTCATTTAGTCAGTGTCTAAATCAGAGCCACAATCTCGGCGAGCAGTGGCTGCATGGCCCGGCAGCTCGGGGCGATGTGCAGACGACGCAGCACGTCTGCAAGCCCGAGATCCGTCGAGAGACTGCGCGCAGCTTCAAAGTTGAACAGCAAGTGACCGAGACCAACGATCAGGCCTTCAATCGTCGGCTGCTGCAGGGCCAGCGACGGGAGTTTCGAGACGCGGTCCAGCGTCTCGACCGCGCCGCAGACAATCGTCGTGATCACTACCTCTTCGCCCATCTTCAGTGCCACGCAGCAGTTGCTGATGATGTGCGCGCTCAGCACACGCGCTTCGTGGCTCGTTGACGGGTCACTGATCGCCGTGAACACGAACGGGAGGAACCGGGGCGAGCTGGACAGCGCCATGTCGCAACAGCCGGCATTGGCGAACGCGTTCAGCAGCACCGATAGCACCAGCGTCTTCTGGGCAGACGTCAGCTGCACCGACGCAGCGTCCGTCTCGCGCACAACAGCTTCAAAGCACGCCTTCTTCTCCGCTCCAGCCTCAAGAGCACTACTAGCTGGCTGCAGTAGCAGCAACACTCGAAACAGCCCCAGCGCTGGGAAGAAGAGCGCTGCCTCGTGTCCCAGAGCGACCAACTTGTTGATCGCCTTCCACGACGCTTCCACGATAGTCGACTCGAGTTCCTGGTCGGGCGTTGCTGCGGTCACATGAGCTACGACCGCATTGAGCGCCGCCATCTCGTCGTCCGACACAATGCGCTGCTCGCTGTTCAACACGTCCATGCGCTGCAGGATCTTGTCCACATGTAGTGCTGGTGCTCCTGTGATCTTAAAACGAGGCGCGCTCCGACCTACGGACGCAGTGGCAGCAGTAGAAGCAGCGGGCGCTGCTGGTGCGAGTGGCGACACCTCAGCATTCGCACGCGATGGATCGTTGAATGGAATGGAGAACAGCTGGTCCCCCGCGCTCGCATGCATCTGGCGGTTCATGTTTTCCAGCATCGGTCTCAGCGTTGCACTGCGTGCTCCCACCCCCCACACACACACGCACATAACGCACAGCATAGCAACGTCAGTACGTGCACCACACCCACCCACCAATGCAGCTGCTGTACACAGCAATTGTAGCCACACTCACACGTACCCAAATGGCGAGTTCAGCGCCTCGTTCGGCAGGTCCAAAATGTACTGCGGAATGCCCGACCCCACGAGGAACGTCGCGACGTGGTCGGAAAAGTTGTTGCAATTGTGGCGCAGCAAATCGTACGTTGCGTCAGTGTAGCGCGCGCGCTGGTCGGCGAGGAACTGCTCCAGCTCGCGCTGCGTGCGCCTCGTCTCCCCCAGCGCAATCGTCCGCACGGGCTGCATCCCATAGCGCTGCGCCACGAGCTCGGCCGCCATGGCCTGGATCCCGCCGCCGCCAAAGAAGTACTCGGTGTGGAACACGAACACGCCCGTGTGCCAGACGCCGTCGATGGTCTTGCCCAGCAGGGCCGGCGACAGCTGCCGCGCCATGCCGTGGCTCAGGTCGTACACGTGAAGAGTGACGCTGGACATACGATGGCACTTGAAGGGGTACGAAATTGGATTGTCAAGTCGTTTGGAGACTGACGACGCGGGCGATGGGTACACACACGCGCGCGCGAGGAACGTTCGAGAAGGCGCAGAACGTTCGACGAGGGTACCACACGTCGACAGGTGACAGAAAAAGGGGCATGAAAAAAGCGCTTTTTCCATGTCGCGCGCCGACGCGTACCTGGCGTTGTACTTACTAGTGATCGATCATGCTGGTACACGAGCACGAGCGATAGAAATAGCGAGTTTACGACTGCTGTTTCTAAAAGAACATTCCTCGCGGCTTCGAAGCGATCTTGAAGAGACGTGGAGCGAGAACGAGGTGACGACCACGACGGCGACGGGTGCCGAGGAGCTATGCGAGTGCCCGATATCCCTGTTGCTTCGACGTGAGCTGCCCGTGGTACTTACGGCCGAGGAAGAGACCGGCAATGCCCGAAAGAATGACGAGGACCGTCGTCGTGGCGTACGACACAGACCCTTCGTGTGCGACTTGAACGATCTTTGCCTTCGCCGTCGCAACTGCTCCCGTGCTCGAGGACGCCGATGCAGGGGATGGAGCGTCCGAGTCGTCTTCACCTGCGTCAAAGAAGCCCACCTCTTGGAGCCACCACTTTGGATAGAAGATCGAGTGAACGGTGAGCCTCTTTGCGTAAAAGTCGGACACCTGGAAGCCGTCGTGAAAGGCCGTGACGAGGTAGTCAAACAGGTCGACAGACGCACGATGCGCTCGTTGCGCAAATGCCTCACTCTTTGTCGTGTAGAACTCGACCATGGCACGTACACCACCATCGCGCTTGTGTTGCGCAGCCTCGCGGAGCACATTTTGCAGCATACCGTCCGCATAGCTCTCCATGTCATCCTGAACTCTCGCGACGAAAGGGATGGTGTGCGAGTAGAAGCGCGACGCCCAGTTGCCAACCAGCGCATGGATCCAAAAGGATGAGTTCCGATCAAACGCGTAGAGCGAACCACGTGATAATTGCTTGGGCACGGCAGTCACTTGGACAAACACGGGCGTGTAGGTGGTTGCGTGCGGGGCGTACTGGCCAAACCAGACGAACGCGTTGTCTGGATTGTGTGGATCCAAGATCGAGACGAACGAGTAGCTCGCACGGAAGATGGAGATCGCGCGCTCAAAGTGGCCACGCGACAGATCGTCTCGAGTCAGGTCGCCGTTCGGTGAATCATCGTAGCGATCGGGGTTCCCGTATGGACCACCCTTCGGACCTTTGGTCATGTCAAACGGCGTGCCTTCATAGTGGTCCCTCTGAAAGCGCATGATGTCGCGAGGGGATAGAGGCGACGCTGGCTTGACTCCGAACGGGTAGTCACTAGCAAACAGATCGGTCTCCGGGGATAGCGGCAACGCCGGGTTCGCCAGCGTGAACAAGCGCCAGATACGACGAGTGGAGTAGTACTGGTGCGTTGCTTTGCGTGGCTGCGCATACACACGCGTAAAGTCAAACGGCGTGCTGCCCTTGGGCTTCCACAGGTTGTGGCGAATAGCAACGTCGTGCACATTGGGAGAGGCCAAGAAGTCTGCCGGGTGGTTCAAGTCCAACTCGTGGATGACGAATTGGTTGGCGACGCCACTGATCTGGTCGTCCGGGACGCGCTGGGCAGCCCAGATAGCCGACTTGCCGGTATCGTCTGGCAGAATGTGGAACACCCACGCCTCTTTCGTGTCGGTCACCGTGAGCGCTTCGCCAGCTTCGTCATAGACACCGTCTCCTTCCCACACAACACCATAGTATCCGTACTGCACGGCGAGGTCTCCCATCAATTGGACTGCCTCACGGGCTGTTCGAGTTCGTTGCAGTGCGAGGCGAGAGAGTTCGCTCACGTCAAAGAGCGCGTCCCCGCCTTGTGTGCGTGGTTTGGCCCAGAACCGCGCGGGACACGTGCTCTCACCAATCGCAACTTGGTGTTCATTGATGATTCCGTAAGCACCTTCAATGTAGCCAAAGGTTTGTGGCACCTCCGGGATGCTGCCAATAGCAGGCGATGCAGTCCAATTGAAGAACCGCGTGTCCACGTTCTCGGGGAGGTACGCGTTGCCACGAGCGCTGCCAACTGCACAGACAGACAGCAGAGAAGAACAGACACTAGTCAGCATACCATCGTCGAGTGTACAATGGAGTTGAACGCGAGTGTACCGTATCGGGGGTAGTCAAAGGCAGCGAGCACCACTTCGTGCTGAGCGCCAGCCTCGTGCACTTTCGCCGGCACCTTTGCGATACGAAAGTCGCACGACGAGCAGTCGTTCGTATGCGTCGTCATGGGCGTGCCCGTCGTAGATGCCTAATGGATTGGGAGCACTTGCCTGCGTTAGAACACACACACACACAGCGGCACGGTAGGTACAGCAGCTAGAGGTCGCAGGATCCACGCACCTTGGCACCGACGATGATGGCCGTGCAGCGGTCTTTCGCCTCGGCGGACGCTGCCAGTGCAGCCAGCACGAGCGCGACGGTGGGACGTATCATGCTGAGTCACCGTTGGGGGACTCGCTTGAGGACTCGATCCTGACGTGGCTCGTTGGTGAATGAGCGGTCTGCAGCAGGAGATCAACTGCGTGGGTTCAACCACAATGGGTTCATTCAGTATGGGTTCAAACCCTGTGGGTTCACCCATTGTGGATATGGATGGATCCATCCAGAGTCTTGTGTCGATGGTGTGCGTTCCGTGTGGTACACTACACATACACACGAGTTGGGTCCCTGTTTCTTGTGACGGCGAACCAGGTGGCACGTTGACACCGTCGTGTCATTTTGTCAGGGGTGGCGTCACCGTACAAAAACAGCGACCACAGACTTGAGGGGGGGGGGGGGGGGCTGGGCGGTGAGCATCCCAGTTTCCACGTCTGTCTGTCTGTCTGTCTGTCTGTCTGTCTGTCGTTTTGCCGTCACGCGATAGTCCATCACTATGCGACGTGTTCGTGCTGACTAGAGACTTGCGCGCGGAGCCGAGCACACAAAGGGGTAACCACAATGGTGACATGGCTTCATGCGCCCATCACGAGTGACCAACAACGTGGGAACCACGTGGTCAACAACGCAAGTTCGACGACTCTCCCCCGTCACATATAGGCAAGTCGAGCGTCCTCCCCTCATGTCGCTCTCGATGCTGTACAAAGCATGCACGCTACACCCCGACTACCTCCCTCGATCCGTCGTAAAAGAGCTAACAACACACACATATTGATCCGTCTCAACAAGCGTGGACAGTGCGGATTCAGCACACACACGAGCAAGCCACCAAGTGCTCGCACGCTCGTTGTACCCGGCGGTTGCCATTCGAAACGTCCTGGAGGACGCCAAGCCAGGAAAAAAGCCTGTCGAACGCAGAACGTAACGTAAAGTTGCAGTAGTAGCAGCCACCGTGAGCTCAGTACGTACGGACATACATACTGGTTTTCCGTCCACCATAGCAGAGACTTGTGGTTCGTACGAAACGAAACACGTAGAGAGAGACCAACTGTCTTACGCTATTTCCCGCTCTTGACGCGTCGTTTGGAGCGACTTTTTTTCTGCAAACGTTGAAAAATTGCGCGCGTCCGACGATCGGTCGGTAGTGGTGGCGTCGTACTCGTGCCACCGACTCCCCTCTCTCTCGTGCGACACTGTTCGTCGACACGCAACTTTCGCTTTGTGTATACGAGCGCTAACTGAAGCCCGGGCGCGCGCGCGACTCGACCCGTCTTTGCACGTCCTTCCTTTTTTCAACACGGTGATCCCGCATTAGCACATTCGCACATTCGCTCGACAACGCGCATCGATCGGTCAGGCAACCGGTCTGGAATCAGGGCGCTGGCTTAAGTACGAACCCAAAAGACCTGCTCACAACATCAACTACTACTACTACTACTACTACTACTACTGCCCATCGCAATCACACATATGACGGACCTCTACGAGTCGCCGTTTGTTCGGGTGGAGGAGCCCGCGTCAGCAACTGCAGCGTCGCCCAATGGCACAAGTGCGAGCTACGAAGACGAAGACGACGCATACGAAGACGAAGAGCAGCGGACCGACCACAGCGGCGGCAGCAGCAGCATAGGACTGCCGCCCATCACGCCCGGGCGCGGCAAACCCAACGCCGACGAGGTCTTTCTCCGCAACATGCTCGGCCTCTTGAACAAACGCGGCTACAACGTGCGCGAGTCAACGAACGAGACGTCGACCGCGTCGTCCTCGGCGAGCTTGACGTGCTCGAGCAGCTTTACCAGTACCGGCTCGTCGACCGTGTCGTCCGTGCTCCTGGCCCTACGGGAACCGAATCACGGCCAATCGCCGCTCCATATTGCCGTGCGCCGATGCGACATGCAGGTTCTGGATGCGCTGCTGGAGCACGAGAGCCGGGACGAGCTGCTTGACGTGCCGGATTCCAACGGGAACACGGCACTGCACTTTGCGACGGGCCACTGGCGACGGCCCACGAGTGTCAACGTGACGGAAAAGCTGCTGGCCGCTGGGGGCAATGTCCATGCCGAGAACAAACGGGGCCTCACGCCATTGGGTGTGCACATGCTCACGCTCAAGATTGACAATCCTACGCTGGTCGCGAAGCTGCTAGAAGCTGGCGCGGACCCGAACACGGAAGCAGAGGGCCTTGCAGTGCTACACCTGGCCGCTCGACGTGGCTTGCCGGTCGTTTCGGCCGTGTTGACGGCATTTGGAGCTTCAATGCTGTCGCTGAATGCTGACGGACTCATGTGTTACGAAGTCGCTTCGCCGCGTGTGAAGCAGTTTATGGCGCGCAGCATCAACAGAACGCCACCTGCTTATGTATCGATGACACAGCGATGTGCTTGCATGCTGTGCAAGTCGACGACGCTCGTGAGTCATAAGAAGGTGCTTGGGAACATGGTGAAGCGGGTACTGGGCATGCACATGCGGACTCACCCAAGCAATTGCTATCACTGCGGTATGCTCTTTTGCTCACAATGCCTGAAGCCATCGACAGCTGTCAGCGCCATTCCATTTGTCCGTGACGACGACGCAACATGTGGAAAGATCAAAACGTGTCGTTTGTGTGAGGCGGTGCTTCTGGACCGCAAGAAGAAGCAGGCGGCACAACACGTGTTCGACATGCATGTGAGGGGTATCCACCCGACCATGCAGATGACCAGATAGAAGACAAATGGACCGGCTGCGCATTGGCGCAGATACCATCACACCGCCGCAAAGGCGACCATGCTCGAACAAGAGTGCAATTGTGACGACGACGGGACGGGGGGAATGTGCACCAAAGGGAGTGCCGGCAAGTCGACGTGCTAGAACGTTTTGCCACAGCATTCTCTCCTCCGTCGACCCCCGGCATTGCTCACCCGACCCGATAACTTAATACAAGCAGCGTGCATTTTAGCTCCTCCGCAGCTCGGACGTTCACGCTACGCCAACATGAGCCAAGCACCTACGCAAACATGCCACCGAGTCCGTCTCCCTCGGACAGACCGTCACCAGCGTTGGCGCGTTTCGCTTCGCGCATCGCCGCCTTTTCTTCTCCGCGCTTATTGTCCGCCGGATCAAACGCCGGGTACGCATCCAGCACGAACTTGCCCTGCGTACTCGTGGTCTCCATTGCACGGACCGGAAACTGCGCGAGCGTAGTGAAGTGGTGCAACGTGATCGCTGTAACGACAGTGGTGTCCAGAACGAGCCCGCTGGAAGCTTGTGTCTGCTCGCCATGAAAAGGAACGTGGACAAAGTGGTCGCAAATAGCGCGCTGTTCCTCTGAAAGTCCAGGAAACTGCACAGCATCAACGTCGCACAACATCAATGGCAAAAAAAACTGCAGCAATGTCCAGCGACAAACGACAACGACTGCATGTTGGTTGTCTCTACATGTACCTCGTTATCGACGACGAAGGCACTGGTCCCTTCATACGGCATGACGTGTGCCCCTGATACGCCGAACATCAAGTCGGTCAGTCCAAGTGAGTGGCACAAAAAAGCCATGAGAACCAGGTCAGAAGCTGCCAATAATTGACAGACGTACCAATGGATCCGGTCGGCTGCTTGCTCAGGCCAAAAATGGTGCAGCGTCTAGCCTTCAAGTACTCACGAGCCTCGGCAAAGTCGTAGAAGTTTACGACGTCAACATACTTTTGCGCTCGGTGCGCTCCGTGAGTGCCAAAGCGTTCGGCGCCCACTGCTCGTCAGCAACGCGGAGCCAGTCATTAGCTTTTTTCTTTTGCCACATTGTGACGCTGTGCATAACATGAGACAAGCGTTGCACGCACCGACCACAACTTGGGTCGTCCCAAAGGCAGACGCAGTGCGTAGATACGTGCCGAGGTTCTGCCGTCCGCTCTTGTTGGACAGCACGACGTACAGCTCCACCGTCATGCTGCAGTAGCGACTCGCTACTAGTCAACCGGTTTTCCCTCGATAAAGTGCCCCTGCGACGTGTGGGAATTCATGTGAGCCGACCGTCAACGCAGCGTTCCTTGGCATAAAACTTGCAAAAGCTGCGAGGAGTCCACTTGTCTTTGTTTGCTTGCACCACTTTGGAATGTTTGGCAAAGTCCACGCCACGGTCTTGAGCGTGCCAACTGCCCTCGTCGTGCAACGCTTCCAGCGCACACGGAACAAATTCGTCGGCAACAAATTCCAGCTCGAGACGTTGCAGTCTTGTGCTTGCCGTGTGGCTCTGCAGGACGATGGAAAAAGGATCGACCGCGTCATTGGTAAAACGCAGCATTCCAAAGCAATGGCGAAATTCGGTCGCCGGCTGCGCACTTGAGTCGAGACACGAACTGTCGCCAAAGACTGCGATGCGACCTCCGTCGCGTGAGGGCACTTCGTAGAGACCCAAGACTGGAACACCCGTGACGATTGTCTCAGTACCATTCAGGATCTCTGCACTTTGGTCGATGGCGTCAATGTAGCCAGATGTCCACCGACAGGGAAATTCGTGAGATACGAACCCGACCAGTACGGAAACGACGAGTTGTTGTCGAACAGAGACACGCCCGTGCTGTGAACAACTCCATTTCCAAACGCGATATGGAAACTCTGGAGCAGCCCGTTGATTGCCAGTACATTTGCGCCACCGGTGATGGCACGCCACTTGCTCAATGTGCTTGTGTCGTAAAGCTCGAGGGAGTCAAGCATACGATTGTCATACCAGTCGGCAAAAATGATCAGGGACACGTTCGAGTTCTTGACCGCCGCCTGCAAGACGACGATTTCATCTCGGAAGAACTCTTCTTCCGGGTCAACGACGAGCATGACGCCATATGTACTCAGATCCAAGCACGAGTACTCGAACGGCAAGACCTCGACGAAGAACCCTTCGCTTGTCAAAAAGCTCCACATCTGGTGAAAGTTTGTGTGCGGATGATCTCCCGCAACATCCATGAGATCGTGCTGGTTTTCGAGGTTGTCGCGTGGCACAAAAGCGGATGGATAGGGAATGTTGCGAAACTGTTCCCACAGAATTCGCTTTGACGCTTGCGGAGAGGGTATGATCCGAACAGCTATCTGTACAAGTAGGTCATCGACATGATCGCCATTGTCTACTTCAAGTCGCAGCAGTCCCTCAGCAATACCCTCGAAAGCAGCAGCCTGTTCGTTCGCCTCATTAAAAACGCCAACTGAGCCAATGTAGGGCCACATAGCAGAACGCGTTGACGTCGAAACTGCTAGATGCTCGCCATGAGTCCCGCCTATCCACTGCGGTGGACTTTTGATGACGCCTCCAACAGATGCGGGATTCAGGATCGTCAAGTTTACCACGAGAGGTAGTGCCTTGTGATAAAGCGGCTGTGAGCAATACGGCCACATACGTGGACAGTCTGTCCGGGAAAGAGCTTGGCTTGAAGACACTAAGAATCGGCATCTGCCCGTTTTGTGTAGCGTTCTGCGCACTTTGGTGCTGAGACCATAAACGCTCTACCATCTCGCTTGCCTTCGACATGTTAAGCACTCCACCACCTTGCTCAAAAATGTGGCCTCGTACAGCATAGTCAGAATCATGACGAGCTACCAGTTTGTCTGAGCTTTCAAGCAGAATTTGCTTCATCGATGCTGCGTTCAACAAGCTCCACCTCTTACCGGCAGGTATCATGGATGCAAGGACGCTTATTGCTGCCGATACGATCGGAGCTGACGCGCTGGTTCCAGAGAGCGTCTTGCATCTGCCCGAAACATCTGCGCCAAGAACGCCTTCCGCAAAAGTGACAATATCTGGCTTGACTCGACCAGATCCGAATGGAAGCTCCCACGTCGTCATGCTACGCGGCGAGAAGTCGGCAACCTCACCGCTTCTCGTAATGCCTCCCACACCCATGACCTCCACTTGATCTGCAGGATTAGAAAGCATGCCATAATGAGGTCCACTACTACCGACCGCAGAAACCTGAGAGGAGCAACGTGGTCACTTGCTTTGCTCGATTAGCTGCGACACAACAAGAAGGCAGATACCGTACCGGAATGATCCCATTTGCAGTCAGTTCTCGAACTTTGTCGACAAATTTGAGTATAGGAAATCTGGCTTTCCTATACTCAAATTCAGCACGTGTATTCGCTTGAACAGCGCGTAGTTGAACGCATCCGGATACCACGACGTAAACGACAGTTGCTCGCGGGTAAACATGCGAAACACAAACAGCTCGGCTTCGGGCGCAATGCCTGGACACTTTGCAGTTGTCCCACTCATCACACCTGCTACGAACGTGCCGTGACCGATCACGTCTGTATTGACCGGCTCATGGGTCCAGTTGATTTGCTCTGCAACATGCCTAAACTGTGCCGATGACGACGTCGACGACAACGACAGTCCGGTATCGAAGATCCCGATTTTGACACCTCTTCCTGCATAGCCTCGTTTCCAGAGCTCTCGAGCCCCCAGTTTGTCCACGAGCAACGCCGTCTCGTTCTGTAACCCCAGTTCCTCCTTTGCATCACTGCGTTCCTGAAGTTTGCTCGTTGCTGTCTGCACATTACGTCGTCGCATCTCTTGCCGCTCGTGTACCCCGAGCAGGGCCACGTTTCTGTGCCCATAATTCACTCGAACAGCTTTCAGCGGTCCTCGCGCGTTCGTTTCCACGTGCTGTTGCATCACACTGTCAACTGTAAGACACACGTCGGGCTCTGCTCTTTCTGCCGTGGCAACGCCACCTCGAAACGCCCTCAAATCGCAGTCAAATAGACGCAAGACGACGAAATCTGTCGGCGCTTGACGGGCAAAGTCCGACCGCGCGGCACTCTCGAGACTATAGTGGGACGCAGCTGAGCTCACCAGTGCACTCACGAGCTGTTCTTGAGCCGCTACGGTGTCGTGCGCGCGTAAGTGCGCAATGTATTCGTGTGGAGTGGCGTTTGCATACAAGTGACAGCGCTTTGACTGCGCGGGCGCTGCGTTCGTCAGCAATAGAGCTGCGAGGAACAAGCACAGAGTCAGTAGAACCGACACAGAGGAAGCAGATGGCTGTGCGGTGGCTGGAGAGAGCGGCCAGTGGACGGCGGCGATCGCAGGTCGGGTCATTGCGAGCGCGGGGTAAAGGTGGACTGAAGCAGGAGTGATGGTCGTGCAGTGAACCCATCATGTGGGCAACATCGTAACTTCAACGAACGAAGTTCGACGGTCTGAGTCGCTGGTAAGCGTTGCTGTTGACCGGTGTGAACGGCCCTGTTGGGCTGTCTTGACGTATGTATGTAGGACATCCGGGGACGGTGTCGAATCAAATGTAGCCATCTGCTGACGTCGGTCGCTAGCTAAGGTATCGACTGGAGAAAACACCATGAAGACCATCGCAGACAGACGGGACGGATGAACCAGAGTCGTGTTCGCAGTAGGGTCCCACGCCGTGGATGGCAATCACTTACCTGATATTTCGGTCGTCCAACTATCGTCAGGGTCAAAGGGCTTGTAGCGATGCCGACGTGACTTTGCACGACACAGTTAGTGGCGCAATAGCTCGCGGGGAAGAAGGCGCTTGTGAACGCCGAGTGATGGACGTGTTCCGTTCAACTGTATCAACGATCGAGGGACAGTACACTTTCCAAGTCAGCCTAAGCCTTAGCTGCACTACATGTGTTCAACACTAGTGCCACCAGTCAAGTCGAAAGTGTGCAGCCAGTAAATGGCTTTGAACAAACGTTGTACGTATCGCTAGTGGTGGTACTGGGTTGGCACAGTACCACCACTAGCGATCGCTCATTTGCACACACGTGCTGCACAAAAGAGAGCGTCTTCGCCATCGAATGTGTCTATGGTGGCGGAACATCCGTTGCACGATTTAGGCAAAAGCATTGCGCGGAAGCAACGGCTACTTGAACGAACTCCAAGACTTGAGCCTCGGCGTCAATGTAGAGCTACGCAGCTCTTCAGACAGGTGTCCAGCTGACCAGCTGTGCCGCAACATATCCATCGACAACTGTCATCCGGTGATTCCTGGCGTTACAGCTGCAAGAGTTTGGCTACTTCGAGCATTACAGCCTGCACAGTTGCCGACGATTCCCGCTTTGCATCAATTATCGTAAGTCACTTTTCGCCTTGCCGTCGTGGGTTGAAGTTGCTATGCTGCCTAAAGAAGCCCCGAGTTACATGGCGACTAGTTCAGCACGCGACAACAACACTTGAAAAGTGTCGATACATGTACACTCGTGTGGCAAAACTTGTGCTGGCTGTTTTTTTCGTCTTGACCAATGCGTCGGATTGAATCTGACAAGATGCAAGAGCGACTGTCAACAAGGCGGGCACTGTCGCTCGTGTACCGCTCGAGAGTACACAGTATTACAGTTTGAGCAGAAGTCTTCACTCTTTTATCTGCCGCTTTCGTTTTGCCACGTTGTTGTGGTGCTGTCTAGGCCAAAACTTGTTTGATACCTGTAAAAGATGGAATCGAGATGGGCATCAGTGGTTGTTATTGCAGTTCATCTACCCTTGAGTGTCACCACGTCTACCGACACTGCACTGGAAAATGGCGGGGCACCGAATGGACCAGATCGAAACGGTAGAGAATCTGTCCTGCCTTACCAGAAGCGATACGACCACCATTCAATCCTTGTTGCACCATCACGAGCGAATGGCAAAGGGCGCGGAGCCGAGGCTGCCCAATCCATGCAACGACAACGAGAGCGCGAGAGCAAACGATACCAATGCTATCGTTCATTCATCAGGTGAGCGCGTCACTTTTGTGCCAGTTCACTTGTCCTCTCCTTCGTTTACCGCCTGCCTCAACTGTCGCGCTGCGACACGTCACTGCTACCACTGAACCTTTCGGTCTCGTCGCCGTCTTCGTACTTCTCATCGTGCTCTTCAGTAGTCGATGAGGGTGATGATAGTGGTAATGGTACTCCAAACACCACGTTACGCAAAAGCCCAAAGCTCTCTGACACCAATGAGTAGAATAGGAGCCACTGAACGCGCACAAACACGGCCAGCAAACAAATGAGCGCAGCGTAAATTGCCCAGACATCCAGCAAAGCCGTTTTGTGCCAAGGCGCTGTCAAGTTCAGTGTTGCAAGATGATCACATCCTAGTCGTAGCGCGGCATCAATCATATCGATCGCACGAGAAGTACCACCAGCTCGTTCCAACAACGAACCAACCCGTTGTGCGGCCCGCGTATACGAGACATTCTCCAGCAGTTCCGTGGCTGCAGCTTGAACGTACGGACCCGAAAGGAGATTCTTATCCAGCGACAATCCTGCCCCGGCGTCGACAACGCGTGCCGCAACATCTGGCTGATCCACAAGGAACGGAATACATAGCAGTGGCTTCTTCATCACTAGCACTTCTTGAGCTGATACCATGCCACAATGCGAAACAACTAAGCGCACAGCTGGGTGATCCAAGATCTCTAGGTTTGACAGAAATAAACTTGAAGATTCAACAACCCATGACGTCGGTAACACAGACGGCAAGATGTCGCGCTGGTCGGTAGGAAGAATCCAAAGCACGTTCATGGGCACGTTATTGGGTCCAATTCGTAGTCCGTCTACGAGAGCTTGAGCTTGCCATGCGTCGATGTACGCCATAGTGCCGAGATTTATATACACTACGCCACTAGGACCCGCTTGGGCCTCGTTATCGTCAGATGACGTAGTCGGAGGAGGACGCACGTAAGCTTCTCGCCGGCGTAATCGCATCAGCGTGCTAGACTCAATCGACGCATCAAGCCAGCTCAGTAGCGTTGGTGGAAGCATCTGACGTTCCAGCCTGTTGGCATATCCCCCTGGCACCGGCAGGATGGGCCCTACAGCATCCACAAGTGGCGAAAGAATCTGCGGATGTTCAAGCCCGAATGCAGTATTGAGGATCACGCGTGCACCTTTAAACAAGTCATGCTGGGATCGAAACGGTGGCAAGTCCACTTCATAGCGCACTTTGTTCAGCTCCATGAACGGCGGGGTCAATGCAACGGACAACAGCCTCGGGAACAAAATGTTCATACACCTATTCCACAGCGACATGTTGATGCTAAACCCCGTGCCCCACGCAGGCACATAGCTCGGCGCTTCGCCGAGATCAAAGAGTAGCGACGGCGAGTTCAAGATGTACGGGACGTCCAGCTTCTCGGCCAGAGCTTGCACTCCGACAGTCGCAATGTCCACGACGAGCAAGTCCGGTGCCTTGTTGTTGCTTCCATTGACTTCAAACTGAAACAGGAGCGCGTCGAACATGGGCTTTGCCGCACGCACGTAAATGTCGTTAAACATGGTCAAAATGCCTCGAAAATTCGAGGCGTCGCGCGTCATGGCACGAAGTTTGGCCCGAAGGTCTTCATCCGATAACGGAAACGTCCCGGCGGACACAAAAGGAAGACCGTAAGCGTACGCCCAGTCGCGGCCAGAGTCCTGAGTCGCGAACGAAACGCGATAGCCCCTTTCTTGCATCTCGCTGGCCAGTCGGAGCAGCGGCTGCGCATGTCCTTCGATAGCGATCGATACAAAGAGAATGTGCGGTTTGCTTGGGTCGAGCACCGGGGCCAACGCGGCTGTAAACGGCGGTGCAAAGTGCAGACAGTCGCTGGTATCCGACAAACAGACGGAGTTGTTGATGTTGGCAATGGATTCCGACGCGCCGAACGGACGGATCGACCGCATACCTTCGGAGGCGTTGCTGAAGACGCGTTTGTAGCTCTTCGCACTGGTTAACCGGACGAGGGCCGAGAGGGAGAGGAGCAGTACGAGACGCAATGGGTGCGAGCGCTGGAGCGCACGACGCGGCTGCATGTTGGCGGACGAGTTGTGGATTACGTGTGGTGCACATCACTGTCGTGCCAGTCGAAGTAAATTGTACGACCAATCGGTTGGGGGGCTACTTGTGCAAGTAGCGATGTACAGCTGTCGAGTGCCGCGATGGTCGCATAGTCCCTCCGAGGTGGAATATACGACCGAGCGGGACGATATTTCTGTGACCTCGCTCGTGCTTTCAACGATTGCGCATACATGTAGCCACTGTGCTATCATCGTGTCTGCTTTTTACTGCTGATCGATGTATTGGATTGAGACCGACGACTGCACGGCGGGCACATATACCCCAAGCACAAAGTACACACAGAACGGCCATTGGACGCGTATTGCTATCGCTTCGTCGAACCTTCTGAGCAGCTCATTTTCTCTTGTGCTACCGACAGTGGTCGACATGAAAGTCTCATATGCATTCGCTTCGTCTTGTGGCGATGAGGACAGCAATCGGACTGGGCTGCTGCATGGTGCACATTTGATGTAAGACTGAAGCTTACCAGTCGATCAGGCACGAGAGAACATGGCTACTTAGCCTCTCGTCGAGTGAAGGGTCAATGAGAGAAGAATATGGGTCGTGTCAAACGCCGCTGCTTGCGTTGCCGCACTCAATTGCCGTCCGGGCAATTTCAATTTGGATAGAATGGATGCTGCGCTGCTTCATTGCCTGTATCGTCAAGATGTTCAGGGAATCACAAAGGTGGCAGCCGCACGTGATCTACGATTCGTCGTACGATGGGACGTGGAAAACGCACCTGAGCTACTTACAGACGTAAGGTGCTACACATGCTGCAAGAAGAAGAAGAACAAAGCGCTCGCTAGGCGGCCAGGATGGATACATCCATGCAGGAGCGCAGCTCGAACGCACGACAGACAGCATGTGCGAAAGCTCCACGTTCGCCACAGCGCTAACTGATCCGACAGGCATCTTCGAATGCTCCATATCTAGTTGAATGCGTAGCCATCGTACACCATTGTTTCTGCTGCACATGGACTCGTGCATACCGCACAGTTGTATCAACAGCCTGGTGGTTCAACAGCACGACCGAGCAGAGAAAATCAATAGTACTTCTACATACAATGTCCGGTCGAGCCCGTGCCATGCAGTTTCGACTACGGCTGTGTCCTCGCGAGTCTGTGTGGCGCACATGACTTGCTTTGCTCTCTATTTCGACGCACAAAAAGGCTCAGCGAGTGACGCAAAAAACGGAGACGGTCAATATATACTGTCTCTCAGCCACGCATGGATTTGTGACATGGCTACACCAACTGTCAGTCAACAGAGCTTGACGTCGACAACAACACATGGCTACATCGTCCTCGTGGTACTTCACAACAAGTGCCACAAACACAACTACTAGCCATGTAACACATGGCTACATCGTCCTCGTGGTACTTCACAACAAGTGCCACAAACACAACTGCGTAGCACGCACATGGCACCGACACGACGGACGCCGGAGAGCGCTGTGCGCAACGCCACACTGCGCAAGTGGTATGCCCGGGCGTGGTGGATCGGTCTGCACGTCTATGGCTACGTGGTGCTGGGCTACAAGGGCGCGCTGAGCCCCGACGCGCTGTCCATAGCTCCATTCGTCTTGTCTCTGGTCGTCGCAGTACTGGCGATCACTTGTTACATTGTGCTCCAGTGCTCGTCGCCGGGCCACCTCGAGAAGCGGCCGTTCGTTTCAGCTGACGTTGGACCGCACAATGGAATGCCGGCGTCGGTCGGGTTTCCGTCCCCAGTTATCGCAGCCGAAGACGGTGTGAACACGGAACTGCTCGCCGAGGGATCCGACAATGGGCTGCTGGACAACAGCAGCAGTGATCTCCACTTCTGCAACGAATGCCACGTGTTCCAGCCACTACGGACGAAACACTGGTGCGGACCGAGGACGGTAGCTAGCAGGAGGCAACACGTAGCGAGGGGGGGCTGGCGGTGACGTGGTGTACTGACGCAGCATGTGTGTATGTGCAGTAAAGATTGCGCTCGATGTACGCGGCAGTACGACCATCAGTGCGTGCACATGTTGATCGATGGCTCTGTGGACCAACTACAGACGCTTGGCTGACGATGTGTATGCTGTCGCGTTGTGTGTTGCGTGCACGGATGGGGTGCGCAGTTGCGACTGCGTCGGAACGTGTGTTGGCGAGAACAATCGTCGGCTGTTTGTGCTGTTTTTGTGTCTGCAAAGCCTCGAAGGTGCTGTGATGATTGGAGTGACGTCGTCGGCTTTTTCGGACGAAGAAGACGTCGACAGCTGGTTCAAGACCAACGCGCTGTACATTGTACTGTGCTTCCTGCTCGTCTGCGTTTTGCTCATCGTTGTCCCTCTGTTGGGCTACCAAGTGTTTCTCATCTCAACAAACCAGGTGCGTGTGCAGCACTTGATTGAGCAGTGAAAAGAAGGCTGCATGTATGTGGCGAAGGCGAAGTTGGAGCTCTAACGTCTCGATGTGTCGTACACGCTGCAGACTTCGTGGGAACACGCTCGGCGGTCGTCCATCACCTACTTGCAGGACCTGCCCGACAGTCGCTCGCCATTTGATCGAGGGGTGCTTCGGAATTGGTGGGTCTTTGTCTCGAACGGAGACAGCAATAAATGGGTACACGAAAGTGCACCCGACCCCATGACGTCGTACAACGACGACAACAACAACAACGCGTCTTTGGTCGCGTAACACGCCAAAAAACGCACAATTTTGTCGACTTTGCAGACTAGAGTATACAATAGACAGTACCCCCCCCCCTTTTGTACATCCCCGAAAAAAACGAACCTAGACATTGTCAACCTACAAACCCCACCTACAAACCGACACACGTGGTATCATCAGCACCGACGACCGGCCATGACCCTCACGTCAATGGCGACCGACGCCGCGGTCGTCTTCGTCTGGACGGCGCTGACAGTAGGAGTCACGCTACTGATCGCCTGGATCTATGCACCAATCGCGGAAGCCAAGAGACTGGCTCAGGAGGTCGACCCGGCCCAAGAAGCTACCTACATCGATCCGAACGACGACAACAAGCGGTACGTACGTCTTGTGGTCTTGTCCGCTACATGTTGTCCGACGATCGAAAAAAAGCACTTTGTTCTGACCCATTTCTTGTACGACCGATTGTTTTGGTGTGTATCTGTTCGTTCCAGCGTACCATTTGGGTCGCTGGGGGACGAAGCGGCCCACGTGTCGCTGACGGTCGTAATTCCTGCGTACAACGAAGAAGAGCGCGTGGCAGTGACACTCGCCGACACGATCGCGTTCTTGAACGAGAAGCAGCAGACGGACCGGTCGTTCACCTACGAGATCATTGTCGTAGACGACTGCAGCGAGGACCGCACCGTGGACGTGGTGCTGCAGGCCGTCCAGAGCTACTCGACGGACCGAATCCGACTGCTGCAGCTGCAGCACAATCACGGCAAAGGCGGCGCTGTTCGCAAAGGCGTGATGCGGGCGCGGGGCGAGCAGGTCCTGTTTGCCGATGCCGATAACGCGACCGAGATTCGAGACTATGACAAGCTCGCCCGTGCTCTGGCCGACGCTCGAACGTGTCCTGGGCAGCACACGGGCGTAGTCGTGTGTGGCAGTCGCGCCCACTTGGAAGAACAGGCCATTGCCCAGCGCAACCCGCTGCGCAACTTGCTCATGCACGGCTTCCACGGGATTGTCTCGACGCTGTGCATCAAGAACGTGCGCGACACGCAGTGTGGGTTCAAGCTGTTCGACCGCACGGCCGCGCGCGTGTTGTTTCCGCCACTGCACATTGAGCGCTGGGCGTTTGACGTGGAGCTGCTGTACCTTGCAGCTAGCCGGAACATGGCCATCAAGGCGCGTTCGCGTGATGAGTGTTGTTCGGGGACACAGTGGAGGGCAGCGTGCGCTGACGTTGCAATCGTGTTTGTCTTGTTGGTTGCTACGCAGGAAGTCGCAGTGCGGTGGAAAGAAGTGCCGGGGTCCAAGCTGAGTGTGATCTCGGCGACCATCACGATGCTGCGGGAGATCATCCTCATCCGTGTGTGCTATAGCGTCGGCCTTTGGAAGATCAGCGACGGTGGGTTTCGTCTTGCCGGTCGATCGCGAAACACAGCTGCAGCTGTAAAAGCGCCTCACTAGACAGTCTAGAGCTACTCGCCAGCACCAGTGCCACGGTGGTATAGTTGATGCTTCTGCTGAAGAAGCCATGGCAATGGCAAGTCGTTTGCGTCACACGGTGTGCTGCACCCATCGACACGCTCGTCGTCGATGCAACCACCACTGGTGTCGACGCCTGAATAAAGTCCAGTCCAAGAATGAGCGCGACGCAAGAAGCGAACAGTGTTCGTGCCATTCACGCACGATATCATGACCATGATGCATAGAGAGCCTTACAACTTTCGATGGCGGAAGTCTTGATGGGTTGCATGGCGTCGCTTGATGCTGGTCACCTCTTTTGTCCGACTAGAAGTATCAATGAAGCCATCAGACTGTACAGCACCCAGGCCATCGCTTCAATTCGTCCTGTACGATTCCAACTTGTCGGAAGCAACGCTCGGCAGTCGGTACTTGGATTGCTGACTCGTCTCGAGGGCACCATGTTTGACCGCTTCCAGGTCTCCTTGCCGCCTCTCTTTGCTTCGATGTTTCAACCACGAGCGGAGAGCATCTGATTCCCCTTTCATCGCGCAACCATTCGCACGTTGTCGGGTACTCGACGTCTTTGTTGGACTTACTGCACGACTAGCGCTAGCATCTCCACGCGCGGTGCCTCGACCTTCACTGACTGATGCCTCAAGCGCCTTCTTCTCGGCGTCCAGCGCATAGTATTCATCTAGCCCCCACACACAACGCTTCTGCGCTTCAATGGCGTTGATGTCCTTTGTCTCCTGAACACGATTGACAGACTTGTCCGAGCCAGCGACGACTTTCTTCTTCGGTTGACGCCGCTCATGCTGTACACAAAAGTACCTGCTGATGCTCAGCTGATTTGTCTTCGGTATGACACACACTGTCTTGTTTCCCTTTGACGTCGAGTTGCTCCGCCGCTGGTTGCGCAATTTGTTCTTCTGTGAGTCATACTTATGCATCAGCCGTGACGAACGCACTGGTGCGTCCTCATATCGGCTCTGTCGAGACGCCATCTCACAACCCCGGCTTTCTTTCAATGTGAGCTTGTCGAAAGGTTGCATACCCAAGTGGCCGCCCGTCTCATCTCGAGAACGCACGCGCTTCCTCTTCGTCTTTCGTCCAGGTTTTGCGTCTTCCTCGAAGGAGCTGCGTTGACTTCTGCTCGTCTCGCCTTTGTCCGATCCAGCATTCGTCTTTGTCAAAAACATACTCATCAATCGCTTGCCGCGGACACACGACTGATCCTGTTTCTTCGCTGCCAGATGCTTCGTTGTCGCTTTCATTGCATCAGCAACACTCTGCACACCACCGAACAATCAAGTAAGCAGTCAGCACACACGTCTATCCCCACCCTTCCAGCACCCCGCTCACCTTTTTCAGCCCGGCATTGAGTCGATCCGCACGCGTCTCGCCTTCTACTTCCCCGTCCACCAACCGAAACGTCCGCAACTTTCGCCACTTTGCATCTACACCGCCATCAAAGTACCCCGTTCAGCGTCCATCGCCCAATGCCAACGAGCACATCAGCACGTAGTTCGTTCGTGGAAACTCACAGACCATCCGAAGAAATGTCGACGCCGTTACGGTCTCGTTTGCGCTTGAGCATCATAGTCAGCGGCAATCTAAAGAGAGAAACAAACAGCAACAACATCGTCAACAGTCAGCGACAAACGTTCCGCACTGAAAACACAACAAACGCGTCGCTTGCGCGCAAGTTTCCAGTCGTACAGCTCCTGTGTGTCCACTTCGATTGGGAACTCGTCTTCTGTGTGGTCCACGCGCAGCACTGTCGCCAGGCGATGGCCACGAGCGTCGCCCGCGACGAACGCCTGTGAGATCGAGGCACATTACACGCACAAATACGCTCTATCAGCGGCTGTCGGACGCGGAAAAGCGTACACAGAGGTACGTACGATCGAGAAGTACTCGATCGTGTCGCCTGGGAAGAGCGTCTCTGCTTGCAGCTCGGACGCAGACAGCCCAACCATCGCAACAAGTGCGCGAGAGGCCCCAAGAAGTGCTGTTGTGTGTGTGTTTACCGGTGTTGGGAGCAAACCTCGTGTCGGTCATACCGTCCGAGTTGGTGGACGGTACTTTGCACTGGTATCGAAACGGTATTAACGAACAGGCGGAGGGGTTCGTTCGTCCTTAAGCCAACGAAGTCCCCCCCCCCCGCGGGGGGGGGGGGTTTTTTTTTGGGGAGAGAAAAGTGTGCCTTTTTAAAAAACCCCCGAAAGAGGGGGTTTTTTTTTGTTTTTTTTTTTTTTTTGGGGGGGAGAGTATAAGAACGTTTCGCAAAAGGGAGTTTTTTTGACGAGGCTGTGAGACAGCTTCTCATGACTCGGACACCCGACGATATTCGTGTCGTTTGTAGTAAGGCACCTCGACGTGAACGTGACGTTTCGTTAGTTGTTGCGAACTATGGGGCGAACAAGCAATAGCATCGACTTGTAGCGATATATGTATATGGCGACTGTCTGCTTTCTCGAGGTGTTCCCATTTCCATCGTCGTCGAGTCGAACGGCTACAAATGCTGTCCATCGTTCGAGTATGTGGTAATAAACAAAGAAGAGATGGGATCCATTGCCAGCTTCTTCTCAGTCTTCGCTGGCGATCACAAACACGCTCCGCCACGTTTCCTTTCCGCTTGGCGTAGGCCATGACGATACTCAAGAGTCGAAGATAGACGCTCGATATTGTGAGTGTGCGCTTACAGCAGCAAACGAGAACTAGAGTTCTCGCTTTGCCCCACTGTCCTCCCGAGATCGATCCACCCACTTGGGGTCAAAGGTTTTGAGCGGTTCGATTCGCGACTGTTTGGAAGACGCCTTTTTGGTACTCACTCCAAGATTCCATTTGGTTTGCCCGACTCTGAGTGACTAATTATCAGAGGACGGACATCGGACCTTGCGATTCGATGTTGACCCACTTTAGCAGAAACGCTTCGCCGGACTACAGCACTGCACCCGTCGACCTCATGCCAGTCAGCATGAACGACTCGTGGCATCCAGACGTACTATTTCGACTGATACGCAATTTAGACAAAGCAATCGCCTGCTGCTCTGCCTCGCGGTATACCTGCGCGCAACCATCTTCGACCAGCGCTTGAGCTACTTCTGCAAGGCAAAAGTCTTCGTACGTTTCCACCGAGGTTGCATCATACAGCTCGACAGCAAGTCTTGCCGACTCTACCGACGGAACATCGCAAATCCGGCATTGCTCATGGTAGTACATACCATAGTTCGGATCACCATTTACATTACGACGTGTATCTTCTTCAACCACGTGATCCTTCGGTACTGCACATGCTGCTCGTATCTTCGGCAACGACCGGCTCTGTCGGCGTCCAGTCCGAATACCGCCATCGTTCACAAGCCGTCCGTTCCCTGAACTTCTGTTCGACATTGTACAAGCAATGCGCCGAGCAGCTATCGTCGTCGTAGATCGTCGACAATTCGCAAACAGGTGTGACCAAGGAAAGTCGATGCTAACTGACAACGAATGTCACAGTTTGTCGTTCACATGGCAGCACGATGGAAAGAGCAAAGCGAGACACTTGCCTGATCGCGAGTAAAACACATTTGTTAATGGCACCGACAATTGACAGATGGACCGACTTTCGTCCCACACACACTCCAGCCCAATTTCGTGTCCCTTCACTTGCTTATATGCCGGCTATATCCATTTATCGCTCGCCACGTCCACACGCAGCACAAATTACGATTTGAACACCAAAAAACGCACACCGTTCACTAACGCTAGCTTTTAGTCAGACTTGTAGCAGCACGGTCCATAAGGCCAATATCCCTCCCAGCCCTGGCAAGATACTTTGTCGACTCCAAAATGGTCGTGGCCGTGCATTGTGCACCGCCAATGTCTGCAATTTCGTAGCAGACCCGACCTTCTGTCCTTGTACAATCACTTTCTTCTCGTTCGGCTGCGGCAAAACCATCCCTGCAGCTTTGCACCATGCACTCCAGCGGATGCAGGATGATTCAGATAGTCTACGATCATCACTTTGCTGGATGTTCAGCGCCAGTAAAGACGTATGTGACACATACACTGCTTCGTCACTCACTGTTTTACGTCCATCGCAGCCATACCATCGCTCGTACAATGCTCATCACTACTGTTGTTTCCACACCCCAAGCGCGTCGATCCGGGCAATTGGACCACTTCACGTCGACCGTTGGCGAAATCTTCTGCCATCTCTCAGTGCAGTGCACACCGAATGACGAAGCTGTCAACTCGCCCCAGCACTCAAACTTTCGTCACGTTCGTGTCGTTTGGCTCCACGGGCGCCACGGGAGTTTCCGGCAAAGGGGGACGTCCGAAAAAAGGGCGAGCGACGCCGTTCGCAGCCAAACTGTTTTGCCGACGTGGATTACTCATAAGTGCCATTTGAGCCACAGCTCGAAAGGCCGGACGCGTTGCTGCTCGTGACGAACTAAAGGACGCGTTTGCGGGGGTCATGTTGTCCCGCACACGGCTCAGCAATTGCATAAAGCTCGAGTTGAAGCCCAGCTCCGGTGTAAAATGCAATAATTCGACGCGCGAGAGTGTGTAGTGCTTGTCCAACGGAATCTCCATGTCGTTCAGCATCACAGGAAGAATGCACTTTCCCTTGTCTTCAGCAAACGCCAGCTGGTCCTTGACTAGTTCACTGTTAACAGTCTTACTCGACAGCACCACGATAAACGCCTCGCACTTGAGAATAGCCTCCTTCGCAGCGCGAATGCGCTCGGTCATGCCTAGAAACATTTGCGTGCCATCTACGAGGCACCTCACATTGTTTTCTTGCAGTCGGTCGCGCAGACGCTTCACAAAGACGTAGTGATGGTCACCGTGTGAAATGAATGCGTATTTCGTACTATCCAACGCGGCTGAACTCCAGTCCATTCCATTCTCGCCAAAGGTTGCATCACTCGTACCATTCGCCAGACGGCGATTGCCTCCCCCGAGAATTGTAGCCTCGCGATGCTTTGCGATCTCGTCACGAACGCCGTCCAGCAACAGACGGAACTGGGCTGCGAATCGCTTCTCGTCATATTCGTACGTGACCTTGCGCTTGTTGGCGTTGTTTATCGACTTGATGGCCGGCTCAAAGGGCACCATCTGTCGAGTGTAAATGTATACTTGCATTTCATCCGTGACTGCAGCGCCCTCAGTTGACACCGGAATAATCGGTCTCCCGAGTTGCTTGGCCAATGCCAGCTCCTTCAGGCACCACTCCGAACGTGCGTAGTCTTCCGTGTACAGACAGATGATCACTTCTGCATTCTTGATTCCACGCGCAATCTCTTCACGCCACACCGACCCACCTCCAATACCACTCGGGTCCATGAGGTCAAGCCACGAAGTAATGCTAGCACGCTCAAGGCTGTCGCGAATTTTCAGCGCAAACTCGCTGTGTGAATGCGTATAGCTGATCATGACGTCTCGGTCGCCCGCAGCCTGCTTGATCTCGAATTGCAATTGCGTTGACGTCGTGCAGTCCACGGGACGGTACCCGTCGCAATTTGTCTCCATCACATCTGCCCCCACTTCCAACAGTGCCAAAGCCGTACCTTTTTGCTCGCATTTCATAGCAATATGCAAGGCTGTGTCACCATTAGGAAGGTGATCGTCAATGTCTGCACCGTGCTGGACGAGGCATTCGAACAGATCGACACTCACATTCTTTGACGATGCAGCGCATAGCAGAGGCGTGTGATCACGATAGTCGCGCAGGTTGACGGCGGCACCATTCATGAGCAACACCTGTACAACGTCGGGTTTATTCACACGTGCCGCCCAATGCAGAGGTGACCGGCCAAAAATGTCCTGGAAATTCGGGTCCGATCCAGCTTTGAGCAGCACTTGAACTGCTTCAACTGCGCCACTGATTGCTGCCCAGTGCAACGGCGTGCGGCGATGCATGCCGATGTATCCATACTCGCCCACGCAATTGGGATCAGCGCCAGTCTTCAGCAGTATCTTAATGGTCCTTGTACTATTTCTCGCCGCAGCTTCATGAAGAGGCGTAAGGGCAACATCGGCGCCCCACTTTTCCAGTTCTTGTGCTACGGGAAAGTTGCCGCGCATGTAGGCCATTTGTAGCACGGTGAGCGTGTTCATATGCCCCGGATCAGGCACGTCGAGGTGGTTTGCACCAGCTTCAAGTAGTAGCGTGACGATGTCGGGATTGTCAGCCACAAACAATGGCGGCATTCGATCCGACCAGTACGATGCCTTGGACTTGAGATTCACATCGGCGCCGTGGTCGACCAGCCACTGAGCAGCCTGAATCTGACCTGTGCTCACTGCACAATGCAGCGGCGTCACAAGCGTGGTGCGGAAGATCGTGGCAGCCGTTTCGTCCTCAGAACTCAACGGCTTGGACACAAAAATCTGCGCAAATGTCCAGAAAAGATCGCCAGTGGTGAAGCGCACACGAGAGACCTTGTCATAGCTGTCGACACGGAAGCCGGCTTCCAAAAGCAACTGGAGCGCCTGGACGTTTCCCATATACGCAGCTATATGCATCGGGTTCTTCTTTGAGCGGCCAAAGAGCTTCAGCGTAAGCCTCGCGTCACTGTACATCTCCTGAGCAAAGTCTGTGCCCAGACGCTCTTTTGTATACTCGAGCAACGTCTCCATCTTTGCCACATTGCCCAACGATATCTCCTTGTACAGATGTTTGCGCACATCATCCACCACGCGCGAGCGCTCCGACTTGTACTGATTCTGTCGTCGGTGGATCCGCGATCGAATGCCGCCTGTCTGATCGGTTTCCTTAAACGCCCCTAATTGCATGCTCAGGTGCTCTCGGAACCGCGCAAAGTACGTGAGCACGACGAAATTGCCGAAAAATGTCGCGGCGGCACACACGACGTACACAATCGCCGAAGCACTGTTGCAAAAGAAGTTGTTGCCCTGGAACAGCGCGTAGGCAAAGTAGATCATCATGACCAAGCTGAACGCGAGCATGAGCACGCTCAGCAGTTCACAAAACTGGAAAAACACCGACCGCTGGAGCTTCTGTCGCCCGCCGCCGGCGTGATGGCGTTCAAAGGGTTCAAACACCCCCATGCCCGACGCTGGGAGACCAATGAGCACGACCAGCGGCGACACGTGGTACACGAGCATCGCGTACACGACGACTGTGTCGCACGCGCCGCAGTACTTGGTCCCGGCAATGCACGCCGTCGTCCTCGTGCGCTTGAACTGGAGCGCGTGGCTCATGTCCGAGACGTAGACGCCGCCGTGCGCCACGTCTTTAGTCAGCCAGAATACCGCAATACCGGTAACCGCCAGACACAAGACCAAGCCCGCACTGGTCCGCAGGCGCCACGTAAAGTACGAATTGCGCCCGTAGCCGGACATCCACACCGGCCGCGAGGGCGTAGAAGGGGCTGGACAGGCTGCGACATGTGCGTCGTCGCTGGCTGCGCTGTTGGCCGTGTCCACTTCCATCAGCGCGTCGGCCGCGGCGCTAGGAACCAGCGGCGGGGGCGCGCTGGACGCTTTGAGAGTCCCTGCAGACGGAGCAGCGGGTGAACTGTGTGTCGGGCCGTGACGTGCGCACGTGTCCTGGTGGCTGTGGCCGCTGGACGACGCGCCTGGAGCCTCTGGGAGCGCGTGGTAGTCGGCCATCGCGCGCGCGCGTCGGGCGTGGACCAGATGGCGCTGGGGCTGGTACTACACTGGTACCTGATTGGCTGATATTCAGAGAGATAGCGAGCAGGAGTGAGTGTGTCGTGTGTTTGTCGCGCGGGCAGAGGGGAAAGGGGTCGAGGACAGGTCGCTCGAAAGTGCCGGAATAGAAATGTTGCTCGAGCGAATTCGATTGGTGTTTGCCGTGTGCGCTCTCGTTGTTCGCTGTGCTGTGCGTGCCACACCATAGCCACACAAATTTCATCGCCACGGCCATCGCAATGGCCGACACAGCACTGGAGCTCGAGACGACGCAGGACGTGGATGCGCAGGCTGCTGGCAGCAACCAGAGGGTGGAGACTGCGCCATCTCCTTCTCCAGACCTATCGGCACCGATTGCGACAAGTTTGAGCGGTCGCGTGCGCAAGACGGCGCAGCTGTTTACGTTTGCGCAGGTCAAGAGCGACGAAGCAGACGCGTTCACACCTCCCGTGGGCAAAGGGGTCAAAGTACGCGACGTGGAGTTTATCAAACACAATGTAAGGCAGTAGTGTATAGAGTTTGAACCTGGTAGTGAGGTGGGGGGAGGGTGCGTGTCTATCTCTTTTCCTGAGGCTCTTTTTGTTGCACTGCGCTGGGTGTCGTATGCTGTACGCTGATTCAGGTCGAGGCGCTGGGAAAACAGCAGCACGAAATGATCCGTCAGCTCTACAGCATTATGTTTGGACGTCGGTTCCAGCAGAAAAACGTGCGCGGTTGTGGTTACGGTGGCATAGTGAGAAAGCGAATTGATTGGGAGCCATTTATTGCTGTTGTTGGTGCTAAATGCAGGTGAAGGCTATCAAAGAGCATATTTTGGAATTCTCGGGCATTGTCGAGCAGGACGAAAAGGTGGGCAATGGTCTATTGTGTGCTGGTGTTGCGTGGGGAACCGACTTGAATTATATGTGACGGTTGATGGTCGTTTGTTGGTGCAGTCTCGCGAGAACTTGGTTGCTAAGATGGGCAAGTGGAAGATGACATTCGTCCACGACGTGATGAATCTATTGGCGGTAGAGTCCCGACAAGGAAGTTGCGCTATTTGCTACTGAGAAGGTACTCATGGTTGTCTGTACGCGTCGTAGGTGGACCGATCGAAGAAGTCATTCGATGAGGAAGGAAAAGTGCCAAACAAGGAAGCTCTTCTAGATCGTCTGGTTGACTGGCTGTATAACCCGCAGAAGACGAAGGTGCGAGCTCAGTGACAACGACTGCATGAATGAACGAGTATGCAGCATGCATTGACGTGCGTTGTGTGTTATGTGTGGCAGCTTGCTGAAAAGAAAGCTACAATTCTAGCAAGAAAAGTGAAGCAGAGAGCAAACAAGCGGGCGAAAGCCGCCAAGAAAAAGGCGAGTGAGTCTGTGAAAAAGAAGCGCAAGACTACCAAGAAGACGGCGGTTGCTGTCGAGGAAACGGATGATGCAGATCACGTCGAAGCTACAGAGTCCGAAGGCGAGGAGTCATGTAGCGATTTTGAAGAGAAGAAGGAGAAGAAGAAGACCGTAAAGAAACAGAAGGTCACTAGTCGGACGACGAAGTCGCGCATCATAGAAAGCGGCGACGAAGACGATGTGAGTGAGAAGGGACTGGACGGCCCTGCCGAGAAGAAAGAGAAGCAGTCCGCAGTCACAAAGTGGAAGAAGCAGCCAGCTACCAAGGCTGAGGACGCGGCAAAGGCCGTGGACAAAGGAGAGTCCGAGTCCGAGGTGGAGACTCTGGACTCCGGTGTGCGCAGCAAGATCCGAGATATCATTGCCCGCGGCAACGCGGAAGAGCTAACGTTGAAGAAGGTGTGTGGAACAGTACGCCGTTCAGCTGTTTGTTCCTCCCATGCTGCTAACGTTGTTTGGTATGCACGTGTGTATGTATGGTAGATTCTGCGGCAGTTGAGTGCAGATCTGGGACGTGACATGACCGCACAGAAGAACGCAATCAAGCAGTTCATCACGAGCGACCGAGCGGAGACATAACGTGCACTCGGAGCTCTGTCGAGACATTGGGCTTTGCACGAGTTTGCTGTCGCTCTCTTTGTCCAAGTGCGCTTTACACTATCAGACGTCTGGTGCTTTTTGTGCTTCAGCCCGAGTGAGTGCGTGGGGTGGTGGAATAGGATCAGGGCCTGTCAATACATTCTGCTCGTCCGTGTAGCCATCTCGCGTGCGTGTTTCTACATCCTGATTGGTCGAACGCAAAGTGTACGCGCAAGCTGATTGGCTCGTCCACCGACCTTTTGTACCGTCCATCCATTTTGCGACGTCAACGACCATGGGCAGGAAGCGCGCGAGCACGAGCACGAGCACGAGCCGCGAAGCTGCAGAAGAGCCCGAGATGGCCGTGGCATCTACCAATGCCGTCGATGGGCAGGTGCAATCACAGAGTGCGTCGATTCTCGCTGAGAGCTTTGCTACGAGCGCGGCGTTCTTCGGGAAGAAGGTCTCGTACGCGCCAACGGGAGAGACGCCAGCAGAAGGGGCAACGACTGGCAAGTCGATAGAGAGGAAAGGAGACACGAAGGGTACATATGAGTCAGGAAAGGGGAAGACGATGAAGGAGGAAAGGAAGAAGGAGGGGACGATGAAGGGGGAGGAAGTGAAGGACGCCGACAAGAAGAAGGAGAAGAAGAAGCGGAAGAAGGAGAAGAAGCGGAAGGTACAGGAGGTGGAGGAGAAGGATGCGCTGCAGACGAAGAAAGAGAGAGAGAGTGGAGGTGTTGACACTCAAGATAGGAACAACGGAGAGGACAAGGTGGAAGCAACAGGTGAGAAGGCGACGTCGGAGGAGGGAGACAGAGAGACAGAGGAGGAGCAGAAAGGGAAAAAGGTTGACGACGAAAAAGCGCGTCGTACGGTATTTGTCGGCAATGTGTCGCTAGAGGCAGCGCCGAAAGCAATCAAAAAGCACTTCTCCGCGTGTGGCGAAGTGGAGTCTGTGCGACTTCGATACCTGCCGGTCGCTGGTTGTGCAGTCGACCAGGCTGGGAATCAGAAACTCATGATGAAGGTCTGCGCGATCAAGAAGATTCTCACCAAGGCCAAAGATACGTGCAACGCCTATGTGACGTTTGTAGAGGAGGGCAGTGTAGAGGCTGCACTCAAGCTCAACGGAACGGTACGTGCTGGACGAGTTCATACTGACGATCTTGGTTCTGACTTCTGTTGATGAGACTTTTGCAGACTTTTGCCCAGAAGCAGATCCGAGTGGACAGGTCCGAGGTCGCATACGATGCGCGTCGTAGTGTTTTCGTTGGCAACGTCCCTTTCAAGTGCACCGACGAGCAAATGCTGCAGTTCTTCTTGAGACGCCTCCGAACGAAAGAGGAGCCGGCACCGATTGAGAATGTGCGTCTCGTTCGTGACCGCGAGTCCGGCTTCGGCAAAGGCTTTGGCTACCTGCTGCTGAAGAACCAAGCTCTAGTAGCCAAGACGCTGACGCTGCGTGACCTCAAGATGGAGAGGTGTGAGCTGCGCGTGCAGGTGTGTGGCAAGCGGTTCAAGAACATGCGTGGGGAGGAAACGGTAAAGCAAAAGTACGAAGGGCTTCGCTCGTCCGCTAGTGCACGGGCACGTATCCAACTGAAGCGCAAGGCAAATGCTGGGGACCATGACCGAGGGTTGTTGACCAAAAAAGTGAAGCGCGCGGCGGAAGCAGCAGGACTGGGAAAGAAGCTGAAGCCCAAGCACGCAGCACGAAAGGCAGCAAAAGCAGCCGCTGAAGCGGCTGCTGCTGCTGCGGACAGGGACTCGACGAAAAAGCGAAAGCACGACCGCAATGACCGCAATGACCGCAAGGCAGAGCCCAACGCCAAGAAGCCGAAGCATGCTGCGCGCAAAGCCAAGTTAGCCGCAGCTGCGAAACAGTAGGCGTGACACGTCGTAAGCGAAACAACACGAGAGCAGGTTTGCCATTTCAAATGCACGCTGTCGAAAGCGATCAAGCGGAAGGTGCCAGCCACGGCTCATTTCGGTTGGGGTCCCAGCGACGTGTATCCTGATCGGTACTTCCAGCGCATCGCGACCGTCCACGCCACGGCACAAGCCACTGCAGCAGCAGCAACAACACTCAGCATCAGCCATCCCCAGCTATTGCTTCCCGAACGAGTCGCCGATAGACCCACAGCAGCCGAGTCGTCCAGCGGAATATCGCTCAGTGCCAAGTACATGAGGCTCATCACGCCCGTGTGCGGCACTGTGTTGTTATACAGCGCCACGATGCGGACAATGTCAGTGGTGCGCATGCGGCGAGGCGGGTCAAACGTGCAGGTGCTCATCGAGATGACGTAGCCGTCTTCATTGCCCGGTTCGGTTCCCGAGCCGTATTCCGGCACCGAAGCGCACAGTAAGTCGCCCGTGGCATCGTCATAGAGCTGGATCCCCAGCCCACCGCGATGCTGGTGCCCGACTGCATACACGAGTTCGACCTCTCGCTCGGGCTCTGATGCATGTGGACGGTACGCGAACAAAGGGATGCTGCCATTGTCCAGTCGTTGTCGAGTCGCCAGCGTGTGCACGCATCCAGGATGCGTGTCTGGGTCACATACAGGGACATCGTACTCGACGTTCCCCATGTGCTCGAGATCGCCCGATGCATCGCAACACGCTGCAAGATACAGCGGCCGATTCTGCGGCACAATCGCCGCGTACTGCAAGGAATAGCGCAAGAAGTACGTGGCGGCACTCGCTGTGTCGTCCACGGCCACTTCGTCCCGTTCCACGCACAATTCGGCGTCTTTGCAGCAGCGCAGTCCGCCGTGGTACGTCTCGGCAGCACAGGCCGTGTTTTCCTCCGACACGAGCTGAGCATTGCAGCTATGGGCTCGGAACTGGAGCCCGTTGACTGCATCGGCCGTGATCGTGTCTTCGGACGTACAGGGACACTCGAGACAGCGGTGAGCACGTGCGCGGGGCATGTTGCGGGTGTTGATAATGTGGACATTGGCCAGCCACTCGTCTTCGCCGTCGACCGTCATGAAGGCATACGGGAAGTCGAATTCCTGTGGAGTGCCGCGGCATTCCGTACCTGCGCCGAATGCGACGCTGCGACTGAAGTTTGTGGGCTTCATGGGCGCGTGTCGGCTCTTCATGGCGTCGTACTGTTTGTGCGTCGAGCCCACCACGTGGTGGTGCAGGTACGCGTCGTACGTGGGCACGGGCACGACAGATCCAGCGGCATCTTTCTCGACAACCTCCGCCTGGAATCGGTACACGGCAATGGGACCTTTGGGAACCGAGAGGCGGTGGAACGTGTTGGTCACTTGGCCCTGCGACAACGTGACGGGCAGCGTCAGTGCCGTGTACGTGTGCGTCAGAGGCTGTTGCGCGGCCACTGCGACGATCCAAAGCAGCAAAAGGGTGACAACGGGCGCCATGACAACCCAACTGCAGGTCTCGAGTCGTTGCGGTCGTGCGGTCTCTTCCTGTGAATGCAGAAATGACGGGATGGGCGAACCCAAACATGGCCAAGTCGCACGTGCTCAAGTGGGTCGTCAGTCTCCTTGTCGCAGGTAACGGTGGGGGGGGGGGTCGGTCTTGCACCCGTTGTCCGTGTTTTCGTCATTCTTCTTCTTGCGCTTGCGCGTGGTGAAGTACCTACCCGTTGCCTCGACAAGAGCCGAAACGAACGAACGCGCACGTTTGTCGAGTTTATCGCATGTGTTTCTGGCTGCAGCAGGTCCTTCAACCCGAACGACAGTTGACAACGAGCTGCTTTCGGACGTGATACGGCTGCACGACTTGCAGGCACGTCACGTAACGCACGACAATGCAGTCATCTATCGATCCATCTACCTATCTATCCATCTATCGATCTATCTGTCTACCGATCCGTCTGTCTATTTCGCGACGTAGCTGCTCGCTGATGCCCACCTTCTCCAGCTTTCCAGTTTCCTTCCGTGCACATTGATGGGAGACAAACAGATAGACAAACAGCTCTTGCACCACGAACCGCTCTCCTTCATGTCATTCATCAACACGTGCGTTCACCTCTTCTGGTGGTTTATGAAGCGCAGTGCGAGTAACGCGAGCAGTCGCAGGATCCCGAGCGCCAGCAACACGTACCCGACATTTGCCACGAGCTCGTCGTGTCGAAACTGAAAGACCGACTCGACATAGTCCTTGACGGTAACATGTTCCATCGTCACGGGCACTTTCGTCATGGGCTGACACCCGCGTTCCGGTCCAAAGTCGACGTATCGCTGTCGAGCCGCGTCCCACGTCGGCGGTCGCGAGCAGTCGGCAAACGCGAGCGCCATGAGGATCGACAGCGAGTACCGTTGCGGTGTGACTGCGTAGAGCCACTTGTAGCCGTCGGGAATCGCACTTGCCGGTGGGTTAAAGCCCATAAAGAGAAAGAAGATCGAGTTGACCAGTACGCCGAGAATCGCCGCCGCTTCGACGTTCGGCAACGCATAGACAAACAGTTGCCCCATGTACGTCTGCAGGAGCACGAACAGCGAGAGGTTGAGCCAGTACAAGAGGCCCGTGGTCAGACCGGTAAAGCCCATGAGTGGGTAAAAGACGCCAGTGAAGAGGAGACAGCTCAGGAGCACGTAGGGGACCTCGGCCACCGTCGCGCCGACAAAGTACCATAGCGCATTGTATGTCTGGGACGCCCGTTCCCGGTAGTACGCCGCGCGCTCTTCGGACGCCAGGGGCAGGACCCCGTTGAACGAGATGATGCCGTTGAACAGCGTCGTCACGTACACTATCCCCACGGCGCTGTTCACGCCCTGGTAGCTCGTACGATCGCCGTCAACGTACGTCAACCCCGCAACAAGCGCCAGCAAGAGGCCAATGCTGCAGCGCGTGAGAGTATACGTTGGGGTGCGCCAGTACGTCCGCAAGAAGCGGCCCGTCACCCACGTGGCCTGCGTCCACCACGTCGCTGCTCGCTTCGTAGTAAACCGCAGCTCGGGGCCCGTCGTCGAGGGCTTCGTGACGCCTTCTTGAGCCATAACCGCATCCATGAGCCGCTTCTCTTTGCTCGCCTCGAACCACTGCACAAAGTCAATTTCCGCCGACGCGACGGGCGTGTTTCGTACAACGCCTGCACCAATGCAGTCGAGCACCCACGTCGCGGGGTTGGCCGTCTTCGGAAGCGGGGAGACCCCCGGGATCGCTTCAAAGTACTCGACCAGCTTGTGTGCATGTGCCCCGAGCTCTCCTGCAAACACCGGCTCGCCGCCGCGCTGGAGCAGCACGAGGTGGTCAAACAGGTCAAACACGTCCGAAGACGGCTGATGGATCGTGCAGACGACCGTGCGGCCCGTATTGGCAACATTGCGGACGCCATTCATCAGCGCTTTGGCCGCCCGGGCGTCGAGGCCGCTCGTGGGTTCGTCGAGGAACAGCACACTGGGCTGCGCGGCCAACTCGACGCCAATGGTCACGCGCTTGAGCTGCTCGACCGAACTCACTCGCACCAATTGGTCGGCAATGGCCTGCAGCCCCAACAGGTCGAGGCACTCGGTCACGGACGCGAGTTTCGCAGCCAAAGCCACCCGACTGTCTTGACGAAGCACTGCGCTGAACGTCAGCGCTTCGCGGATCGTCGTCGCACTCGAGTGGATGTCCGTCTGCTCGCAGTACCCCGTGCACCGCCGGACCGCGAGGTCCGTTGCAGCGTACCCGTTGAGCAGAATCCGGCCGCGGGTCGTGCCGCCCGTCTTGCGGCCTGCGAGCACGTCCAGCAACGTCGTCTTGCCGGCACCTGACGACCCCATCAATGCCGTCAGTGTCCCGGGTAGAGCGTATCCGTTGACACGCTGGAGCAGGTGCAGCCGCGTCTTGGGGTTCTTCGGCTGTGGCACGGAATACCACAAGTCCTGGAACGCCAGCGTCACGGGCACGACACTCGGTGCGCGACGGTGTACGTCGACCGCAGTGGCTGACCTGTGCAACATGGAGGCAGCGTCGACGCCCGAGTGCTGTGGGCTATGAGGTGCATCAAGTACCAACAAGTAGTTCGTACCTGCATCGACCTCGTCGTCGGTGCTCGTCTGGAAAACCACAACGTGGTCGGAGCGTTCAAACCGAACGTGCTCGATCACGAGGCAGCCGAGACCCATGAACGCCGCGTAGCACACGAGCAGGAAGACAATGCCGGACCAGAGCCACGTCTTTGACGACGGCACGTCGTACTGCTCGAGGGCGTACGTGCCCATGGTCTGGCCAAACTGAGTGCAGTAGTCAATGCTGCCGTACACGCACACGTCGAGCTCGGGCGACCGGTACTGGTTGACGGCCATCGCCCGCAAGCACCACGCGAGGGGGTTGAGCCAGTAGACCCAGACGCACCAGCTCGGGATCGTGCTCTTCGTCAGGACAAAGCCAGCAAACAGGATGAACAAGGAGATGCTGCACGTCGAGCCTGGTTTCGCAATGTGCACGTCCGGCGACGCCGCCGTGAACAAGAAGAACCAGGCGGCAAACACGAGGCTGGTCAAGACGAGCAGGACCACGAAGCACAGGAACGCGTCAATCGTTGCCGTGAAGCCGCACATCCAGTAGACCAGCGTGCCAAACACAACGCTCTCGGCAAGTGCGAACGGTACTTGCGCGATGGCACACGCGAGCACGTAAGCCGATGTGGGAAAGAAGTTGGCGCTGCGGTGCTTGTAAAACACGTCGCGGGAGGCCATGAACGTCGGGACTTGAGGGACCTGACCGATTGCCACGAACAGGATGGCCTGGAACATCGAGCCCAATGTGATTTGGACATTCGTCGGGTCCACCTGCCCGAACGTGCTCGAGTAGATGAGGCCCATTGCAAGCACCATGACGGTCCGGCCTCGAAGGAACGCTCGATTCCGCATGGTCAAGAGTGTCTGCCGCGTCACGAGGATCCGCGTCGCGGCCCAAAACGATCGATGGAATTCCGGCATTGGGTTCATGTGGATGCCCACGTCGCCAAGGAGCTCCGACTCGTGAGGAGCCTCGAGCGTCTCCATCATATCCATGTGAACTCGAGACGCTCGAAACGCGGCAGCAAACTCACTCGCTCGTCGTGGAAAGTAGGTCCGGCCACTTGGAAGTGCATCCTGGTACTTGTCCTGTTCGCTGGTCCCGAGCTCAAGCAAGAAGTCCGCCACGTTCCGGTCCGGTGGACACGTGAAGCCGAGGCTTGCAAAGTACTCGAGCGCGTCGTCCCGAGGGCCGTGGTAGATCACGTGGCCCTCGTGCAGAAGCATCACGTTGTCAAAGAGCGCAACGACTTCGGGCGCCGGCTGCAGCAAAGCCATGACGACCGTCTTCCGAAGTGCTGTGGTGATCCCGCGCTGCGTCTGGACAATGTCAAACGTCGCGGCGCTGTCAAGGCCCGTGCTGATCTCGTCCATGAGCGTCACGTACCGCAAGCCAAACTCCATCTCGCCCGTTGTCACGCGCTTGCGTTCGCCACCAGATACCCCACGCACCATGCCATTGCCTACGATCGTGTCTTTGCACACCTCGAGGCCGAGCTGCTTCATCACGACTTCGGGGTAGTGTTCATACAGCGCCTGGATGACACCAAGAGCTTCGGCTGTCGCTTGCGTAGTCCCTCTGGACAAGAGCTTCTCGCTACGCTTCGACACGGGGGTAGGACCACAGAAGGCATGGGCAAACTCCAGCGTCTCCTGGACCGTCAACGTCGGGAAGTGCTGGTCTCGCTGGGCCACGTACGACACAAACTGCGGTAAGCGTTTGCTCAGTGCGGTCCGTGGCACTCCATTGTACGTGATGTCGCCACTGATCGTCACCTTCTTGTCCGTGGGGAAGCGGCCGCTCAGGACTTTCATGAGGGACGACTTGCCCGATCCGGGCTGGCCGAGCAGCAGTGTGATCGTCCCGGGTTGGAACACCCCACTCACGTTCTGGAGGATGAAGCGCTCGCCCGTGGACTTCTTCGGACGCAAAGCAGTCACGAGCTTCTTCACACTGTTGAAGAGCGTCGGAAGCTGCGTCGCGGTATCCCCTCGTTGTCGAGTCTCGACTTCTTTGGCGGAGACCGAAAGCCCTTTGAACCGCACCTCCATCTGCGGCATGGCCTTGTTCATCGCAGCCTCGAGCTTCGCGGCAATGAAACGATGCAGAACCGTTGGCCCGTGCTTCATCAGCGACTCGCTCGAGCTCAGATCGACGGGCGAAGGAGGAGTTGAGGTCGCCATTACCATCTCGTGTCGAGTGTGTCCGAGAAGAGGTCTCGCTCGCACTTGCAATGGAGAAACTGAAATAACTCACGTGCACCGCAACGAAGTGACGTCGGGAGCGACGTGATGGCTGCTGACAGTACGCGACCAGACTCTTGACGACTCGATCGAGTGGAGCTTCGAGTCAGGTTCGCGGACGTCAGGTTCGGCATGAGAGAAGACGCGCTGCAGGGGTTGAGCACTTGACTATTGTATGGCTCACGTTGAAGTTGTAAGTACATGACGAGCTATCAGACTCGACCGGATCTCGATCCCAGCGTGGGTGTAGCCTCTCTACATCGTAGCAGCGGTCTTTGCGGTCCTACTGCTTGTCCAGGCAACGATAGCACGTGGCGCGACCGGTTCCTTGACAAAGTCTCCTGAGCTGCTGTTAAGATACGTAAGAGCAGAGTCAAGAGCTGACCAGATGTCTCATGTCATGTACTTGGCGATGTTCTCGACCTTTTCCACTCCCGTTCATCGAAGGAGCCACACAACATGGACAACCAGCACTCGAGTCATCTGAGACTCTGTGTGTGGTATCCTTCAGAGGACACTTGCGGTCGGAAGAATGTGTTGCTGCCGATCGTACGGCTTGTACTCTTTCAACCCTCCTCGTTCGATCCATAAGCACACATGAGACGTAGCTACGGTCGGCGTCAGCGCGAAATGGTCAGAGCACAGCTCACAAATGCATTAGCAACAAGCCGCACCATGCGAAGTGGTCTCTCACTAGTGCGGCTGAATCTACATCCTAAATAGTGCCGCGCTCAGGCATACGATGTGGTATGTCACCATGTATATTGTCGGCCTCTGTCGATGTCAACGCTGTTAGTCAGTCGTGCGTTCGCAAGGACACATGCCCTCCAGTGAATGACCAACCGGTCGCACACGAATGCATACTCCATGCTAAGCCTTCGCTTGATCAACCACGTCCATGCACAATGACAGGCTCTAGTTGACATGACAAGGCGAGAAGGAGCTGATGATGATGATGATGATGATGATGATGAGCATATCGATGCCATGAGTTGGTGTTATTCAAGCCTGCATCCATAGTAAGCGTTGCTCACTGCAACTACTCAGCAAGGTGACGAGTGTCGAAGCTGTCGACTACTTGATCTACGATGCATACGTGGCCATTCTGGAATGGCCACGCTACTCCATTGCAGCCAAGTACGCGAGGATTTCTGCCGGTTCCTTGTCGTCAAAGACGGTTTGCGCTTTGCGATCGTCGCCTGTCATGGATGCATACGAGATCGTGTAGGCTCTCAACGTACGGAACCACGGATCCGCCTTCGATAGGCCCAAGACCTTCCGATGGTGTAGCAGGACCAGGTAGTGGTAGAACACGATGGGCGACAGCTTCTCTGTTGTTAGCAGTGGCTCGTAGAGCGCATTGTGCATCTGCTCGGCGAGATCCGTCAGCTCGACGTTGTATTGCCTGACTTTCTGGAAAAACACTCCGTACAACAGCGGGTGCGAGAGCGACTTCGTCCCCACTACAACTTGCACGATGTCCTCCACAGGAAAAGCTGCATCTCCGTACAGCTTTCGGAACTGATCGCAGTACAGAATCCAGTGAAAGGCGTCCGGGTCCTCCAGGATAGAGAACTTGCCGACGCCCAGAAGCTTGAGAACTACTTCAGGGTCTGTTTTCGACGCCAGCCACTTGGCATTCATCGACCTGCGAACCGCTGGGAAGTCGAATCCGGACAGGAGAGCACGTATGCTGTCCGCATCTTCCTTCATGCCAAGTCGATAGAACCAGTCGACGACGTCGACTACCGGGTGGTCTTTCGCCAGCAGCTTGAAAGCCTTTTCGGGTTTGTACCACCTGCTCTCTTTTCTACTGCGTCTGTACTTCTGTGCATACTTGATCCAGAGTTTCAAGACCGCATTGACCGCGAGATGCTCTTGAGCCGTCGCGATGCCTAACGTCTCGAAAGCTTCTTCCGGGTGAGGCTTTGACTGCAAGTACTCGCGTGCAGCCGATATCGATGGATCCTCCCTCCAAAAGGGTTTGAACGAAGTCAACAACCCTCTCGCTTCCTTTTCCTCGTCCACACGCTTGGCCGCGTTCACCACAGCTGAGTCCTGCGGCTTTTCAAGTGTCTGGTTATCGACGAGCGGGTTTTCGTTCCGGTGAGAAAGACCGTGTTGGGTGGGTGCATCAACCTCCGTCTGGTTACGGTTGTCAAGTGCCGATTCCGAATAACTCCACACAAACAGAACGGTAAACAGCGCGCTCCACCGGATGAACATGGTGACGTTGTCTACTCTCTGCGAGGAAGGTCGAAAAGTGACGATCTCCTGCCGTCAAGACCTCCGTCCCGAACTCTGCTTGCTACCGTATAAGCGTGCCCTCGGTTGCGCCACGATATTTGCTTGTGACGGGGTGTACACTGACTCAACTAATGTCGTAAGCAGACTCTGGTTGACGAATCTCCTAAGCAGACTCTGGTTGGGTCAATGAAGCAAATTTCGTGTCACAACCGAGGGGACGCTTGTTGATGGGTGTGTGTGTGTGTGCCTCCTATCTACTTTGTACCTGCACAAGGGAGAGGTCAGTCCTGCAGGACGAAGAAGGAGGTTTGTTTGATTATTGACGTACAAAGCGAAAGTAGTTCGAGAAGCTGTGACCACATCGAGACACTTCCAACTTGTAAAAGCTCGACACGGGGGCCGGCTCAGCGCGCTAGAGATCTCATTTCTCTCGTGCACGCTCTAGATCGTGGGACTATCCGAGCCGTAAAGGCGCTCCGGTGGTAGATCAAATGCAGCCCAGCCGCATTCTTGGTCTCGAGTCTCCCTTTCTCTCATTGAACAGGTGCCATTACTAACTTGCATCGACACGAACATCATGACCCGAAATGTTGACCAGAGTAGATATTTCAGCTCCTAGCGAGGACGCACGAGTATTAGTAGTCGACCAGCAGAACCAGTTTCTCAATCGAGTGGCCTCTGCTCAATGATGCAGTGAAGAGCCTCTGATGTAACCCGAGCACGGGCAGAGCACGCACGACACGACGCTTGCGTGAAGGATCAGTTCTGGGGCATAGCTGCACTGTAGGATTGTGAGGAGATGAGGGACAACGTCTGCCATCACGACAACGTCTATCTGTGCCGTATCTTTGTCGGGAGAAGGGGTCAAGAGAAGGAGCACATGGACCAGCGATCACTCGATCTGCGTATGTCTATCGATACATATCATACGATGGATGAACAGAGCTTCGAGAGGTCAGGAATGGCGAGTGGCGCTCGGTGTCACATTGACCGGTCAAGGAACTTCAAGCGGCCTCTAGTGATCACGACGTACGTATTCCGGATACACTTCTCAGCGACTGCGACGATGGCTGCGTCTGAAGTGACAGCATATTGCCTCGACGCTACCATCGTTTCCAGATCTTTGGAGCGAGCCAGTAACTAGGAACGACTTTGTCACAGGGGTTTCGCGCGCTACGAGTGCTTGCTACAACTGCCAATGACACTGCGACGGTGGACTTGCATGAGCCTTCGCGACACTTTGCACGCTACTGACTTACTCTCTACTTCTGCTTCGGTTGACAAAGTGGCCGTCGCAACGCCATGTGCAAGTGCACTCTATGTTGCAGTCTTCTCCATTTGTTTCTGCCGAACGGCGGAGAGCGTATGATCTTTAGAGGGGACAGCGGCGCGCGCATTGCGTTCGGCACAAGACTAAAGGGCACAGAATACGTACACTGTCCATCGCGACATGCGATCAGGTGCTACAGAAAGTGTCGCTGACCCTGGATGGATGGATGGATGAATGCTAAACGCCGTAGGCTCGTGCATGACTAAAACGTTGGGAATTTATGGATCCGCAGGTCCATATGAGCAGGTACAGGCCACGGCAACAGCTGTCAGTCAGTGCATTGAGCAAAGACGGCGAAGCAGACGAACAGTTGTGATCACGCCCACATGCAGAGACTGTCAATGTATGATCCGTTGCAGTCAAGTGGGCGAAAAAGTGGTGCGCCGGATGTACGCCGACGCATGCGCGTGTCGCTGTATTGACGGCAGGAAAGCCAATGCGAGGAACGCACCTCCCAATGTACCAAAAAGAAGACGAACAGCGACGTCGACTCGCGTCAGGAGCGTAGGAGTTTGGCACAGCACGTCGCCGCCGCACGGCTGCGAGGCATCAATACTACAAAAAGAGCCGACTCTTTCTTCTAGCTCGCAAAGCGGCTGCTAACACATGCGCACACAAAGGGGTTGTCCTCGTTCGAGTGCAAATGCGTAGGTAGACTGGCAGCACTCGATTCAATCGAACGATGAGGTCGTTGCTGTAGTGACTCGCTTTTGAATCAACAAGAGAGCACGACTACAGCGGCATGTAAGTAATCTCGACGTGCGCGCCAACCTTTCCTAACTTAATCCAGTAGCTATCGCGGAAGCCAACTCGACTTTTTCCGCAGTGCCCAAATGTTGTGGCAATCTTTTTTCACCCGTACCCAACAAAACACGACCCCAAAAAACACGACCTACAAAAAACACGACCTACAAGCAACAAAGACCCAAACAAAGACTCAAAGCAACACGACCCAAAACAAACGACCCAAAATAATCCCCACCTAGTCGACCTCGATCGCAGTTGCGCGACTGCCCATTCCCTTCCCTCTAATGTTGCCGCAAGAGTGATGGTCCTGCAAGTTGAAGTTGGCCCACCCGTCCGCTCCTGGCCAGTCACTTTCCAATTGGCGTCGCACGTCCGCACTGCCCCACAGTCAGAGAGAGAGAGAGAGAGACTGCACGTCGCGACCTGCGAGAAAGGCCATGGCAGCCAACACAAGCGACGCACGCGTCGACCCCATGCGTCCCCGTCTCTCGCCCTTGGAGACCGCCTTGCAAGCGCTCTCAAGCAGCGACGAGCACAAGCGCCAGCAGCGCATCGAGCGCATGAGCGTTGACGCGCGCCACAAAGCGCTGTGCAGCCAACTGGAACAAAGTACCAATTGATCGATTGACTGACTGACTTGATTGGCTATTGCTCTATCGAGCGCGTCGCTGCGTCGATTGATGCAGAGAGAAGAGGCTCGCGGTTCCCTCACGTGCGCACGTGTGTCTGCTGTTTGTTTGTTTGTGTGTTTGTTGCTCGGTTGATACAGCTCAGGAAGCGCTGGCGGCGGCCCAAGCGAGCAAGTCGTCGCTCTGTGAAGAGCTCGGCGCGCTGCGGCAGGCGAGAGAGGACCAGGGGAAGCAGCTGACACGGTACAAGACCGACTTGCAGGCTGCACACGAGCTGCGGGCCGTCATGATTACGAAGATGGAGGACCTCGAGACGTCGGCGTGGACGGCCAAGCAGCAGTACATTCGGTACCGTATGTATTGTGACCGTCTCAGTGACGTACGGTGGGACGTCGTTCGACTCGTGCGTGACGTTTCGCTCTGTTTTGTTGCCGGTTGGTGGGCTGTAGATCGCTGGCGTCCCGGATCAAGACAAGTGCGCTGGTGCTGCAGCAGCTGAACGTGACGAGCGGGACTTTGTTCAGTGCGTCGGGTGCTGGAAAAGGCACGAAAGAGGAGCAGGTGCAGTCGGCTAAGCGGAAACGTGTAGAACAAGAGAGGGATGACGATGCTGGTGGTGATGACGGTGATGGACAAGGGCGAAGGGTTGAAAACGGCCAGGTACTCTCGTGGTCATTGCTCTGCGTCGCGAGATAAACTCACACACGTGTCAGCCCAAGCTCACAGGAAGTGCAACGAAACACGAGCTGTGGGCCAAGCATGACGGCAAAGTTTCGGAAGTACAGGGACCCGAGACTACAACAACGCCAACGCGCCACGATGGTGGAAAGGTGGAACGTCTTGCCGCACTGCCAACGAAGGGCCGCAGTGTGCTGCATAACTGCGACGAGCAATGTCAAACACATGCTGAAAGCGCCACCGCAGTCGTGGAATTGCGTACTCAAGTTACCGAACTCAAGTCGGAGTATTCTGTACTGGATGGTACGCGTGCTTGTGGACGTCGTGGACGGTCGAGATACGAGTTGGTTGACCATGTTATTGTGTCATGTAGGCAAGTACAGTGCGCTTGTGCGTAAACATGATGAGGTGCTAGCCGAGAGGTCAACGGCAGCTCAAGACATCAAGGCAAAGGAGTCGACAATCGAGGAGCTGACGCGCACGTTGGAGCAACTGTCAAGGTCAAAGCCGCAGGATGTTACCAATGATGCGGTTTCTACAAGTGACAAGTGCAAGGACAAGGAAGCTCAAGACGGGCGGTTGAAGATGCTCGAGGTATGTCTGACGTGGCGGCATGCGTTGTATGGAACGAAAACGGACTGATGAAATGTCTACTTGCAGGAGAGTTTGGCCCAAATGAACGCATATGCTGATCAGCTCGAGATGGTCATTGCGCAGTGCGCTTCATGCACAATCAAGCTGCAAAACGAGAGTACGCAGGATTCCGTGGCCAATCGAGCCGACTGATCCAGACACTAGACAGCAGAAAAACAACATACATTCTTCCCAATAAGTATCACGTTCTAGCCCGTTGCAGCTAAACTATTGGAGCTTGGCTGTTGTGAGCCAAGTCGTAGAACTTGGTGCCTTCCTGGTACAAATCCTCAAACGTGCCGGTCTCAGCAATGACGCCTTCTTCCAGCAGAATGATGCGACTGGCATGTCGGATCGTGTTCAGCCGGTGCGCAATGACCAAGACCGCTCGGTCCTCCGACGCGGACTGAAGCGCGCGGCGGATCAGGTCCTCGCTGCGCCCATCGAGCGAGCTCGTGGCTTCATCCAGCAAAAGGATATTCGTCGGCTTGTACAGTGCGCGGGCAATGGCAATGCGCTGCTTCTGACCGCCCGACAGCTCAACACCTTTTTCACCCACAAAGGTGTCATACTTATCCGGCAGTTCCATAATGAACTCGTGCGCGTGTGCTTTCGTGGCAGCACTGACGAGCTGTTCCTTGTCGTGCACTTCGGCACCGTACATGATGTTCTCAGCAATGGTCGACGCAAAAAGCGACGGTTCCTACGAGATGTAACACATAGCAGCAGCAGTTAGCCGCGCACAACCAAAGCGTCTGCATGTCAAGACATCACGTCACGTCGTACCTGATTGACAACGCCAATCTGCTTACGCAGCCACGACGTCTTCAACGTCGCAATGTCCACACCGTCCAGAGTCACTGTGCCGCTCGTGGGTTTGATGATCTTCGACATGAGTGACGCGATCGTGGTCTTACCAGCTCCGCTCTTACCCACGATAGCAACTACCTCACCCGGGTTGACCTGCATGGTCAGTCGGTTCAGCACCAACATGTTCGGCCGCGACGGGTAGGCGAACGACACGTCGTTAAAGCTCACACAGCCCTTGACATTTGCCAACGTCTCGTCTCCATCTGCAGCAGGTGGAAGCGACAGCAAGTCGAAGAGCGACTCGGACGACATTCGCGTCTTCTTCATTTCACTCAGACACGACGACAGGCCCGAGAACCCGATTCCCATGAACCCACTGTACAGAGCGAATGACGTGAGCGTTCCAATCGTGAGTTCCCCTGACCCCACAAGCGATCCGCCAAAGTACAGCACCGAGAACAACGAGCAGTTGATGGACAGTGATAGTCCACCCATGAACAGACCACGAGCCTGCTTCGCGCTCTTGGCATTCGCCAAGATTCCTTGATTGATCGTGTCGAAGCGGTCCAGCTCGTCTTGCTCTGCGGAGAACAACTTGACCGTACAAATATGATTCAAGCGCTCTTCAGCCACGCCCGTCATGTCTGTGACAGCGTTCTGGTGCTTCGTAGCCAATCGACTCGAGATTTTACTAAACAGCATCGCGCTCGTGCCCACGAGCGGCAAGATGGTCAACGACACGAGCGTCAACTTGGGCGAGATCGTCAGCAGCATGCAGGACGCACCCACGGCCGAGTTCAACGACCGGTAGCCGTTCGACAGCACGTCAACTACCGCACTTGCCGTCTGTTGACAATCACGACTTAGTCGCGTCACGAGTTCGCCCACTTTGCGGTGCGTATAAAAGCTCAGCTCCTGCAGCAACAACGTCCGGTACAGCCGCCTTCTCAGCTTGGCGGCAATGCGCTCTGAGGCCATACCGAGCGCATACGTGCGCACGAACGAGCCCATTGCCCCTGTCACAAACGTCGCCAGGACGACGGCGACAAACCCTTTTCGACTGAGCCCCCCGGGCGCCGGTTTGCCCGACGCCACGTCGATCGCTTTGCCCATCACGCGTGGGAACACGAGGTTCATGGCCGACGAAACGGTCATCCCCGAGACGCCCACCGTCAGCAGCAACTTCTCCTCTGCTAATAGACCCGACAGCCACCCAATGGTCGAAGGCGTTTGTTTCTTGCGCTGCGTCGGCTGCTTCGACAGCGGCCCGTCGCCGGTACCATCCGCAATCGGAACGGGCGCTCCAGCAGCAGCACTGGCATTGCCGACGCCGCCGCTGCTGTCGTACGGCGCGCTCAGCTTCTCCAGCAAAAACGATCTCGACCCCATGAGGAGCGGCGCGCGCTTCGTGAGGCGATTGCGGTGCGAGGAAGTTCACGTGGTGCACACCACCGTCACCCCTTTTCTCGGAACCGGTATACCGGTTTTGCGTCCCGGTATGGTCGAGCGTAGGTCGGTCATGGCACCAAACATTGGCCATGCACCGCCGCCTGCTCCAGCGCTCGTGGCAGCAGCGCAGCGCGTCTTCCTGCGCGTCTCCTGCTGCGACCAGACGCGCGCGGCCGGTCGGAGTTGCTCCTGCGATAGTACCTGCAAGTGACCTGCTCAAGTTTGGCCGTGCTGCGTCTACGCTGCGCGAACGCAGTGCGGCGCCAGCTCATGGACGACGGCGCGTTCCCCAGACGCAAGTACTGGACGATCTAGCGACGTTGCTGCAGGAAGTTAAGCGCAATGGTGGGGCCACGTTTGAGCCCAGTACGGATTTTATCGGTCGCGTGGGTGCGCTGCTGCAAGTGTGCAAGTCGAAGGAGCAGTGCACGGCCGCTCTCCCGCTGTGTCTGCTTGTCCAACGCTTTGCGCGTACGCACAGTAAAGCAGCGATGGAGTGTATCCGGATCTTTCGGAAAGTAGGACACAATCAAGACGCTGTCGCGCTGGCGGAGAAGCTGATGCAGCAGGACGTGTTTCTGCTGAACCACGCGCTTGCGAGTGCGATCCAAGCGTGTGCCGCGCTGAGGAAAGTCGATACCGGCTACTGGCTCTTCCACACCGCGAAAGAACGTGGCTCGATCCCGAATCTGGCCGTGTACTCGGCTGTGCTGACGGTCGCGGGCGTGGCCGGTGACACGCAGCAAGTTCAGACGGTGCTGGACCAGATGGACGTGGCTGGTGTCGAGATGACCAACATTACGTTTCATAACTTGATGAGTGCGTTTGCGCGGGGAGGGCACACGAAGGAGACGCTGGCGCTTTTTGCAACGATGCAGGAGAAGGGCATTGCTGCAGATGATCACACGTACGCGATCTTGATGGACGCACACGTGGAGAGTGGCGATTTCGAAAGTGCCAAGACACTGATGGACGACATGAAGCAGACGGCGGTGCAGCCGAAACTTGTGCACTACAATGTATTGCTGAAAGGATGCGGCAAGGTGAGCAACTTGACGTTTGCTTTCCATCTGTACGAGGAGATGAAGGAACGTGCAATCCGACCGGACCTTGTGACGTTTATCACTATGATGCACGCTGTGTATCACGGCGAGCTGGGTACAGTGGATCAACAGAAGGTGAAGGCGGCTCTAGCGGGTCTGGGCCTAATGGGAGTCGCGTTCGTTCCGTTCATCAACTACGAAGAGTACATGCTGACGACGCTGTTCTGCGGCAGTCTCGTGGGCTCCATGGGGCTGGCTGCGTACATGAATCCAGATGGCGTTATGCGTGCACTGTACCCGAACACGGACGAACCTCGTAACGACACCATCATTGAAGCGTTCTTTCGACGGCTGCGCGAAGAGGACCACTGCGGCAGGTCGATGTATTTGTGGCGTGAAATGCTGAAATTCAACGTCCGTGCGGACCCGCGTGTGTACGATATACTCGTGCGTACCTGTGTGCGCAAGCGCCACCCTGATCTGGCCTATGAGGCACTTTTTGAAGAGAAGTTACCGCTTGTCGACAAGGAGGGTGTGTTTGTTCTCGCGCTTCCCACGACGTTGAATCTACTGCACTCTCTTTTGGCGCAGAAGCGGACGAATATGGCAGACACTCTGTACGAAGCTGCCCGAAGCCACAACGTCTTCCACAAAGTGTTTGCGGAGAAGGGCAACACATATGTGTACGACATGCGCTCGTTCTTGAACGAGCAAGTACGTAGCTACGCGATAATCAAGCTGATGGATGAGTTGCGGGCGAAAGTGGACGCGTCCAATGGCGATTTTGTTGCTCCGAACGTCCAGGTGTTGGTGCAGCATGGATACGAGCTACTTGACCGTCTGGACGCAGACAATGCGAGTCTCCGCACGCTGTTTTCGATGGATGACATGGCACGTGTTGGCGCTCTCGCGGACGATACAACGACGGCGCACTACTACTTTCGGCTGACTGTGCCCGCGAAGCGCCTGCGAACATACTTTAGGACTACGCCTGCTACTGCAGGCAAGGAGCCACAACTCTGACTGCCTAATGGTGCCAAGTAGAGTTTCTTGCAGCCGAGCGAAGACATCTCGTACGGAGACGTCCGTGCGTGTACATGACGACTCAGCAGCTTTCAGCATCGCATTGCAATACAGACGCTTCCGGATCGATTGGTACCGCACAATTTCGTTCTTCTCTGTTGTAGTGATGCGGTCGTGGTCAACACGACGTTTTGCAAACGATAGTACGAGTGACGTATGACGCAGCGGCATCGAAGTAGCGGTGGCTGACGAGTTCGCTTTGCTCTGCTGCAATCGCTTTGTCCGATCGATGTCCCATCGAACTCTTGTCACCTCAGTCGCATGCAAGTTACGACGTATCGGATCCACCACAACCTGTGCACGTACCAGTCAGGATATGCTCTTGTTGAGATTCGGGCGCTAGGACACAAGTACACACAACATCGATAGTCGGTCATGTAGCACTGCTTTTGATTGACATCAGGTGCTCAGGTCAAAAGACGTGCTTTCGAGCATGTACTGGCATCGCCACTGTCGGACTCGCTGGCGATCGAGCATACCAGACTCTGGCACATGAGTTTGTTCAGTCAGCTCTCTTGCATACGTGACACTGATCTTACCTTCGCTGGAAGAGAACACAAGACAGCATTTGTGAGGTGTAGACGAGATCGACGTGGCAATGCACACCAGACGATCGTCAGGGAGACGATAGTTGTCACTTCCGGTATGCTCTTCCATGCACGTGTGTGTACATCCACTTGTACAAGAAATGCTCCTCATTTACAAGCGTTACCACATATCAAGTCGAGAAACGATACCTTGGCCTCGGCCTACAGCTTCCCATTTGCGTGAGGGCGAGCAAATGTCCAGACTATATCGTGAGCGTCGAGTTGCTAGCGTTGTCAAAGCGCAAGCTCAGCTGCTTCTTCTTGAGAAACTCAATGACGTTCATCAACTGCGGATCGCGAGAATCGGCCCTGCCTGTACGCTCGAGGTAGCGGATGACGTCACGGAATGCCTTGAGCTGTTCCTTGGGCGCAATGGGCTGGACGCCCGGATGATGGTCTTCATCGGCGGACATGTTGCCGCTACTTATACCCGGATGATCGACAGGAGCAGCGTCTGGTACACGAAATTCCTCCTCGTTCTCCTGCGGATCTTCGATCATGTCTTCGTTCAATCGCTTATGGATGTCGTTCTCCCAGCGCGAGTTCACCAGCACTTTCGTGTTGACGATGCCGCTAAGCTGCAGACAGTATAGAAGCCCCCACAGTTCTTCCTCGACGTTCTTGTCATCTGCTCCACTCATGTTTGAGTCAAAACTGAATGGCGCTGTAATGCCTAGCGGCTTCCAAGCATTCAGAATCATATCTTTCGAAGTCTGCTGCCACGCATCCACGATCCAGCCCATGGCCTGAATCTGTGTCACGTGGTAGACGTTCGACAAACCGTCTTCCAGGTGGTCAATGGCCAGCGTAAGATGCTTCAGTCGGTACTTGCCCTTGAAAGCAGACAGAATGCCGCCGCGCATCGGCTGCACCTTCATGCCCAAGTGCGGAGCAAACATCACCACGCGCACATTCGAGAGAGCGACACACCCTAGCACATGGGACGGCGCATTGTCCATGAGCAGCACCACGTTGCGGTGGGCGCTCGCCATGCGTGCATTAAAGTCGCGTAGCCACTGCTGGAAGATAAACACGGTCATGCGAGCCTTGCTGCTGCACACGTAGTGGTAGCCAAGCTGCGAGATCGAAGCCATCTTGATGTTCTTTGGCGGCACGACGTTGCCAATAATGTACGGCTCCATGAGGTCCGACGCATCGGCGTTGACCGCGAGCAGCACCGTGAGTCGCGCCTCGTCGGCCAGCAGCATCTGGGCTTCGTCGCCCTGCACGAGTTTGTTCGGCGACGCGCGGAAGAACAGCCCCGTCTCGTCCACCGTGTAGACATCGCTCGGGACGTAGTCGCGCAGCATCTCCTGGATCTGCTCCATCGTCAAGTCCATCGACACGGGCGGCAGCATATAGTTCGGGTCCACCGACAGTCCATTCGGCAGCATGCCGCTGTTCGCGTCCAAGATGCCGCCATAGGCCACTCCGTCTTTGCTGGCAGTGGCCAATAGCGCACTGGTCGCTGCCGACGGCGCCGTCGCGGCGCTCAGCTTGTCACTGGGCGGCACCAGGTGCACGTTCGAGCTGCGCTTGAGGAGCCCGTGCCGCGCCTTGAACGACGCGAGCCATCCATTGGAAAAGCCCAATTTCCCTTCAAGCCCCATCTGCTTCACGAGCTCACGGCCTTTGGTCTTGATCATGTCACCGGTAATGTTGCCCTTGTTCTGGCGCTCCATGACCCAATTGGCCAGCACCTGGTCAAAGTGCGCGTGGCGCGTGGGCCGAATCGTCTTGCGCTGGGCGCCCAGCACGCCCAAGACGTTGTCCTTGAACAGGTGCTCGTGCTTGAGGATGTTGCTCATCGTGGGCTGCGTGGGCGCTCGGTGGAGGTTGAACTCGAGCTTGGCCCAGCGACAGAGGTCCTTCTGCGTGATCTTGGGCGTGTTGCGGTGCTTCTCGCAGATGCGGCGCTTCTGCTCGACCGTCAAGTTGCCGTTGCCGTCGGCCCGGCGGCGACGGGCTTTCACAATGGGCGCACCAGCAGCACCAGCAGCACCAGCAGCAGCAGCAGCAGCAGCAGCGCCAACGAGACCACCAGTGTTGTCCGTGGTACTACGAGTAGCGGTCGCGGCGACGACGGAAGCAACGAGAGCCGACGCCGAGGCGCGGGCGACGCACTCGGGCGCGTAGTCGCCGCTACCGTCGGCCGCGAACTTGACCTCGGGCGGCGGGGGGCCGGGCGCGGCGAGCAGGCTGCCTACATCGGGCACACAAGTAGTATTAGGACTCGAAGGCATGACAGGCGATGAGCTCAATGTGACTGATAAGTTCTCGGGAACTTTGGGTTTTGAGGGGGGCGGACGACGGCAGGGGGGAGGGCGGCGGGGGCCAATCAGAGGGCAGAGCGAGCGACCGCGCAGTGGGGGTGGGGGAAGTGGAGCGGGGGATAGGCGTGTGTGTGTGTTGGAGGTAGTTGGTTTGATTCGTGGTGGGAAGGGCTGCTGGGTATCAAGTTGACGAGAGTATAAAGACTGACGAGCACTGCAACAGCGTCTTCGTGCTGCTGCTGCTGCTGCGACGCCGGACGTTGTTTTGGGCAATTGGGGCCGCCAGTGACTTGTTTTGGGTCAAACACATTTACGCGTGTAAAGTCGTTTTGATGCCGAATGCGACAAACGAGGGAAACACAGTCTGCATCGCTACATACGTACGCGTACCCCCTCGCATGCACCAAAGTGTACCCCTTCTCCGCGCTTCTTCTACTTCATCGTCTGACGTACGTACTATATCGGATACAAAGATGGCAACAGTTGGATCCATTCATTCATCCATTTACCGTACCATCCTAGACACCGAAAAACACGGAGCAAGAGGATACAATCCACTGGGGTCTCTATAACCCATCCTGCACGTTCATCGGCTCGTTTCCCAGTACCACATGTCGGCTGTTGGTTCATACATTCGTCCGGTAGCATTGCTACGACTTGTCTATCACCTGATGCACCCTCACGTCCCGCTGAACGACGTGTAACGCTTTGTGGGCAGAAACTTGTACGTGACAAAGGCGCCAAGCAAAGAGACCATCGCGCTGAGCACCAAGAGACGAGACACGCCAAAGTGCGCCTCAATGAGGCCAAACGAGGCTGCACCGACGGCCGCGCCGAGCTTTCCAGTGGCTGCAGCAACGCCATTGAGCTCCACACGCACGTCTTTCGCAAAGAGCTCAGCCGGGAGACAAAACGTGCCGACATTCGGTCCAAAGTTCGAGAAGAAAAACGTGAGCGCGTACAGTCCGAGCAGGAGGCCCCTGTAGTACAGCAGCTGCGCGTAGAAGAACCCGAGGACCAGGAACAGCACGCCCATAGCAACAAAGCCCATGATCTGAATCGTCCGGAAGCTCAGTCTGCCGACTACGAGGACTGCCAGTAGATTGCCCGGAAACGCGATCGCTGCTACTACCAACGAGCAAAGCGCAACATCGGCAAACTGATGTTTGTCCAAGCCATACGTGTCCTGCAAAATGATGGGCGTGAAAATGACGTTCCCGTAGAAAGTGACGTCAAAGAGGAACCAGCTTGCACAAGCGCCAAAGAGCTTGCGCTGGAGCGAGGGGCTCGCTTTCACCTTGTCCCACAACTTGGGTCGACGGATCACGACGTCGCTGTCCGCTCTCCTCGTTGCTCCTACTGGCGCGGTCGGTGACGAAGACGGTCGACATTCTTCCACTTGATACGCTCGTCGCAGCACAAACAATCCAGGAAACGCACCGACGAGCAGCAAGAGTCGCCATCCAATTGCTCGCTGGGCGTTCATGGCCAGCACGATATAGGCCATTAGCGGTGCAAGTAGCTGCCCGATGCCCTGAAAACTAAAGACCGCAGCCACGACCCTGCTCTTCCTGAGCTCGTCTTCGTCATTCGTAGACTCCACCGCCGAAGCCGCTGATAACGGATACACTCCTCCCACGCCCACGCCGAGGACGAAGCGACATGCCGCAAGGGTCTGGTAGACTGAATCGGTGCCCCACGGCAGAATCGCGCTTGCTGCAGCTCCCAGAACCGACAGCAACAGCGTGAACAGCATGCCTTTACGGCGTCCCATGACTGCGCCCACGTAGCCAAACGTGAGCTGCCCCACAATCGCTCCTACCAACGAACAGGCGTCAACGGTCGACCGCAACTCGAGACTCGCGTCCGGGTACGACCGCTGCAACATCATGAGCGCGTAGTTGATCACTGCCAAATTGTACTACAAAAAAAAGCCCACACAGACACACACACACAGCCAGAGACGTAGCACACCATCCACAGTCAAATCACAGTCAGTTCCTTGAAAGCAAAGAGTGCCACACACACACACACACAAGTGCAGCTCCAACGAGAGAGCGCGCGCGAGCGACACACACGTACAGCAGTGCTGAGGTTCGCAGCCGCCGACACCAAAATCTGATCACTGAGCAGCGCCGTCGTCGCCGCCACTTTGTGACTGTCTGTGTGTCGCCCATCCCGAGGCGCCGTACTGCCGTACGTGAGTCGCCTCGGGGCCGTCTCGGGCTCTTTGCCAGTGAGGGGCTCTGTGACGTGCGACGAGGCGAACGTCGCCACTTGGCGCTTCACGGGCTCCACCTGCGTGCGTCGCGTGTCGAGCATCGCGTCCGACGGGAGCGATCTCTGTGCCGCCGGTTCGGAACTGGCGGAAGCGGCTCGAGGAGACCGCTCGTTCGAGCGCTCATTGGTCGGCTGCGCAGCTTCTCGGGCCGCGACCGATCGATCGATCGGTGCAGCGAAAGATGACGTGGGGGGACGGAATGATACGCCTTTGGGTCACTAAGGACGCCGACGAGTCCGACTGCTGCTACAATAAAGACACGTCAAGATACGGCCTTTTTGACACATTGAGCGGGCGGTGCCATCGCTCTGGCGTACGTCAAGTTGAAGGGACACGATAAGTCGTGGCCTTATACAGCGTAACCTGCTTAGCCGTTGCCTCGCGCCACGATGGCCTTTTGTTGTGTCGGTCTTGCGTGACAGGCTCTGGATACAACGCGTTTCTTGACAGTCTTTTGATGGCTGAAGATTGGGTTGGTGGTTACTGTGGGGTTCTGTCGAGCCCCGATGGCCGGTGACATGTGGCCAGAAGAGGCGTTCGAAACGCAACATCACGTGCTCACATCTTCGCTTTGAGCCCGGAGCAAAATGGAGTCGTTCCTGCGGTCGCTCCATTCGTCTCGAGTGAGCTCTGCAGTGTCATAGTGGGTAGTCGTGTCTCCATGAGCAACAGACTGTGTCGAAGCTACTGAAGGAGTCCGGAAGAAGGCTGACATCGCGAAATAATCACGACATGAGGATGTTGAAGGGCATGTGCAGACGCTTTTATGGGTCCACGAAGCCGTCGATGTACAAAGCCCAGCGAAGCTTGTGATGCCCTCGAGCAGCAGATCCAAGCCCTTGGCATGACCAACGCCAGCAACTGCGTTGAGACGATCAATCACGGGTGCGACCAGCCAAGCGACACATTGCGGTCTCTTTTCTCGAGCCGAATCGATCGTCCAGGCGTGAGCTGCTTGGCTTTTGGCAAGCCGAAAATGCTGCTACGCTGCAGCTGATGGGCCATGTTGAACATCTGAGTTGCAGTTCTCGGTCAAGATCGTGCGCTCTGTCGGTGCAGATGCAGACGTAGCGGGCAGCTCTCTGTTTACTCGCGCACTCTAGAGCAGCAGCATTCTTTAGCGTGCTGAAAGCTGCACTATCCACTTGCGGCTTCAACAATCCACAGTGCGTTCCTTCTCATGCAGCTTGTGACGGGCACTTTGCCACGAACATGATGGACTGCAGCTGGACACACGACGGCAGCAAGCAGGCCTGAAATAAACAACAAGGAGGTCTACACAAACGTGACAAGTCGGACGTGGACCAGCCGTCGGGGTGCCCACCGGCTGGACTAGACAAGACGGCCATGCCGCACGCCGCCGCTGTCACGAAAGGATACGCTGCGCCCTATCTCTGGATGTAGTAAACATGTGAATACGTAGAGCAAACTTGGCTTCGCAGCGACACGTCATGTTGTCTTTCGCTCGCGCTCCTGTCGTTGCACTGCAATGTCGTCAGGAACGAACAAGAGACGGGAGACGGCAGTCAACGAAGGATTGTTGCCTCCATTTCCCTCAAGCGACACGCCCATGTGGACCCGTGCCATCCCCATTCAAGAACAATCGTGCATCGGGCTGGATATGCGAAATTCGTACAGGCCTTGGATCGGCTCGACGATCGGCACGCTGCAGACGCGACGTTGCCGCCGCGCAGGGAGCTGGATTTTTGACAGCAGCTTACGCTGTCCATCAACTCGAGCGATCGTTGAAGAATCAGAAGCAAGAAAGACGCGAGGAACGCGTGCTGTCGGTTGGCCAGTAAACTCGAGAGCCAACAACACCTGCCGTGTGGGCAACGAATGGTCTGTAATAGTCGGACGTGGGACTGATGTCCGTGGATCCTGTTGCAGTCATCATTTGTCGTGGTCCTTCTTTGCTTACTGAGTGTCTCCGTCGATAAAGAGGTGACTTGACCGTCTCAAACGAAACGGACCGATTGAGACCAAATGCGTGACAGGAAGTAATCGGTAATTGTGCGATTGAAGGTGTCCTCAAATAGCAAACATTCGAAAGAACGTATCGACTGGACGAGTTCTGTTTTGAAAGCTCGGCAGCGACATGCTGAGGTCCGCGACGCCCGACAAGACGCCACCACTCTACATTCGTCCAACCTCCAGACTTTGACTACCGTTGCAGACGATCTGCTGCATCTCGTGCTCCGACTACTACCCATCTACGGGCGCACACGTTCCTCCAGTCTCCGCATAGTAGCGCTGTGTCTGAGCGTCGTCAGTAGACCACATCGGTCACTGCAGACGCCCACGAGACTCTGGCGGTACATTTTCGGCCGTTTTCTGACAACGGCCAGACGAGGCGCATGTCGATGTGCATACAAATATCCAGTGCTTCGCCGCAAAGGGTCAACCGGCTTGTCCTTAACCATCCGACTGCTCGCCCAGCGGCCTTTTTCTAGAGGCGAACAACGCCCGGCCACGGCCAGTCATACCCCACGCGCCCGGCCTTGTCTGCCGTCTTTTCTACGCGCCATGTGGTACAGCTCCCTGCGGACCATGTGACACTCGGGCGACGCGACCGATGAGGCCTCAACAACAGCGTACCCCGACACTGACACGCTCACCGAGTCTGTCATGCGGTCCGTATACACTTGCGTTTTGTATGGCAACAACGGAGTCCGCCGCGTGTGACCGCCTCTGCATTCGCGGCGACAAGAACGTCGCAACGAGGGACATAGTCGGGACATCGATCTGAGTCGGTGCGCGCAATCCATCCGTCCGATTGCGCGCACCCGCGACACACTTCAACGTCCGCGGCGGGTCTTCAGCAATCCCTCTCGGGCAACATATAGTGCATATAAAAAGAGCGCATCCGGTTCTCGTCTCGCCGTCTGCCGCTCACTTGGTCCGGCAGTCTGTCACTTTTGAATTTGCGCCCTCAGCGTCACATCGGCACTTGTCTCGCTCTGCCGCTCCGACAAAGCGCTTTTTTTCAGTCGTTCTTCTCGACCACAAAGCCACACAACCACACAACCCACTCGACCTACAGCGCGTTTACGACTTGCGCCGCCATGTCGAGCGACGCGCGGGACCAGAGGACACCGGGCCACGAGTCTGGCGCCGCGCTGTTGGCCTACGGCCACGAAGTGCTCCACGACTACGTGGCCACGCGGTGCGAGGCCGCTCTGGGCCGCAGCATTCCCCACATGGAAGTGCGCTTCCACAACCTCTCGATCACGGCCGACGTTGTCGTCACGGACGTCAACGAGAGCGCGACGGAGCTCCCGACCATCTGGCACACGGTCAAGAAGCGCCTCGTGCGGCTCTCGGCCACGAAGCACGTGGTCCCGCAGGCGATCGTCCGGAGCGCCTCGGGCGTGTTCAAGCCCGGGACCATGACGCTCTTGCTGGGCCAGCCAGGCTCGGGCAAGTCGTCGCTCTTGAAGGCCCTAAGCGGCCGCTTCCCGCAGGACAAACACGTGACCATTTGCGGCGACGTGACGTACAACGGCGTGGCTCAGGCGGACTTGCTCGAGCGGCTGCCGCAGTTTGTCGCCTACGTGACGCAGCGCGACCGGCACTTTCCTGCGCTCACGGTCAAAGAGACGCTCGAGTACGCCCACCGGTTCTGCCATGGCGAGCTGCCCACGCGCGTCGAGAAGAAGCTGACGAAAGGCACGGCAGTGGAGAACAAGGCTGCGCTGGACACGGTGCAGGCGCTGCTGACCCATTACCCGGAAGTCGTGATCCAGCAGCTCGGGCTGCAAACGTGCCAAGACACGATCGTGGGCAATGGCATGATGCGCGGCGTCTCGGGCGGCGAGCGCAAGCGCGTGACGACGGGGGAGATGGAGTTTGGCATGAAGTACGTGTCGCTGATGGATGAGATCAGCACGGGACTGGACAGTGCCGCGACGTACGACATTATCAAGACGCAGCGCAGCGTCGTCAAGCGGATGCGGAGGACAGTGGTGACCGCACTCTTGCAGCCGGGCCCCGAGGTGTTTGAGCTCTTTGACAATGTCATGCTCCTGAACGAGGGCGAGATCATGTACAATGGTCCGCGAGAGCAGGTGGTCGACTACTTTGAGCGCTTGGGCTTCAAGCGTCCACCGCAACGCGACGTGGCCGACTTCTTGCTGGACTTGGGGACGAACCAGCAGTACAAGTACGAGTCGACCGTGCCGTCTGGCATGTCGCATTGCCCACGCCTCGCGAGCGAGTTTGCCGAGCACTTTCGCCAGTCGAGCATTTACCGCACTTTGCTGGCAGCACTGGAAGCTCCGCATGACCCACAGCTGCTCGAGAACGTAAGCAACGACATTGAAACGATGCCTAAGTTCCATCAGTCGTTCTGGGCCAACACATGGACGCTCATGGAGCGTCAGAACAAGGTGACCATGCGCAACACTGCGTTCCTCAAGGGCCGCGCCATCATGGTGATTGTCATGGGTCTGGTCAATGCGTCGACATTCTGGGACGTGGACCCGGCGAACGTACAGGTGCTGCTGGGTGTGCTCTTCCAGGCCGTGCTGTTTTTGTCGCTGGGGCAAGCGTCCCAGATCCCGACATTCATGGCTGCGCGCGACATCTTTTACAAGCAGCGTGGTGCCAATTTCTACCGCACGGCATCGTACGTACTATCGTGCTCGGTAGCTCAAGTCCCGCTGGCATTCGCGGAAGCCATTGTCTTTGGCTCGTTGCTGTACTGGATGTGCGGCCTCGTTTCTTCAGTAAGCGCGTTCCTCATCTACCTGGTCGTGCTGTTTCTGACGAACTTGGCGTTTGCGGCATGGTTCTTCTTCGTTGCGTCGATCTCGCCGGACCTGCACGTGTCGAAACCGATTGCCATGATCACGATCTTGTTCTTCGTGCTGTTTGCTGGCTTCATCGTGGTCAAGAGCCAAATACCCGACTGGCTGGTATGGATCTACTGGGTCGATCCGTTTTCGTGGTGCCTGCGTGGTCTGGCTGTGAATCAGTACCGCTCGTCGGTGTTTGAAGTGTGCGTGTTTGAAGGCGTGGATTACTGCTCGGAGTTTGGCATGTACATGGGCGAGTACTCCCTGTCGCTGTACGACGTGCCGTCCGAGAAGTCGTGGACTATCTACGGCATCATCTTCATGGGCGCAGCGTACGTGTTGTTCATGTTCCTGGGATGTCTGGCGCTGGAGTACAAGCGGTACGAAAGTCCGGCGCACACGGTGTTGACGAAGAAGACTGTGAACGAGCCTGATGGCTACACGTTGGTGGAGACCCCGAAGAAGAGCGCGGCTTGTAACGCCGACGGCGCTTGTTTCGTTGAGGTGAAGGAGCGCAAGAAGAACTTCACGCCCGTGACAGTAGCGTTCCAGGACTTGTGGTACTCAGTGCCGAACCCGAAGAGTCCGAAGGAGACGCTGGATCTGCTGAAGGGTGTGAGTGGATTTGCGATGCCAGGCTCAATGACAGCTCTGATGGGCTCATCGGGCGCTGGCAAGACGACGTTGATGGACGTGATTGCCGGTCGCAAGACGGGAGGTGCGATCAAGGGCAAGCTCTTGCTGAACGGCTACGAGGCGAACGATCTGGCGATTCGGCGTTGCACGGGCTACTGCGAGCAGACGGACGTGCACTCTGAGGCAGCGACATTCCGTGAGGCATTCACTTTCAGCGCATTCCTCCGCCAGGACAGCAGTGTGCCGGATAGCACGAAGTACGACTCGGTGGACGAAGTGCTGGACTTGCTCGACATGCACGACATTGCGGACCATATCATCCGCGGCAGCTCGGTGGAGCAGATGAAGCGCCTGACCATTGGCGTCGAGCTTGCAGCTCAGCCAAGTGTGATATTCTTGGATGAACCCACGAGCGGTTTGGATGCTCGATCGGCCAAGTTGATCATGGACGGCGTTCGCAAAGTCGCGGATAGCGGCCGCACGATTGTGTGCACGATCCACCAACCGTCGTCCGAGGTGTTCTACCTGTTTGACAACTTGTTGCTGCTAAAGCGGGGTGGGGAGACTGTGTTTGTCGGTGAGCTTGGCGAGAAGTGCTGCAAGCTGGTGAGCTACTTCGAAGCGATTCCTGACGTAGCTCCTCTTCCGAAGGGATACAACCCAGCGACGTGGATGCTGGAAGTGATTGGTGCTGGCGTGAACCACGCCACTGGGTCGATAGACTTTGTGGGCATGTTCAAGCAGAGCGAGGAGAAGCACACGTTGGACGCGAATCTGGCGCAGGAGGGCGTGACGTTCCCATCGCCCGACTACCCGGAGATGATGTTCACCGAGAAGCGTGCTGCTAGCTCGTGGACACAGGCCCGCTTCCTCGTGGGTCGCTTCATGAACATGTACTGGCGCACGCCGTCGTACAACCTCACCCGTTTCATCGTGACGTTCTTGCTGGCGCTGGTCTTCGGTCTGCTGTTCTTGGACGGCGACTATCAGACGTACCAGGGCATCAACGGTGGTGCAGGTATGCTGTTTATGACGACGGTGTTCAACGGCATCGTGTCGTTCAACAGTGTACTGCCAATCTCGTGCGAAGAGCGCGAGTCGTTCTACCGCGAGCGCGCTGCCCAGACGTACAACGCGCTGTGGTACTTTGTGGGCTCGACGCTCGCCGAGATCCCGTACGTGTTTGCAAGCGGCTTCATCTTCACGTTCGTGTGGTTCTTCATGGTGGGCTTCACTGGGTTTGGCACGGCACTGCTGTACTGGATCAACGTGTCGCTGCTGGTCTTGCTGCAAGCGTACATGGGCCAGTTTCTGGCCTACGCGATGCCAAGTGTCGAGGTGGCGGCTATCATTGGCGTCCTGATGAACTCGATCTTCTTCCTGTTCATGGGCTTCAACCCTCCTGCGAACGCGATTCCGGGCGGCTACAAGTGGCTGTACGCCATCACACCGCAACGGTATCCGCTGGCGATCTTGGGCTCGTTGGTGTTTGGTCAATGCGACGTCGACCCGACGTGGAACGAGAGCAAGAAAATGTACGAGAACGTTGGGTCTCAGCTGGGCTGTCAGCCCGTAACGGGTCTGCCAGTGTCGGTTGACCACATCACGGTGAAGGAGTACGTGGGCTCGGTGTTTGACATGCACTACTCGGACATGTGGACGCACTTTGGATACGTGTTTGTCTTCATTGCTGTCTTCCGTCTGCTCGCGCTGCTGTCGCTGCGGTTCTTCAACCACCAGAAGAGGTAGTCGTCTTGGCGATTGCCAAACCAGCAGCTATCGTTGAACCACAATGGATAGCGTGGCGGTCATCCGAACTCGGCCGCCGTAACTTACAAGCACAACATCTTTATCGACTTGACTTGACTGGCGTTGGTTTGTCGTCTTTGGTTCTGGCATATGAGGTAGGGAGAGAGAGAGAGAGGACATTGGTGCTGGAGCAAGCAAGAGACGGGGGAAGTTGACCGACTGACTGTTCGTCCAGACGTGCGTTGTGGTGAAGGCACGAAGGAGTGACCGAGTATCTGCGTGCCGCTTGTTTTCCTCGCAAGCTAGTAGGAACACGAGGGGGTAAGAAGAGCATGAAAACGGCGAGGACGCAGCAAACATAGTATGGCATTTGCACCCACCTCGCAAGGACCGCGCAAGTACACGGACGCTCGCCATTGCTTCTCATCGGTAAGCATTCGCGCCGCAGGAACGTGTTTCGGTGGCATCGAGTCGAGTTGAACGCCTTGTGTTTCACGTGCACGTTCGTGTTGGGACTTCTTAACTTACTGCTGCTCCGAGTAATTGTGTGTCGAGTGATAGTACGAGCCCGGATAGCCTGTGCTCGCACCACGCATGGGCACCCTCGGGCCAGCCGGCCCGCCCAAGCCGCCGTAGCTGCCGCGTCCACCTCCAGTGCCGCCTCCTGGTTGATTGGCAACTTGAACCAAGAACATGTGGCCTGCCAGACATGCCACGCGCCTGCCACCGGAACAACAACAAACAGCACACGCGCACAACGTTAGCCCAAGCGCATCAGAGACTGTTTCCACCTACACAAGGCAAACGTCTTGTGTAACGATACAAGACAGCGCAGCGTACATGTTGTACATGTGGGGCAGCACACGCATTTGAATGTGGCACTGCGGGCAACGCACGAGCGCGCCGTGTGGACTGGCCCGGTACGACGCCGGCTGGTGCAGCTCTGGTGCAGCGGCAGCAGTCAACATGGGCACGTTGGGGCCGCCCATCGGTGCTGTGTCGTCCACGCGAGGCTTTGCGTCTCGCTCGGTCGCAGCGGCCCCACAGTCGCGGCAAAAGCGATGGCCAAGTCGCACGCGTGGATGGTCACACTGCTTCTTCACCTGCATCTCCGTCATGGTCGCCCGACACGACGGACACTTGTCGTAGTTGCTCGAGTCCGACTGTTGAATCGCTTTGAGACAGCTCCAGTGGAAACTGTGGCCACATGCTGTCGTGTAGATGGCGTTGCCAACGTCCATCGTCTCAAGGCAAATGGCGCACTCTTCTGCTTCCTGCACGACCGTCGTCGCTGTTGTTTGAGGTGGTGGTGCCAGCGTCTCACCGGCGCCAGCGTCCAGCAAGTGCAGCTTGTCTTCGTACACGTCGCCCTGTCCACACGGCTTGGCCACAGCGAGCGCAATGGACCGCTTCGCTGCGTCTTCGACCAGTGCGCTCAGCGCCTTCGCGTAGAGCGACGGCGGCCCCGCGTCTCGTGCACAGTCGTCGAAACTCGTCGCGCGGCGCGCCCGCAACGCGCCGAGCGCGGGCCGAGCGCCCAAATGTTCCGCTTCGATCGCCCGCAGCCGTTGCTCGCGGCGCGCGTGCGCACGCGCGACGTCGCGTTCCCGTTGACTGCGCTCGGCCTCTTGCTGCCGTCCGACTTCTTCCAGCGCTGCGACTTGACGCGCACGAGCTCTGCCCACGTCTTCTGCGCGTCGGCGCTCGAGCATTGTCCGGTTCTGGTCCCGCACGCAGCTGTCGCACACGCGCACGGGCTCGTTCGGGTACCGCGTTAGGGCCGAGCTCGGCATGACTTTGTGTGTCCGTGAACAACTGCCGCACACGGCGTTCCCACAGGACTGCAACAGATAGCGACACCAATAGCGAGCGAATCAGACCGAATCAGAACCGATAGGGATAGAGTTAGTGCACTGGACCGAGACATCGAACCCGTTCGAGACGGATAGAAACGCCGACTGGCGAACAAGTTGCACGAAGGTGCGCAAACAAAAAGCTGGCGGCGGCCGTGGGGTGCACACGCGCCGCCTCGACCAGAGCGGACGTACGCGACAGCGGTGTTTGCGTCGAAAGGCGTAGAACTTCTTGTCGCAGACGTAGCAGTCGATCGCGGACTCGCACGTCGCGTCCGAGACGGACGAGACGCCGCCGCTGAGTCCCGCCATAGTCGTTGCTGCGCGCTGCAGTGTCGAGGAGCAGTGGACGGCGGCAGAAGTGGGCGCGAGGCGGTCGGGCGTCGACGAGCGGATGTCACTCTTGCGAGGGTCCGGAGCGACCAGTGGAGAAAACAGCGCCCGCCTCTGCACACCGTCGTCGAAACACACGCAATCTGTCCGTTGATCCCTCTGGCCAAGAACCGACTCCCACGCGAACAAACGCCACCCATCCAAAGAGCCCAAAGAACCCAACGAGAAAACCCCCCTGACGCTAATCCAAACCTTCAAATGTCCGCAGAGCTATGAACCGAGATACGACATGTGGATAAAACCCACAGGTCAACGATGCGGATAAAACTCCCGTCTAAAACACGCTGATAACATCCCCACACAATAATTGTCCATGACCAAGTCGACCACCGCCACCCGCGTACGAGCGAGTGCTCACCCCACCCACTTCTCTCTCTCTCTCTCTCTCTCTCTCTCTCTCTCTCTTGTGCATATGCCTCTCACTGCCACTATTACTAACCCGTCTATGACCTGCAACTGCGTCTGTAGGACATCTACTACCGCAAGGCCAAAGAGGTGGGCTTCCGCGCGCGCTCTGCGTTCAAACTCCTGCAGCTCAACGAGCAGTTTGACTTTCTGCACAACGTCCAGCGCGCAGTGGACCTGTGTGCCGCCCCGGGGAGTTGGAGCCAAGTGCTGAGTCGGACGCTGTACCCCGACGGCCTCAATGGACCGCAGAGCAGCGACGTGAGCATTGTGTCGGTGGATCTGCAGGAGATGGCGCCCATTGCGGGCGTCCAGCTGCTCCAAGGCGACATCACGTCCAAGCACACGGCCGAGCAGATCATCGGCCGCTTCTGTGGCGCGAAAGCTCAAGTGGTGGTGAGTGACGGCGCACCGGACGTCACGGGGGTGCACGACATGGACGAGTTTGTTCAGGCCGAGCTGCTCGCTGCAGCGCTCAACATCACGACCCACGTTTTGGAAGAAGGAGGCGCTTTTGTCGCCAAGATCTTTCGCTGCGAGCAGTACGACTTGCTGGCAACGCAGCTCAGTGTGTTCTTTGCCAGTGTGTCGTGCTCCAAGCCCATGAGCAGCCGGGCCCAGAGCAACGAGGCGTTTGTCGTGTGTCAAGGGTTTCGACTGCCCGAGGGCTATACGCCTGTGATGACGTCGTCGCTGTTGCCGCGGTATGGACTGGCAGACGACGAGCAGCACGACTCGAAGTCGGTGCCGTTTCTTGCGAGCGGCGACTTGTCAGGATACGACGCTGTCCAGCACTTCTACTGACGTAGTGGAAGGAGCAAACGAATGGCAAAGCAGTCGGCGAAACGAGACAGCACTGAAGAGTCTCGTCTTGTCGCGGTACGTCGTCTGTGGCGCGTGTTGACCCATGACTCTGGCTTACGTGACGTCAACGATGCAAGCGTCGAAGACTTTTGGTCTTGTCAGACGCGCTTCTGGCGTGTTGTGGATGCAAACGTCAGCACGTGCACCGCTGGACGCATCGTGGACGGGAAGTGACGTTGACATACAGTGAGTGCTGTTTCGGAAGACCACACAATTTGTTGACCTGTTACCGCTGCGGCTCTTGGTTTGGACTTGCTCTGTCTGCAAGCTTTGTGTCGCAGGATCGATCCGTCGAAGCGGCGTGGCTTACAGAGCGCTGTGCAGATTCACGAGTCAATCGGCAAACGAACGCAACACTGCAACAAGTTGCCTGACCCTCCTGCATGTTTGCGCTGCTTTATTGTGGCAATGGATGTATCCGTCTCGGGAGGAGGTGCGTGGTGCTACTCCGATCGATTGTGCACCATAACTGGTAAAGTGGACAGCTTCGACAATAACTCGCAGCAACGACGAAGCGGATATCGCAATGGACTTGTCAGTGTGGCTCGACAGACACTGTCAGAACGTGCTAAAGCTGTATCGACGTCTTGTATCCCATTGCCAAACGCCACACACGCAACAGGACTGGCAGCAACCAAGTGGCAATCGGCACGACAAGTACGATCTCAAGAGACGCTTCACGCTCCGTCCAACGGCTGTCTGGACGCTTGTCGAATGCCGCATCCTATCCTGTCTCTTACTGCTTCCTTTGCCGTCTAGGACCACTTTCTATCCAGCTTCTCGTACCGCAGGAACAGCTGTTGCAAAGAAAATACCGTGTCCCGTCTATTCGCAGTCTCTATGCACCGTCTCTTGTCTTGTTTACTCTGCACTCAAGTAGCTATAGGTAATCACGTGCCGTCCCGTCATCTAAAGTTGGCTGCGGCCGTCTTCGATTGGTACCGCACCTTATAGCGCCGCGTGGACACAGCCACGCGCGGATTCTTTTACACCAATCAACACGCGGACACAGCCACGCGCGGATTCTTTTACACCAATCAACACACGGACACAGCCACGCGCGGATTCTTTTGCACCAATCAACACACGGACACAGCTCGTCCCCCCGTCTCGACACCCCGACGTCGTCACCACGACGAGGAGCTCCGTGCGCGTCCGAGCGCCTTTGCCACGGCACCCCGTGCGTCTACGACGTCCCGTCTCTCGTGACTGCGTCGCCACTGTCGTGTGGCAATGCTCTTCTCGTACGGCGTCGCGATTGCAGTGCTGAATTCGGTTGTCAATGCCCTGTGCGACCCCCTGCGCAAGTATTTAACTACCTGTATGGACCCGTTCACGGTCGTAGCACTGCGTGGACTCATCCAAGCGCCGCTTTTTGTCGCCTGGGCGATCGTCGACTCGGGTGGCCAATTGCCGCGTCTCAATCGCCTCTTCTGGACGTCCGTCTGTGTCAGTGGCAGCATCAACGTCGTCACGAGCTACTTGTACATTCGCGCGATCCAGATCTCGACGCTCTCGGCCACAGTGCCGTTCCTGTCGTTCACGCCGGCGTTTCTGGTAATTGTGGCGTTCCTCGTGCTAGGTGAAGTCCCTACGCTGTTTGGTGTACTGGGCATCGGCATTGCCACGTTGGGCGGGTTCTGGCTCCAGGGCGCCAAGGACGACCACCCGAGCAAGGGCCTTCTTGTGATGGACTCGTCGCGCAACGGGTCCATGTACATGATGCTTGTGGCGTTCTTGTGGAGCATCTCGAACGCGTTCGACAAGATTGGCGTGCAGAACGCGACGCCGCTGGTCTATGGCGCGGCCATTCAGGTGATCGTGGCTGGAGGCAGCTGTGTCTTGCAAACCATGCGCGTTGGAGAGAGGGACGTTCTTCCGACTGGGCACGAGAGAAAGATCCCGTGGAAAGCTGTTGTGCTCACGGGTATCACAAGTGTTATTGCGTACTACGTGAACCTCGTGGCGACGCAGCTTCTGGAAGTGTCCTACGTGATTGCCATCAAGCGATCCGGCTGTCTATGGAGCGTCCTGATGGGGCGCTTTTTCTTTGGCGAGCGGAATCTCAGGCAGAAACTCCCCAGCATCTTGCTAATGGTCCTCGGTGTCGTCTGTATAGTCGTGGGCAAAGACTCGAGCGCCACGCGCAAGTGAGGACAGCGAAGAATGGATGGGAGAATGGAACGTTTGCTGCTTGCAGAGAGACCAACGGCTTTGGTCGCGCGAGCTTTGCTGTCGACGCTAAGCTTACACTCCTCCGCGTACCACCCTCGCGCATGTAAGAAGCCAGATCATGAAGCACTAGCTACCCATCGCCTCGCGTCGCACGACTGCCTCCGTCACTGGAACAAGGCGTCCCGCGACCAGGAGAGACCCTCGGGCCGGTCCAGCCACTCTTCCGACTGGGCGATATCATCCTGGATGGCCTTGATCAGCAACTCGAGCGACGTGTAGTTCATCTCTGGTCGTAAGTACCCCACAACGAGAAGCTTGAGCTGCGCGCCGTAGAAATCCTCGTCAAACTTGTGCAGCAAATGCGGCTCCACCGTCTTCTCCTAGCAAAGAAGCAGCAGCAAAGGAGCAAGCGAGTCATCCCAGAACAAGGACAACAAGAACAGTACATAGACACTCCACGATAGTCAGTAGCCATACCACAAGTAGGTGTCAAACATATCTTGATATGCATATACACACAGGCGCTCTCTCTCTATACATATATTTCTCTAACCATATATTTCTCTCTCTCTATTTCGGACGCACCTCGTTCTTAAAGTAAGGGTTCCACCCGATACTAGCGACCGCCTTATACGGACCTTTGCCGTCCACGGTGGCCCAGCCGCAGTAGATGCCCGTAGGCAGCTGATCCAAGAGGTCTCCCAAGTCCTCTCGTGACAAATTGGCAGTCGGGCAGCCGAGTTGTTTCCCGCCGCGGCCAAAGCCTTCGACGACCGTCGCCTGGAGCCGCAACACGGTCTTTAGTGGCTCAATCGGCATGTGATTGGTTTTAATGTGTCAATTAATTGTTTACAACACCAATTCAATGAATTTCGTCGAAAAAGAGCCTCGCGACAATGATTCGCGCTCGACGACCGACGCAAAGACCGACCGGTGCGTCGCCTTTCTGCTCCGACTCGGACTTGCACGTCGCCGTTGACGCAGAACTACCGTTGCCATACCAGATGCACAAACGGCTGTTTCGAAATACCGGTATGCGCCCACTGGTCCTCGCCGCTCTCGAGACGCAGCCATTATTGCGCGATCGCACGAACTTAAGATACCACCCACAACCGCACCTACTGAAGCATGACAACCAACACGAGCAGCTCAACGCGATCGGCCGCCGCGACACTATCGGCACTCGCGCCTGCAATGTCGATGGTGCCCGCCTCTGTCCGCCGACGCGCAACTGCTCCGTCTACTACGGACGCTGCTGCGGCCGAAAGCGCTGTCCAAGTCGCGACCGCTGGACGCCACACACGACCGCGACCGCGTCCACGCCGACAAAAGCAGGTGACGCCTCGTGTTTCTATCGATACTATAGAAACGCAGCCGCCGCCGCCGTTAGAAACCTCCGCAAGTGCTGCGATGCCGGCTGCGAATGGGGCGCAGGACGCTGGTGGGGTGAGTCAGCGCAAGAACAGGAAGCGACGGACGAAGAAGAGTCGTGCTGTTTCGACTGCGCTACAGGCTGCAGACACGAGGGAAGAAGGAGGTGGAGAGGTAGGTGGAGAAAAGGAGGCGGAGCAGACCGGCAGTGTGTGTCTGCTGTGTACAGACGCGATTGAGTTCTACGCCGTGGGCGCGTGCAACCATCACGGCATCTGCAGCAAATGCTCGATGCGGATGCGGCTGCTTATGGACGACTACCACTGCCCCATGTGCAAACAGCGACTGGGCCGTGTGATTGTCAGTCGCAGCATGCGGTCATACGAGAGCTTTGAGCTGTGGGGCGACGCAGCAGGGCCTGACTCGGTGCTTGACGAGCAGTCGGAGATCGTGTTCGTTGACTGTCGAGCGCATTACAACGACCTCTGTCGTCTGCGGGGCTTCCAGTGCAGGATCAAACGCTGTCGAGAGGTGAAGCACTCGCTAGGTCAGCTCAAGGAGCATTTGCGCCGTGACCATAGCGTCGAGTTTTGCGAGCTGTGCTTGACGCACCAGTCGTTTTTTATCCAAGAGCAAGAAGTGTTTTCGAAAGGTGCGCTCAAGGGACACAGTATCGGACGTAGTCGAGGGGCATCAGCGGGACAGCAACACGCAAACACTGGCAAGGACTTTCACCCGATGTGTCAGTTTTGTCGAAAGCGCTTCTACGGAGACAAGGAGCTGTATGAGCACCTCGAACGTGATCATTTCAAGTGTCATATCTGCAAAGTGGAGAACGAATACTTTCGCAACTAGTACGTGGCAACAAGCTGCCCGCTGCGAGCGCAGGATGTTATGTCAATGGCTGATGCTTTTCTATGTGTTGCAGCGCAAGTTTGGAAACGCACTTTCGCCGGGAACACCATCTTTGTGAAGACTCAAGATGGTGCGTACATTGCAAACGAGGTCGCTCTATATTTCGTTCGATGCTAACGTTTGTCCATTGTCACAGTCTCGAGATGCGTTTCGTAGTGTTCCCGAATAACGTCGACTACCATGCACACATGAGCTCCATCCACGGTGTGCACAACCGCCTGCAATGCAATTTCCAAGTGGCGCGTGGTGGTGGAAACCAAGCGAGTGCACCAGTCAGCTCTGACTACACTGTTGATAGATTGCCGGACCATTGGAGCTACGGTGGGAGTGACCATCCGCCGCCGTTACCGGCCGTGCGGCTGGAAGAGGCATTTCCAGCACTACCAGCGCCTGCTGGACCTGCTCCTCCTCCCGTGTGGAGACCAGCAATCGTTCGGCCGTCGAGTGCTCGTACCCAGGGTCCACCTACAGCATCCCAGCGTGCACCCGCACCGCCACGAGGCCAAATTTTTCGCAACCAGAACCTGGCGCAAGCGCTTGGGGTAACTAGACCTGGGCTTACGAGCGGAGACGCTGCCGCTTTTGAAGAAGAGATGAAGTCGCCGAGTTACCCGGAAGAACTGGTCGCGTGGGGAAAAGCAAACACAAGCTATTTGGCTGTAGTCGAGCGTCGTCTGAAGCGGATTGTCGAGGAGTCGTCGTGTCATAGCGTCAGTCTGCGAGCGATGTCGGGTGAAGAGGTTGGTGTTTGCTTGATTGCACATTATTCTGCACACAGCTTCTAACCTGTCTGACTGTGTTCCTATAGCGAGCGTCGATGCATCAATTGGCCACATTCTACGGGGTCGAGTCGGAGTCGTTTGGCGAAGACCCACGTCGTCGAGTGTCGTTTTTCAAGCGTGAGAATGCGCAGGTGCCGGGCGTGACGTTGTCCGCTTATATCAGCAATTTGAACAAGCAAGTTGCAGCAGCGCGAGCAGCGAGTCGATTGAGGTACCTCCCACTCCAGAGCAGCGCGACTCAAGCACCAGCGCCAGTACCTGCTAGACACCCAGTCGCAGTCGACCGCGGATGGGAGCGCATTGCACCTCGCTGCTCCCCAGCCATCCGCGATGCTTGGAGCGATGACGACGCTGATGGCGGAACGGACGAAGAGGGCAGTGCAGATAGCTCTGGTTTCCAGGAGCAAAACGAAGGTTACGAGAGCAGACCGTTGGGAGAGCAAACGTCAGTCGGAGTATAGTTGGACTCGGCGGAACCCCCACCCCCACGAGCGCTCGACTGGAAGCAAACAGGCGCTGCAGTGAAGCTAGACGACAATGAGAAGCGGCAGCATTTCGATCAGTTGGTCGTATTGGAAAAAGGAGATGCAACGTCTCGCGCGTCTTCTCGTGTGTCGAGTTTGCGAGCACCAAAAGGTTTCGACACGAACTGCAGGAAGAAGAAGCAGCAGCAGCAGCACACACACACAAACAACGGATCGCCACGTGCCTATCTGCACGTCACGAGCTCGTTTTCGTCGATTGATTCAAGTCAGCCGACCGGTTCAGCACTTCAGCTATTCCCGACACGGTACACAATGTAGCCAATGAGACTCGAGGCGACCGCCACCGAGGCGATCATTTTCAACAGACCGATCAGGACCGTCACCGACGCATGTCTCCCTTTATTCGGAATCTCTTCGATCTTCTCCACCACTTTGTTCGCCTGCGGTTCGAGGTCCCGGACGCTGGACAACTTTGTCACGACCTCTTCGACCAATTGAGCGCTTTCTGCTCTCTCTTCGACCGCATTTGGTCCCTTGAGGTAGTTGTTGTCCCGCCTGTCCTTGCCGCCGTGTTTTAGGTTGTAGCCATTCGTTGCATCATGTTTGACAGTTGCAGAGCTACGGGCGCTGCCGCATTCGCGGTCACGAAGTAGCAGCAGTAGCAGTAGTACTGCCACTACTTTGGTCAGAGAGCTGTGCGTGGTTTGCATGAAGTTTTGCCCAGCAATGAAAACCCCTCAAGTGGCGATTCATTCACTGCATTCACCGATTAAGTAACAACTGGTCGCGTCCGACGGCGGAGCATCGTCGTCTGAGGCAGTCAAGATGGCTACATGGATCAGATTTCACAGGCACGTCAAAAGAGCGCTGCACGAATGTCCGACGTTGCAGTATCTTCCGTCATGCCAACACACCATCGACACTTGGCCAGGGCACTTCGTCAACGAGAAAGAGCGTACCCACTTTCCTCTTCCTGTGTCGCACACGGTCTTCACCGCACCCGTTCGCTTCCGACGACGTAGTCATATCGTCAGTGCTGGAAGAAGGCAGTACCCACCCTCTGTCCAACAACATGGCTACATTCGCATGATCGACTGGTCGCGTACGGTCTCATGCACGGGGTGGGTCTCTCTTGTCCGTTGGTATAGAGACCTTCGAGCCAAGTGCAGCACTGTCGCCATGGACGCCATTGGATTGGCATCGATTGGGCCAATTCGCAGCGCCACGTGCTCGAGCTGATGCACGTTGCAGCTCACGTCGATCCCGTGTTCATTCATTGTCACAGCCGCTGCCTTTTGGCGTGGGGCGTGGCCAGTGCCGGGCGCTTTTTTGCCGCAGGTGTGCGTGAGGCTTTTCATACTGGAGAAGCAACGGACGTGGGCAAAAGGGACGGACTGAACAGGTCCAAGCGGTATCAGCGAAGGACTGATACCATGATCACCACATGTGTACGGGCTGTGGCCAACCTGAGTGGAAAAGCGCGACGTTTGCAGCAGTATGTAGCCATTTGAACGTGCAGGACGTGTCGATGCAGTGCAAGATGCGAACGGGCATTGTGTCGATTGGCAATGCAAAGGCTTATAGGCACTGACTGCAACAAGCGACAACTGCAGCCAATAGGTCGACGCACGACGTCCATCGGGCAGTCGACACGGCGAGAGGGAATGCAGCTGTCGATTCGACCGGTGCAGCGCAACGAGCAGCTGAATCGGTTCAGAGCTGGTACAGCAAAGACTCAACGCCGACACGTGTGGCAAAGAAGAAAAACATTCAAATTATGCATATCTGCGCTAGGCGCGGCGGGCTCACTTTTGGCTATCCCGAGCCGTTGCCACACAGAACGCCGTCGCTGTTGTCCAGTTGGTCCTGGTACTTTGTCAGGAACGTCAGCATGGCGCCGTTCGACCAGCCAAAGCCAAACTGCGGAGTGTACTCGCCGCCATCCCCGACTCCACCAAGTTGCTGCGCGTCGTACTTCTCAAACATCAGACCCGTGTTCTGCCATGCCACGAAACTAGCCATCACCCACGTCTTGACGAGGTGGTTCGCCAGTGCCTGTGCTCGTGCGGTCCCTGCGATCTGCAGTCCTTCAATGATGATGTCTTGCAACGGTGGCCAGGCGTTGGGCGCGTCCCATTGCTCGCCCGTAGTAAACGTCGTCGTCTGGATGCCACATGCCTGCAGCAGCCCAGACGATTCCAGCGACGTCACGATCTTGTCCAGTCGAGACGAATCAGAGACATCAAACGCGCCTCCCCACAGCGGCGAATAGTCGGACGCAGACACTGCTTTGGAATGCTCGCGAGCGTCCAGCAAGTAGTCCTTCCAGCATCCCTCAGCTTCGCTCCATAGCACGGCGTCCATTGCTTTCACTCGAGCTTTCGCTGCTTCCGCGAATTGAGCTGAGCGGACAGAGTCTCCGAGTATCTCGTGGAACGATGCCAGATTGAGCTCGAAGCGGTGCATGATCGAATTCAGCTCGACGGGAATCACTCGGGAAGTGCGCGCGGTCTTGAGCGTCGAGTAGTCGCCGCACCAGCGACTAGTAAAGTCCCAACCGCTTTCGGCCGCGGCAATGATCTCGTTGTAGACGTCAGCTCTATCCCCAGTATTCTGATGATCCGTGACAGAAGCTGACGCCGTACTGACGTCCTCCCGGTACGATTCAGGGCGCGGGACACCCGCAGACGCGTCGTAGCGGTTCAGCACAAACGTCTCGTTGGCAGTCGATCCAGCAATCTCGACAGCATGGCCATGCGCACCCCGACGCATCCAAAAGTCGTACTCGCGCTCCAGCAACGGCAGTGCTGCACGCAAGTAGTCCAGATCCCACGCGCCGGCATCTTCGTCCGAAGCATTGCTGCTACTGTCGAGCTTTGCAACGAGTTTCACCATGTCGGAGAGCATTGGCGGCTGCGATCGCGTCAGGTAGTAAATGCGTCCGCCGTTCGGGACAAAGCCAAACTCGGCCACGTATTCCAGCAAGTGGTTCACGACGCCCCGGGCTGTTTGATGCAGCCCACTAATGAGCAGTCCCTGCACGATCCAGTACGTGTCCCAGTAGTAACTCTCGCGGAAGCGCCCGCCCGGCACAACGAGCACGTTCTCGCCATTGAACTGCCGGGCAAAGACATTCACCGACTCGTTCGACGCGTGGGCAATCGGCAGCGCGTAGAGGAACGAGCTCTGGGGCTTTGGCGTCGCGGACACTGACACGGGGACACGGGCGAGCACGGTCCAGAGCTTGTGGAGCTCCATGGCCCAGCCCCGCAGACTGTCGTTCCGGATCTTTGCAATCTCGAGCGGCATAGCGCCTTCTTGATAGTCGGGCGGGACAATGGGCGCGAGCTCGGCGCCCGGCGGGTCAAAGTGCCGGTCGATAAAGCCTGCGAGACGCGTTTTCCAGTCACTGCGATTGCCTTCAGCGTGTTCCTCCGGCAGCAGGGGCTCCTGTCCGTATTGAAGCTTGAGGTCGTGGAACTCGGCCAGCACTTGGTCCGCGGACGAAGAGCTCTTGATGGGCATGTCGACAAACGTTTTGCTGTCAAAGAAGAGCTCCTGCATCTGCACCTCGTGGAGCAACTCGCCGCGGCAGTAGATGCGCTCGAGCTGCTGGATCTCGTGCTTGCGCGACTTGTCCACGAAGCGGCTGTAGGTGCCGGCGGCAGCCATGAGCTTCGAGGCGGCGGTGGGGTCGGCGGTTGTCGGCCGCCTGTACCGTCGACCGAGTGCGAGGCCCGAGACGATGGACCAGAGCATCAAGACGCGGGCAACGGCGACGAGGAGCGAGTGGGGGCGGCCGACGCGCGAGCAGTGGCAGAAGATCATTGGCGTCGTGACGACGGCCGACAATTGGACGATTTCGGAGATTGTCGGCTGGCTCGCGCCAGCAGCTGAACGCCGGTGGAGCGATCTGATTGGGCGACACCCCACCCGTGGCCGGCGTAGCGCGCGCGTGCAGAAGGTGCGGTGCGGTGGGTGGGGGGGAGGGGGCTGGCGGTTGGTTTAAATCAGGTGCGACACGGATGCAGTCAGTAGACTGACGGGCGCCACGTGGCCCATTCATCCACTCGGCTGACAATGACTCTCTGTTGTTTGTTTGGATGTTCTCGATGGAGATGGAGAAGAATAGTGCCGTTGCGCGATCGTTGATTTGCGAGGCAGCGTGAGGGGGGGGAAGAACAAGGCACATGTCGCGGAGAACATGCACGTTGAGAAAAACCACACTCAATGGGGGCGACAAGCGTCTCGCGTTCGGCCAAGTCACTGGATCGACGGATCGGAATCGCTCGTTTTCGTTTCGGATGACTTGCGCTTCTGCACGCCACTTGCTCGGCAGTGAGGCAGTGGCACTGACGCTCGTCTGCGCGTACCACCACCGCACTGCCGTCGCACGCACCGGGAAAAAGGCACCACCGAGTCGCAGGTCGATGCTATGCGATCGAAGAGAGCATTTGAACGGGCGGACTGCAAGTGCAGTGACTCGCTATGAGGTCGTTACGGGGTCGCACCCTTCATCCCCTCTCGTCACGAGTGTCGGCTAGTGCGGCCTCTTTATCATACCCAGAGAGAGAGAGACCTCTTGAGGTACATTCGGGTACGCGAACGCCTTACTATATCCGGCATCTTCTTCTTACCCAACGTGCACACACTTACCGGTGAGGTCGCCCAGGCAGCCACCGGTCGGACGAACCCCTCATCCACTTCTTCGCTGACGTTTACCGTCTTGTTCTTGGTCTCCTTCCTGCAAATAGCAATTGAGATCGGTATTGGCTTTCGCATGTACCGCTGGACCGCTGGAGTCGTTGTAGTTCTGCACGCGTCAAATTTACAGCGGTCTAAACAAGTAAACAAGATCGAAACACGTAGAATGGGTCCGACTTGTAGGGGAGTTCAGTCAGATAGAATCGGTCCTTTTCACAGCGCGGGCCGACAATGCGCGTGAGAAGCCCATTTCAGTTAAGGGTTTCGTTACCGATGGACGTCTACCACTTCGTTTGACAAAACCACGTGGCCACCCGCTACGAAGTGAAGAGTCAAAAAGAGGGACAAACAAGTCAACATCAAGCGAATGAGGGGCAACAGAACGGGCGTCAAAAGGTCTGCATATCGTTGCAATGACTTTCATAACAAACGACAGCCTCGTCGGAAGGCGCACTATGCGATCGAGTCTGCCATTGTTGCTGGAGGTCGAGTGGGATTGGGGACGTTGCGGTGGGAGACAGCTGAGTGAGATGCAACAAGATCAAGAAGACCGACGCCGGGGACACTTTTCGCGCGCTCGGCCTTCGAACAGCAGAGCAGCAGCATGTGACGCACGTATGCATTCGGTCGATTTGCTTGTATTGCACTCCGCTCTGTCTTTGATCATCGGTTCTCCACCGTGTCCGACACCTTGTGGTGCGTCGCCAACGGTTCGGGTCTCTCGATCGTCTAGAGCGGTAGAAACGTAATACTTAACACAATGATAGAAAACAGACGAAGAGCAGCAGAAGATCAACAACAGGAGCAACAAAAGCAACAACGACTACCACTACTACCACTAATGCTACTACTACTATTACTACTACTACTACTACTACTACTACTACTACTACTACTACTACTACTACTACTACTACTACTACTACTACTACCACCACAACTACTACTACTACTACTACAATGCTAGAAAGAAGAACAAACAAGCGAAGAAGGACACCGACAACAACGAAACACGAGCACACATGGGCGAAAGGTACCAGCTACTCATTCTTTCGTCGACAGCACGATAAAAACTGAGTGGAAATGCAGTCGCGAACGCTGCGAGCGCTAAAACCCGTTCGCGTCTCCGGCATCGCGGAAGCTGCTTCGTCTCGAGCTTCTTGGCTCAGTGTTTCCCTTCGAGTAGCTGTTTCAAGACATTTGGCCCAGCCCTGGAGAGTCTCGAGTACGATACTGCGCAGCAGGTGAAGCTGCAGAACTTTGAGGTTGGTGAGATTCGCAAAACGGCTGCATCTTTTCCACTTGCACCGACACTGGCAGATCTTTTCCTAGCACTTTTAGCCAGATCCCCGAGCTCTTTGTGTTTGCACGTACGCAGCGATGCGATCGCGAAGGGGAATGGGCAGAGAAGAGGAACACACACGCGGAATGTGTATCATTATCCACGGAGCGATAGGAATAGAGCGATGAGCCTTTGCGGCGATGTCAGACTCGGACATGGACCCCATATGGTAAACACTGACTTTTTCCGACCGCTTGCATCCAATTCTCACAACTCGGACCCATTCTGTGTGTATCTCCCATTATGTAACGGGGCACACCCTTGCGTAACTTAACGCAAGGGTTTTGAGTGCCCCGACAGACGTACACGTGGCAAGCGAGGAAGCGTAGGTAGGGTAAAAGTAGAACTGTTATATTAATAAATTAAGTCTTTAAACTACTGTCTCTTCGTTTGACTTAATTCAATTATACTAATATAACTGCATGTATGGTGACGTCTCGTCACCACTCATTGCGCGCGTCTTGCGGCGATTGGTGGGTTGATATCATCACGATATCAACCAATGAACAGACCCTTTGGTCGACCCTTCAATATCACCACTTTGGTGATATTGTTTTAAAGAATATCCATCTTTATATTCTTTATTGTCACTTTCCTTAAAGTGACAATTTCATGTAACGGGCTGCCCCGTTACATCACCCCCCTTAACTGATAGTCACCGTGTGACTATCGAAAACATGGAGGCCACCCGTTGGCCACCATTGGGACTGGGAGCACTTGTTGGGTCCGTTCCATTCACTTTCCGCTTAACCTCGCATAGTTAACATGTCTATGCGAGGTGACTCAAGACCCACACAGCCTGGTGCTGTGCAAGCCTCTGCGGCAGACGCTTCGTCGTCTGCCGCCCCTTCTTCGCCTGCAGCAACAGGTGCTGCAGGTGCACGCGGTATCACACCGCGTGCGCACGATGACCCTGATGTAGAGGTCATCTACTCTGGCGAGTCAGACGTGTCTGACTCGGGCAATGCTCCAGAGGCGTCTCGCTCACCGGCGACGCCTCAGTATTCGCCAAGACCACTGCCGAACGAACGGACTCGTGATTTGCATCACAGTCTGTTCGGCAGTTATGATGATGATGATCAGGGTGGTGAGTTCTATTCTTCACCACCGCCGGCTCGTGCGTCTTCGCACGAGCGTGATGACGATGGCGCGAGCCGTCGTCAATCTGGGAGTCGTGGTACCGACAAGGGTACCACTGTGAAGCGTGATGAGTTGAAGCCGTGGCGTTTGCCCGAACAACTCATCAATAGCCTGTCTCACGAGACAGGCCAACACCATCGAATATCCTTATTCGATGCAACCGAGCTTCACGGCTTGAGTTCCAGCGCGAAGAACTTTCGCGCTGAAGAAGATTTTTATCTCGATGTCTTTCTTAGACATCGATGGTACAACAGCAACCAAAAGCGTGACAAAACATCGCTTTTGGCTGCGTGGAACGCGTTCGTCCAAAACGTAAAGAATTTTGGACGAGAAGGGTGGCTCAAGAAACTTGAGGCAACACGCCTCAGGTTCGAACGGCGAACGCCAACCGGTGCTAGGTACCGGTTGCATTGTTTATCGAGTGAGGCAGGCATTCCTTGCCTCACATGGGGAGACCCTTGTGCGAGTTGTGTTGACAACTCGCAGCGTGCACATAGGGATGTGTACTCCCTAAATTCGCCCTGGGGAAGGGCGCACATCTCGGCTGAGATGCGTGACGCGATTGCAAACTTGCAATCCGTCTACAAGCGCCTAGGGCGCGTGTTTACCGATGGGCCACAGGACTCATCGGATGGGTCTCGTCATACTGGCGGACGAGACCTTCAACATCCATCAACAGCTGAGAGCGGGGATCCCAGCTGTTCCAAGAGGGTGGATACCCCCGCCACTGGACGAGGTAGCTCGTCCTTGATCCTGAATCGTCACGGTGATTCAAGATACGCTCCACTAGAAAGCGTTGATCACCGTGAGCATCCACCAAAGGATGTGGTAGAGGAGGAAAGACCTCCTCCAGATGATTATGTTCACCATCTCGACCCTTACGAGATGGATCGCGCAATCGATGAATTGCGCGATGACTTGAAGCACGAGCGCGATCGGCGCTACGCTTTGACCGATACCGTGCGGAAGATCCGCAAGGGTCACGAGGCTGATCGGGCGAGGGATCGCGCCGATTATGCCACGGCGCAGCTTCAGGTCGAGCGGGATGTCCGCTCCCTATTCGGCGAGCTGGCGCCAGCTCGCGGGGAGATATCTCGGTTGAATACCGAGGTATCATATCTGCGCGACCAGACGGATCGTCTGGAGCGCGAACGCAAGAACTTGATGGATGTTCTTGAACGTGGGGGCTATCTTCATCGGAAGAAGAAGGCTCGTACTGACAGTACGACCTAAGCCTCCCCACGTAAAACGTAGGATGCGTGCGCATCCTACGTGGCAATTCGAGTGTGTATGCATTGCCCTTGCGATGCAACACTCGAAATAACCCGATGTACTTCGGCAGTAGTTTGCTACTGCCGACACTAGTGACTGCATGTCCAGGTAGGTTTACCGTTGACAGTAGTACTAGGTCGTTAACCTTAAATGAAAGAACATTTGCTCTTCCATTCTTGTCTGCGTTCCGTTTCTGACGGTCCACCGCACTTGCGATGGAGTCCTGAACGAAACGGACTACCGCTTCTCGAGTCAGCAGGAAGTTCTCTGCTGACTCTTTGTTTTGTCTGGCAGTGCGCTT